GAGAAATTACTAACCCTCCCATCAATATATATTATGGAATTAGCGATGTTTGTACGCAAATATCAATCATATTATAAAAGAAGTAATAATCCTCGCCGCCAGTTTAATCTGATTCCTCCCGAACCTAAACTGGAGATGTATAAAAATGGACCATTATACCGATCCATAATGATATATAATAAAATTCCCGTTATTATTAAAACAGAATCTAATATAAACATATTTAAGAATAAATTGAAACAGCATCTTATAAAAAAAGCGTATTATTCTGTTGATGAATTTATGAATGAAAAATAAATGTAATTTAATTTAACTTAATTATGCTTGACCTGTTTGTTTGATTTGATTTAGTTTAACTTAATTATGTTTGACCTATTAATTTGATATAATGTGATTTAACTTGATATGATATGATATGATTATGATGACATGATATGATATAAATTGACTTGATTAATTTTTAAAATGGATTGATTTTGTTTAAATTTGGTTGGACCTGATGTGATTTGATATGACCAGCAATTAAGTGAAAATAATGTATTTAATGTTAAGCTCAAGTTTGTTGCAACACCCCAACGGGGTCATGTACCACTCACTATTAAGTATATATAAGACCTTATAATAAATAATGTACATGAGCAATGTGATATAAATAAATAAATAAATATTTTATATCACACAGTGTTAATAAATTTCATATCAAAGTGTTTGAGATTTCTATTTACCTCGTATCATGTATAGCTTATGCTTAATCTCGAACGTTAGAGTTATTATATGTTTGGCAAACCTGGGGGTCAATAGCCTAACGGATTGCTATGGCTATCGCTATCGCTTACGATTTCATTTTATTATTTCTGACCACCGAAGGTTTTCAAATACCTCACGTACATATTTTTAAATAATGCTATTACCAATGCGAAGGAAAAAAATACGAGCGCGAGGTATTTGAAAACCTTCGGTGGTTAGAAATGAAATCGTAAGCGATAGCGTTAGCCATAGCTATCCCGTTAGGCGTTTGGCTACCTGCGCGGTGCTGTTTCGCCCGCGACAACACAGATCGTGGGACAGCGCCTTAAGCCCATTGCCCCGGACATTGGGCCTTTTGGCACTAGGACGGATGAAGCGGCAACTGTGGACAGCGGAATATCTTGTAAATGATACACTATGTGGAATAAATTAATTTTATGTATACGATTGCGGGCAACCTTTGTTTTTGTGGAACATTTTGTTTTCCGCGTCCAAAATTAGCTCTTGAGCCTTTGCTGTGTTTTTTTTTGTTTTCTGCAGTATCTGTTCTCCGTACTCGAGTGGTTGTCTGACCTTGATACAGAAAAAATATCAAGGTCAAACCTGAGCTAGCAAGCCTATGTACCTAGTTGTCGACAACGCGCAAGTTAAAGTGGCTCCTAATTATGCTGATTGTGGCAGTTACAATCCAATTTAATTAGAATTAAGTACCTACATAAGGTCTTATTGTAAATGCCAAAAGTCAGTTTTTTATTCAGTCGTTCTTCCAAACCATCGCCGAAATAACGGAATTTAGAACAGTTGTCAAACCTTCTTTTTCTGTCACACAAATTCTCTCGGGCCACGGTTACCACAAGGCCTATCTGCACAAATCTCTTATCTAATAGACAAGTCCGTCCATCCGTGGTGCTGTTTCAGCGGCCAAACCGTAAGAGATAGATAAAGAGAATGTTTAAGTTATAAGTTAAGAATAGTCTGATAAGACTATAAGACTACAAACCGGATTTGAGTAACGTAGCACTTCCGGTTTTCGAGAAATTATGTGATTTCTATTTCAAACGAAACCACACAAAATCTCCGAAGTTCTCAATTAATTAAATACATTTTTTTTTTTGGTGAACATTTGGTTCACTGTTTTGCTAGTATAAAATAACACCCGATGATTGTTGCTCATGTGATAACCACACTAAACAGGACATCACACACATCCTAAAAGACTGCCCTATATTTCACTCCACCAGATCTGAGTATGAAAATTACTGTGGACTATATAAAATCCAACCATACAATTTAATGGAAACAATAAAGAGTGAAACAGCCACTTGCAAATTCGTCAAGCATGTCGACACAATAGTGTCACAACTTAAGCGAGTAAATGGTACATAACTGCCACATCGACCAAAAGTATAAACACATAGCGGCGGCTTTGGATCTGTATCGAATTGCAGAACCAAAATCGACCATAAACACAATATAAATGAACAAAATATATATATTTGCTCCCTAATCAACATACAGAGTACAGTATATATAACATTACACATATCCAAAAGGTGCAATTACGTTATGGATCCACAGAGGGGGTGGAATAATTCCACTCGCTTGCTACGTCCCTGGTTATTCGAGTTTTTCTTAATGCTTAAGAGGGAAGGCGTTTGACCACATTCTCGCCTGATGGAAAGCGATGACGAGGCCTTAGATGGTACACGCCTGCCTAGAAGATGCCTGTTCATTCTGGCCTTGAAGATGTTCACATTATATTGGTCCGGGAAAACAGACCTCGGCAAGGAGTTCCACTCCCCAGCCGTTCGCATTATGAAAGCGGAAGCAAATCGCTTCGCTAACGGAGACTTAGAGTCAACCCCGAGTCTCCTCTTAAAGGGGGAGGTGTTATATCTGATATATGTTAGGTATATTGCTGCTCCTACTGACCATTATGTCTGGTCAGCACTCTGGAACTCAAGTCCTAGTCTACCAAGTCAGTATCCCGCAGCCTGTGTCCATCCTCCATTCAGTGCGGTTGCCTAAAGATCGTTTTAACATCTTTATCCGATAAATCTATATATTTCTATTGTTCAAGAAATAAAGTTCAAGTGTAATTAAAATATTATTATTTTTTTAAAAACCTTTCGCGATTATCCGCGTAACAGCGAATTGGAGGAACTATGACAACATAAGGGTGGTCGAGTGCCGTTGAGAATATTCAAAATGCCCAATTCAATTACATATTGCAATTTTACAGAAAAAAAAAAACAAATTTTCTACCAGATACTTTGGAATGTCTTTCATAATCTGGAATTACCTTTGGGAATGTTCCCAATAAATAGCCGATATTCCTATACAAACATTAATCCCCTAAACATGAGGAAAGGTTTTATTTTTGAGACAAAAACTTCAAGTCGGTGTCCTTTTCTGTCCTCTTAATCTCCATACCAAAAGTCATCCTAATTCCAACCCTATTTCAGGCACACATTATATCATTCGCATTTTAATATTGGTATAAGTAGTATAAATTTTATTAACTTTATAATTATTACGCCGGTGATTAACCTTAATCGTTACATTATAAAGATACTTATTTAGCGCAGACATAATATTTAAATGAGCATAGATTAACGGATACAAGCAATTAAAATTAATAAAACTTAATTTTTAGATAGCTGGTGTACCTAGCAGAGACAATACCGCACATGCCTCCGTGTCAATGCGACTTTAGGTACTTTACTTCACTTTTTAGGTATCTATTTCAAGAAAACGGCTGAGTTACGCTACTGCTCTTGTATGGATTGTGGTAGGGCCATGCTTATTTCACCGAGCTCTAGGCTGGGTGAAATGGGCGGGGAGAAGTTTTCAGCAGTGGCGGCGCTAGCCGTCGGCGACGTCGGCCACCGCCGACGGCCTCGCGCCTGAGGGGCCTCGCAAAAATTTTTTACAAGTTACCTATTTATTTTCGTTTCTCCTGGCCTAGCTTAGGTAGCCGACCCCGAACAATTCGGTGAAAAAGCTAAGCAGATGATAATGACTTATTATTTTCGAACACGTGCGTGATGGAAGCGAGTAGTATTTTACGGGTATTCAGAATCGTCTGTCTGGCAACACTATTTTTGTAATTAAATTTCTATGTTTGTAATTATTTTTTGTCATCATTTGATTATCAACAATAAAACTCGTTTACTCATACGTTATTTTATAATTTGGCTCACTTAATTTAACGGTTTTTTTACTACGAATTAAAATATGCCTCGCGAACTTGATGTCGCCGACGTCCACATGTGGTCTAGCGCCGCCACTGATTTTCAGATACCCTCCCTGGAGTAGCGCATACCTGGTGGTTCAGGCAGGCGTAACGCCTTTTCCAGATACTGAAAAAAGTTCAATTTTCCGTAAATCGAATAATTCAGCTCACTTTCATTAGGATCATCAGAGCAATGCAATAGTTCATACTGCACTGACATTATGCTGAACTGGGCCCTTTTCAGCGCAGTCGTGGATACGGAGTGGTATCGATTCTGGCATGATTCTATTAACTTAGGACTGAATTTGGCATCAGTCAGTCCTTTTCATTCACTTCGCGCGTCACTAAGCGCGTTCTATCGTTTGTACCACGGCGAATGTTCTGAGGAATTATTCTCTCTTATCCCACCTTCTCCTTTCCTTCAGAGGACCACGCGCTCTGGCCTACGTTGTCACCGTCTAACTGTGGCCACAATTACAACGCGTACAAAGAAATTTGGTGACTGATTTCTTTGTCGCACTATACGTAAATGGAATGCTCTGCCCGCTCACGTGTTCCCTCCCTCTTACTACCTGGGATCCTTTAAAAGAGGCGTGAAGAAGCAACATGCAGGCCGGCAGGGTGAGGATGGCTGGTGTGGCAGGTAGAACTGCTGTATCAGCTATCTTCGCGTCTGTACTTCACCTTCACTTAACATCAGGTGGGGTGGAGTTATTTGTCGGACCTATCTATAAAAAAAAAAACTTTACGTAGTGACAGGGATACGCTGCTGTCAGGTTTAAGTTTGCGTTTGGGGGGTCGTGCAGGAATCGACTTCACTATGGTATTATTAGGCACTTAACATATACATGTTAAGTGGTATTTATAGATGACTGTATCTAATTGTAATTTTGTAAAGTTATAAGTATAACAATTTATCTGTATCCGTGTACTGTGCTGAATAAACGATTTTGATTTGATTTGATTTGAGCTATGTGTGTATGGTCCACTGTTTATTTAAAAGTTTTGTTTGTTGCAGGGAACAAGGGCCCACCTGCGAGCGGGAGTCTCCCTTCAAACAAGAGCCTCCCCAGTCCAACAGATCAGGTAGATAAAAAGAAATGTATAAGCATGTTACGTATAATAAATAATTCCTTTAAAAGTCTGATGGCTTCCGAGTTGTATTATCAGATTATTATGTTCCCACTGTTGGGGCACATGCCTTCCCTATGGATGGAATAGGAAGATTGGGCCGTAAGCCATGACCTGCCACGCGGGCCCAGTGCGGATTGGTGGGTGTTAACGGCTGCATATTCAAGCGGGGCCAACAGCTTAACGTGCCTTCCGAAGCACGGAGGAGCTCGAGATACTAAATTTTAGCTCACCCATCCAATGATCGAGCACTGCGAAAGTTGCTTGACTTCAACGTTCGCAGTCAAACGCGCTAACCACTTGCGTCATCGTACTTTGGCTTTGAGATTACCGACCGCAAAATTGGTTTGGTCCAATTTGTGTGAAAAGGTTGTCAATATATCGCCTGCAACAGTTCCCAAGAGGCCCTGTACGATGACAACTTTTTTTCCTTCCTGTACAGAAAAATGTTTAGTAACCTACAATTCCTACTAATTATATTACCTGTGTACCCTTAGCACGAATCATTATCGAATTCGACTAGTTTGAGAATCCGAAATGTCATTGTCAAATTTTGTATGAAAACTTGAACATTAGCGCCATAACGTACTTAACGAGAACTAAAAATCAGTACACATTTGACAATGACATTTCGGGCTCGTATACTATTCGAATTCGATTTTGGTTCGTGCTGTGAGTACTGATCTAACCCTTACCACGAACCATTATTTAAAAAACTTTAGTCTTCAGTCCGAAAAGAATGTTTCACTTCAAAAAAATTGTTCGACAGAAAACGGCGCATAGTTTTGAGGTTTTGAGCGTGTAGTGAATGTACCTTTGTTGTTTGGCAGAATCATCTTCGTCGTCGGCAGACACAGCGTCGCAGGGCTCGGGTTCCGCCGCCCCCGCGCCCCGACCGAAGCGACATGAACCCCAGGTGAGCTGGAGAGTTCCAACCCTTGATTTATACCAAGAACCAAGTTATATACTAGTATAATTTTTATTATTTTTAAAGCATGTAACTGCTTGATGTTTAAATCTAAAGAAAATATAACTAGAAAAAATTCCACGCGGACCAGGCAGCAGACGGGACTCGAACCCGCACCCTTCGCAATCCGGGCGAATGCACTGACCAATTATGCTACCGCGGCCCTCACGGACCGCGTCGAAATTCTTTCTAGCTATTCTTAAGCTGCAAGGCAGCGCCATCTCTTCGCATTATAGGTAACCCACAATGTCAAATGAATACTTTTACAAGTATTAAACATTTGAAAGAAGAAATAGCTATTATAATTATAATTTTTATTATTTTTAAAGCATGTAACTGCTTGATGTTTAAATCTAAAGAAAATATAACTAGAAAAATATAAATTCGACGCGGTCCGTGAGGGCCGCGGTAGCATAATTGGTCAGTGCATTCGCCCGGATTGCGAAGGGTGCGGGTTCGAGTCCCGTCTGCTGCCTGGTCCGCGTGGAATTTTTTCTAGTTATATTTTCTTTAGATTTATATACTAGTATTTATTTTAGAATCAGAATCAGAATTTTATTTGTGAAACATAGGTTAGTATACATGGTATATAAAATTTTTGTTAGTATCACTACATTTCCACCTTAATTAAGGTATACAAATAGATATGGACCTATGAAATATGTGCTATTATTTTTACATTGGAACCACAATCTTGGTATGTGTTTCTTGGTACACTCGCGGAAAGACCCGCTCTGTCACCCATAATGCCATAATCGCTTGCGGTAGCGGCGTAGTAAAAAGTAATTGTCGCTGTCTTACTTTTTCGTATAGCGCTGTCTCGATCAGGATGCGGATGACAAATTGCAACTAAAACAAATGCAATTCAACTCATTATTCAATCAAAATGCTCTCTGTCTTACTTTTATGCGGCGGCCCGGATTGGCGCGTCCGACGCGAAGGCGGGGCGTAGTAAAAACTACTGTAGAAAACCGTTCAAAGCATTTTGTTCGCCAAGTGACAGAGCGCAAAATTCCGCGTTACACATACAAAGATTGGTCAGGGAAGCGATTGAATTAACCAAACACAATAATTTCAATCGTGAGGATGGTTTTAACCCAGAGGTTCGTATGCAAAAACAGCAATAATCAAAAAAGTGTCGTTCCGCGATCTGATACTGTGAGTATTGTGTGTCGGGAACAGGAGGCCTACTCTATTTCAACGAAAAACGAAATTTCGATCGAAATTTCGCACGTTCCTTACTCTGTTTCTATTTCATTTCGAAAATTCGATCGTCCAAAAATAGTTTGACATTTAAATTCTCTAAGCCTACTGTAATTCACAAAACTTTTGAACTAAAAGTTGAATTTGACAGACAATTGTTCGAAATTTTAACCTCAAATTGACGAAATGAAAAGTGTTACCTTTTCATTTTCGTTTTGGATTTTTTGTTTAAATTAAACCTAAAATTACTACTAGAGTATTTTTAATTAAGGCTGCTTAGCGCGAGGAACTTATTTTAGTATGAAAAATTTATAAATAAATCTAATTTTTGTTTATTATTGTATTGCCAATACTTCAAAGTGTTACACGACAAATTTAGGTTCTTAAACAATCGATTGCATCAACTCTACAAATTAGTCGGCTAACACTGTCAAAAGAGGTTGTTTTAATGTAATCAAAAATGTTGTCATAAAGTAATATTGTTTTGAAGTAAAAAACGTTATCTAAAAAGTGTAGACAAAAAGAACTCACAAACATAACTCATTCCATTCGTTCACGATAATCGTCTGTGATTCCGAACTTTATGTGCATGTTCGAAGATGAAATAGAGTAGAGTCACTGGCGAAATTTCGTTTAAAATTCGTTCGTTGCCGAAATTTCGTTTCGGAGAAAGAGAGTAGAGCTCCAGGTGCGAGTGAATAGCGAGACTGGCCACATGGTAGGGGTATGTTAAACATTTGTAAGAAGAAATAGCAATTGAAGTCATTTTTTAAGTGAAAACTTCTTTAGCGGCGTTGTACACTTTTTTTGTTTGGGTAAAAATGTTAAACTCGCGTCAGGTTAAACACGTGGGCTGATCGCATCATGACACACAATAAAATTGGAAAGGTTGTTGACTTTGAATATATTGGACGAAACATACTAATATTTTATTTTATCCTATTATAATAATAAGTCTATATTTAGGACGTCCACGTGGCAGCTTTATTGCGAAGAAAATGCATTTTTATTTACAATTAGATGTCGCTAGGTGCGCTTAAATGTGATTCATGTAAGTTGATTTTTTTACAATAGATGTCGCTAAGTGCGCTTAAGCGTGATTCATGTAAGTTGATTTTTCTGAGAGATAAACTTTTTTAATGTAATATAAATTGTCATGTTTGTGTGCGATAGCGCAATTAATAAATATTGTATTCTACCACATACATGATAGTTCTTTTATACTGATAATTAAAGCAATTCGTGCAAAATTTTTCCCTAACCATTCCAAAATATCAAAAATGCACAACGTTAATATTCAAGTTTTCACTTCTGCCGGCACTCCCGGAGTGCAACCCGTCGTTTTTTTTTCCTATTTACTACTACTCCTCTGAAACTTTATATGTTATGTTTAATGTTTGCAGAGAGAGGAGAGGCGTGTGGAGGCCAACAACCCGCCGAGAGTACAAGCTAACCCGCTATTGAGGTAATATTATTTTTTATATATAGCATTGCAACTGCAATGCAAAAATTTCATCCCCATCATCTTGATGCGTGGCTATCCACAACCGTGCGTTTTTGTCGAAATTTTTTACCATGTACGACAAAACTGTGCAATATATTGTCACCAGCAGTGTTTCCGGACCGATACGACCCAAAAACCTTCAAAAAAAGAGCGTACTCCTTCCTTAAAGGCCGGCATCGCATTTGTGATACTCCTGGTGTTGCAAGTGTCCATGGGCGACGGTGATCACTTACCATCAGGTGAGCCGTCTGCTCGTATGCCCCCTATAACATAAAAAAAAATGCAAATGACTCTACCCCACCTGATGTTAAGTGGTGATAAACCAAACGCGAAGGTAGCTGGTACAGCAGTTATAAACTGCCACACCAACACCTTGCCGGCCTGCAAAAAATGCTTCTACACGCCTCTCTTAAGAGCCCTTTCACATTTTTTTTTGCAAAAAATCGTAATCACTCGAAACATCACCCGTAAAATGCAATATATACTAGTGCAAATCTACCTACGCGCCGATCAGCGGTCATTTAAAAAAATGATCGTCAAAACAAATCATACAACGTCAATAATATTAATATATCATAAATAGGGTAAGGCATTACAAATAAAAAAAAAGCTTTTTTTTTAATTGTAAAAAAATCTTTTTTTTTAATTGTAAAAAAATCTTTTTTTTAAAGAATATGTGTTGATAATAATTAATGTCAATCACTATCATCATTGTCAGTGCAACCAGTATTGCTCCATTGATCCGTCAGACTTTAACAATAACGTAATAATGCTGACTTGATGGTAGACCAACTGTCAGAAGAAAAGTCAAATGGAGTCTGTGCGGAAAGAGAATGAGATTTAGATAGGGAGGGCGCTGTAGTGCTTTTCTACCGTATTTGTAAGGTTTTACCCCTTTTAGACATGATTGAATACAAAAAACCCCCAAGAAATCACAACAACAAACATATCCGTATCAATACAAAACTTTGACGTTTGACAGATGGCCAGGTTAAATTGCTATATAGCAATCTTAATAATAATACATAAATAAATATTTCCAACACACACACCAATTAGCCTAGCCCCAAATTAAGCAATAAGGCTTGTGTTATGGGATACTAGGGCAACGGATAGAATACATATACTGCACATATATAAGTATATTTATATAGAAATACATATTAAACATCCATGACTGGAGTACAAATGCACGTATTCATCACACAAACATCTGCCCCCATCGGGATTCGAACCCGGGACCTCTCGAGTCGGTGACACCATGAAACCCGGCGTACAAACCACTCGGCTACGGTTAATGGCTGACGACTTCCGTGGCCGAGTGGTTTGTACGCCGGGTTTCATGGTGTCACCGACTCGAAAGTTCCCGGGTTCGAATCCCGATGGGGGCAGATATTTGTGTGATGAATACGAGCATTTGTACTCCAGTCATGGATGTTTAATATGTATTTCTATATAAATATACTTATATATGTACAGTATATGTATTCTATCCGTTACTATAGTATCCCATAACACAAGCCTTAATAGTGCTTACTTTGGGGCTAGGCTAATTGGTGTGAGTGTTAGCAATATTTATTTATTTATTTAATGTTAATGTAAGTTCCGTTTTTCGCCACGCCCATTCTCTTTCCGCTTAGACTCCAGTTTTTCCCTGGACAGGTCCCGGACCCTTCCCAATTTCGGCGGGCGTCGGTCCCGCGAGGCGTCCCGCTGCGACACTTCCCGCAAGGCCCACCACATCACCATGGCCACCGAGGACCTCCTGCAACCCGGGCACGTGGTCAAGGAGCGATGGAAGGTAATCAATAAGGCTACCAAATGTTGGAACGATTTGCCTCCACCTATGAGAAAACTGGCTTCCAAAGTCACTTTTAAAAAGCAGATAAAAATATACTTTTTATAAATCCAAAAATTAGACATCCCCAAGTTTTATGTGTGGCAGGGCAGGTAGCCTTGTTTTCCAAACAGTTTCCGGATACTACTTTTGTATATACTTTAAATAAATCATGTGTAATTATATTTATTATATATATGTATGATATCATCTAATTTTATCTCGCCAAAAATCACTTCATTATTTGTCTCTATATTGCAGTAAATATGTGTTAGTCTCCACTGCATTGTCATGGCTGTTTTCTCTTTTCTCCTTGCAAAATCTTTTAAATGTTTATTATTAATAAAGCTAGTCTACTCACTCATAAAGGTGATGGCTGAAAATCGGTATTTTGCCTTAAAACTGGCAAATGTTTAGCCGAGCCTTGGTCTTTTGCTTTCTGCAGCATACATATAGATATTTCATAGTTGATTTCTTGTATCTTTTTTTTTATTGTATTACTCTGTCTGTAAATGTATATGTATGTTGAAGAAAAAAAATAAACGCATTATCTATCTAATCCGCGATACGCTATACCAACCCCTCTAGCATGACCACCGAAACGGGATATGATAAAGCGATATATCGGCATTAACTGTCAGATTACTATGGATTTTGACAGTAGTCTGACAGTTAATGTTGATCTATCGCTTTATCATATCCCGTTTCGGTGGTCATGCTAGAGGGGCTGGTACAGGTCCGTACGAATAGAGCATTTAAACGAGGTTTTAAATTCATTGCAAGTTCTTATCCGCTTTGTGTTATTTTGTCTGAAAGAAACGGAGTTTATTGCTTTTGCCTAATGTTGAGTAGCTCTTAATCAAAAGAGTGGTTAACAATCATGCTACCCGTCTTAAGGTAAAAGCAATGGCCACCTTTGCTTTATTAACAAAAAAATTCTCAAACTTTTATGAAAAAAAAAGCAAACTTTATAATAAGACAGAAAACACAAATAGTGTATTTGACAGTATTAAAAATAAAGTGCCAATTGTTAGCATCTGTGTTTAGCATGAATATTGGCAGGGGTTTTTACTATTTTTACAAAAAAAATATTAATGATTTTACTAAAAACCCACGAAAAAGATTACAGTTTTCTTGTCTATTGTCGCGTGACCCAAAACGCTTGGGATTGGCGGAGCCTAAAATGACGTCACACGCAAGTAAACTTCCGGTTAAAGTGACATTACATTGTATCGTCTGCCGTTTTAATAATAGTCGTGTGACGTCACACACTAGCAAGACGCCATATTGTCCAGAGAAACGTTTTCGAGGCAACTTGAAAATGGAGTTCTTGATTTGGTTATTTTTACTGAAATACACAACAGAATGATGAATATCCACTTTTTACAGACTCCATAAACATTAGTCAATAACGTGAGATCGTTTTCTAAAACTTGTCAAATACCCTATTGGAGCGCCCGTCTAGGGAAGTAACCTTCGCCTTACAGAAGAACACAAGACAAACAACACTACTTTACAGTGGTGTTGCTTTTGTCGATGAGTAAGGTTCTAGGGCTCCACGTGGTAAGGGGGCTCCATCTTTGGCATCGGAAGCGTCTCTAGCCTATGGTGGCCGCTTACCATTAAGTGATGTATGTTTTTTTTTTTACAACACACCAATTAGCCTATCCCCAAAGTAAGCACTGTAAGGCTTGTGTTATGGGATGCTAGGGTAACGGATAGAATACATATACCGTACATAATATTATATTTATATAGAAATACATATTAAACATCCATGACTGGAGTACAAATGCTCGTATTCATCACACAAACATCTGCCCCCACCGGGATTCGAACCCGGGACCTCTCGAGTCGGCGACACCATGAAACCCGGCGTACAAACCACTCGGCTCGATTCAGGAGGCTACAGCGCCATCTCTTGACCATTGGTGTAGTAGAACCAAAAACCACATCTTTATTTTTTGTAATAAAGTAACGGTTATAGGTATTCATATTTATAATATCAAAAGTATTTATTAATCTGGAACAACGGAACCAAAGCGCGATTCAGGAGACTACAGCGCCATCTCTTGACCATTGGTGTAGTAGAACCAAAAACCACATCTTTATTTTTTGTAATAAAGTAACAGTTATGGGTATTCATGTTTATAATATTTATCCACATGTTTCTAGTTTCCTTTTGTCTTCTGTGTCCTTTTCCAGACTTTTTATTAATTTATTGTAATTAATTATTTGCATGCAATTAAAAACTAATTTTAAACGATGCGAAAGAAGGATAACTTCTCACGCGCCTACATAAGTACACGCACCCATTTTTTTTTGTAAACATAGTAAAAACCCCTGCCAATATTCATTCTAAACACTGATGCTAACAATTGGCACTTTGACAGTATTAAAGCGGAAAATCCGTCATACACTACCTCTGTTAATATATCGTATAATAGTTTGCAGCTTGTAAGTTTAAAGAAAAGTTTACTAGAAAAAAATCCACGCGGACCAGGCAGCGGACGGGACTCGAATCCGCATCCTTCGCTATCCGGGCAAATGCACTGACCATTATGCTACCACGGCCCTAATAATGGTCAGTGCATTCGCCCGGATAGCGAAGGATGCGGGTTCGAGTCCCGTCCGCTGCCTGGTCCGCGTGGATTTTTTTCTAGGAAACTTTTCTTTAGATTTAAACATCTAGCAGTTAAATGCTTAAAAAAAAAAACATACCCATAAGTTACTCAAAACTGACCAATTTTTTCAATTGTAAATTTTACGCTTTATATTTATTAAATGAAACAAGTTTAAACGAACCTTTTCAGGATGCGTCGTTATTCACGCGACATTTCGCAGCCTGAAAAGGTTTCGAAACGTCAACAAATAAATAAATCAGTGCATCTATACCGTGGAAACTTGTTTTATTGAATTGAGTGGTGTGCGTGAAAACCTAGAAAACAAACATTTATATTTCTTGACATAATTTTCACAATCTATTCAGATAATTTTACATATTATTGAAACTGGATGTGTGGTTGACTTGTTGTAAACTGTAATACTATAATTAAAATTAAAAAACATATATATAGTATCTAACTGATGCTATATTTTAGTATCCATTTCATGTGTATGTAAAGTGCCGATACAATACGCCAGGTCAGTACCTGGCGTATTGTATGGGCACTTTACATGGCTATTCTAATTGGCTATATTTAAACTTAACAAATGTCTCTTCTTTTCATTCTTTATACACTACTAGCTGTGCCCTGCGGTGTTAACCGCGATGTATTAAGGATATTTTCCCGCAGTAAAACGTAGTCTATGTTGAATCCAGGGTGTCAGCGAACTCCATACCAAATTTTATTAAAATCGCTCCAGCCGTTTAGACGTGAAGAAGTAACAAACATACACACTCACAAACTTTCGCCTTTACAATATCAGTGTGACGATAAGGACAACCTGCTGTCAAAATGACAAATAGCAAATACGAATATCTGTATGCAATGCCGGCGTTGCTATAGTAGAGCATTGCATTTTAATCATATATTATCCATTTGTAACTCGTAGGTAGTGAAGAAGATCGGCGGCGGCGGTTTCGGCGAGATCTACGAAGGTCTGGACCTCGTCACCCAGGAACAGGTCGCGCTCAAGGTGGAGTCCGCCAGGCAACCCAAGCAGGTGCTCAAGATGGAGGTGGCTGTGCTCAAGAAACTGCAGGGTCAGACATTATACTTATAATACGCTATATAGATCCTCGACTGGATAATATTAGCTTTCTTTTTCCTCCCAGGCGGGGGCGCGGGTGTGTAATCCTCATATGGATACTCTACAGGGTTATGTCAGACTCTTAGGGGCTGTCCATTAATAACGTGAAGCTCCAGGGGGGGGGGGGGGGTCCAAAATAAATTACGAAATATCATAAGGAGGGAGGGAGTTGTAGTATTATATTTCTACAAATATTTTTTATGTCAGTCAGAAACAACCCACCTCTAAACGTTATAATTATATTATTGTAGCCTTTAATTTTCCATAATAAAGTTAGATGATACTTGTTCGCGCCCGTATAAATCCCACATATATATACATATGAAAGAAAAGGAATATTACAAATCATAGCAAAGAATCGCACTTATATAACGGGTGGCGCCATCTATTGGATCGTACCACTGTAGCGCGCCTAGCACAAACGTCATTGGATGTCGCCCGCAGACGGCAGATGTCGCTCGTGTTCGTGTGTTCGGCTGTTTTACCGGCTATTATGTCATGACTTGCGAAATTCATTATCTCAAGAAAACTTACTTGTAAATTGTATCCATTATTACATAAAGAGAAATTACTAAAAACACCGACATTTTATTGAAGAAGACTCCACATCTATGACCAAACAATACTACACCTGTAAAGAAAAAAAAAATGGGTGCGTGTACTTATGTAGGCGCGTGAGAAGTTATCCTTCTTTGGCATCGTTTAAAATTAGTTTTTAATTGCATGCAAATAATTAATTACAATAAATTAATAAAAAGTCTGGAAAAGGACACAGTCAATAAAGTTCAGTTTTAATTTGAAAAAATAAATAAATAATCAAAATATTCAATTAAAATCGCTACTGAATATAAAGTCGCTAAAGCGACCAACTTCATGCTGTTGAAATTTTGTGTTACAGTGATGCGCGCGCATCTTAAAATTTCACTCTCATCATTTTTTCATAACGCGCCTAAAGAAGTATAACTTCAAAAAAATCTTTGTAGGTAAGTACTAAAAATACACGTGATGTGGGGGGTAGTCTTAAACCTCACCATGTATCACCAAGTGGTGTCAATAATGCCAAAAAAAACATCACGTGATTAATGGACGGCCCCTTACTGACTTAAACCACGGTAATATTATCTATACAGAATTGTGACTCCGCCCTGTCCTTGAAAATAAATGCCTACGGCCGAGCGCTGCGTTAGCACGCGGTAGGGCCGCCCGCCTACAGTATTTTATGTAGTTTTGTTTTTAACGCGAGTGTAGGTAGATTACTCGTTTGTCTCTTTTTTCATCCTAACCACTTATTTATATATTATTCCAGATATTAGAAACAAATTACATACTAGTGGATAGGTATATAAAAAAATATTCTATAAAGGTAAGACACCTTTCTAATATTTCAGGTAATTTAAAAAAATGATATCTCTGGGTGTGTTATTGAAGAGTTCAAGCAACCAAAAACAGAAATTGTGCTGTTGTACGATATTGATCGTCGTTTGTTCTTTTCCATACTAAATTATGTAGGTATCTACTTAATTAAATCAAATATTCACAATACAAAACGCACGTTTAAGCACGGCTAACTGCATAAAAAACAATTCACACCGTTCGGTCGTCGTTGCGGTGCGGCGGCGCATTCGCGACTGGGTGCTAGCGATGCGCGACTTCGAATAATACTAATGCTAATCATTCGACTCCACGAATCATTCGACCAAGTCGACTGCGCTTTATATCATTCGACTGAAGTTAAAGGTATCGGGCGGCGACTAACCGACTCTCGACTGACGTACGTGACGAAGACGAACAACAAACCTTGTCGACTCGGGCTTGGTCGGGCGAATTCGACGAGGGATAGAGAAGAGCAGAGTTAATAACCCTATTAACTCTACTTTCAATTGGTTTTTTAGTGATTAGATCGATATATGAACTCTTTATTTTAAAAATACACATAAATCAAGTAACAATAAACAAATTCGCTGGTAAATATAGTTTTCACTGAAAAAAATAATAGTTAAAAATTTCAAATGATGAACGAACGAATGAATAACCTAACCTTATTCGTTGTGCTCTTGTAAATTTGACATTAGTATTACTAATTAGTAGTCGTTATTCGAATAATGTCATTGGTATACTACTAATTTGCCTTTCGAATAGCCAAATTAGTAGTTGCGAATTAGTCGAAGGTAAAATCATTCGGAGTCGCGCATCGCGACTGGGTGCCCGCCGAGAGCACATCGAACTCGAGTGGCGTAGGTATGACTCGCTTTCCGACCGTTTGTATGAAGATAGAAGAATACTGTATGATATTATTACCGTGCTTAAACACACCCGTGGGGGGGGGGGGGCTAAGGCTACATGGGCCTGTGATGTTAACTCGAGCGATGTATACATGATGTGTTAGCCTCCCAATTTCTCTAGCGCGATGTAGGCTTTCCATACAATTGAGTGAGCGCCATCTCTTGACAAGACGAGTGATTTCATCCTCAATTAGTTATATGCGGGGCGACTAGATGTCGCCAAGTACATCGACTTAGAAATCCTGTCACTGTCATAAGCTTTTGCAGGATCTTCGAAGCTTTTGACCTGGTGACCCAAGAACAAGTAGCACTGAAGGTGGAGTACGCCAGGCAAACCAAACAGGTGCTCAAGAATTTTACCCGAATGCCATTGGCACTAATATTCGGCCTAACGACCAAGTGTAATCGCGCCAGTATTTCAAGTTTTCAGTACCTGGTACGCAATCGACCTTTGACGACCTCCGTGGCCGAGTGGTTTATACGCCGGGTTTCATGGTGTCGCCGACTCGAGAGGTCCCGGGTTCGAATCCCAGAGGAGGCAGATGTTTGTGTGATGAACACACGAGCCTTTGTACTCCAGTCATGGATATTTGATATGTATTTCTATATAAATATACTCATATGTGTATACTATCCGTTACCCTAGTATCCCATACCACAAGCCTTACAGTACTTACTTTGGGGCTAGGCTAGTTGGAAATATATATTTATTTATTTCATTTGTTTCAGGCAAGGAGCACGTCTGTCGTTTCATTGGCTGCGGTCGCAATGCCCGTTTCAACTACGTCGTGATGCAGCTGCAAGGAAGGAACCTGGCTGAACTGAGAAGAGCACAGCCTAGAGGAGCATTCTCTCTGTCTACTACGCTTAGGTGAGGACATTTTTTACCATGGATAAGATAGTTGTATTTTTAGCAGCCTAAGAAGTATTAGAGAAAATTCAGCACGGCCATTAGAGGCGCGGTATAATGTTCCTAGCATTTGTCCGGATAGCGAAGGGTGCGGGTTCGAGTCCCGCCTGCTGCCTGGTTCGCGTGGAATTTGTATAATAAGTTAGTGTCCTTTACTTACAGGTTGGGGCTTCAAATACTCAAAGCAATAGACTCTATACATTCTGTCGGATTTCTACATAGAGATATTAAACCTGTAAGTAAATCATTATATTTTTTCTGAATTTATTAGCGCGCATTATATCGCCATTGACATTCGTCTCCCACAGCCTTACTGGAGGACTGGTAGAGAATGTCTATGGCATTAAGTCCGTCGTTTACCGTTTTTTTGGTAATAAAAAATATTTATTTTTTGTAATAAAAATATTCATTACACATTTTATTTTATTTATAATAAATAGTTCATACAAACTTTCTGTAATTTATAATGAGAGCCTTTAATTTTATTCTCACCTAAGCTTACTTTTATTATAATAAATCAGGTCCTTAGTTTTAAAATATCCTGTGCCTGTTATTTGTAAAACCATATTGTATAAAAAATTTGGGAATAAATTATTATTATATTAAAACTAGCTTTTGCCCACGACTTTGTCATCCTTAGTTATGCTCAGTTTTTTGACAATATCACATCCGGATCCTAACATTTAGATCATACATATATATATATATATGTGATCTAGTGTCATTTGTGTTTTTTTTTAAATATGCATTGAGTGAAATTTTTCGCCCATGGTTTTATTTCCCTGGGTTTTTTTTGATGGAAAAGTCGAAGTATGTGTTTCAAAATCATTTGCATGCATTAAAGGTTTTTGTGTTCCGGTTTAGAGTAACTTCAGTATCGGTCGTCACCCGTCCAACTGCCGGAAGGTGTATATGCTGGATTTTGGCCTCGCCCGACAGTATACAACAAGTAATGGGGCTGTTAGGCCTCCAAGGGCCGCCGCCGGATTCAGAGGTGCGTAAACACCCAGACACTAGCCAACTTTCATGTCATTTCATCCTTTTAAATGATTTTATAACTCATAATCACGACCTCCGTGGCCGAGTGGTTTGTACGCCGGGTTTCATGGTGTCGCCGACTCGAGAGGGGTTCCCGGGTTCGAATCCCGGTGGGGGCAAATGTTTGTGTGATGAACACGAGCATTTGTTCTCCAGTCATGGATGTTTAATATGTATTTCTATAAAAATATACTTATATATGTATTCTATCCGTTACCCTAGTATCCCATAACACAAGCTTTATAGTGCTTACTTTGGGGCTAGGCTAATTGGAGTGTTGGAAATATTTATTTATTATTATTTTATTATATATTATTATATACAAATAATATTACGATAAAAAATTAACTAATAATTATCATCTATTTTTTAATTCATTCAAGTTTAATCCTATCTTTAGAGCTAACTTTGAAATCCTCACGCAATAACATTATATTCTAAACCTTTGTAAAAATCACCGGGGAGTCTAATCCCCTGTCCATACCACTTAATATGTTAGTTGTATAAGGGTTGTCTAATATTCTGTGTTCAGTGAGAAATAAAATTCAGTGTTCCTTCTATATATGACTTATTTCGCATAGTAAAACCCTTAAACCTTGTTCTTTTGGTGTCAATGAGGATGGTTTGAGAAAGCTTCAAAATCTAAATTTAGAGAAATAGTTGAGTTCTTGATACCTATACTTAGAACGATGGTATCTCTATTATAGTCCAGTCAAACTAGACAAAAATAAGTTAAAACTTAGCCAAAATTCGCATAGAGCCAAAAATTGGTAGACTTTTAATGCACTATTATAAATTAAATGTCAAAAGTCTCCTTCGATCCTACTTTTTCAAAAAAAATGTTCAACATTTTTTCGTGAAAATAGATTAGAAAAAAGTTTTATCGTGAAAATAGATTAGAAAAAAGTTGTAGATCATACAATAGGGTATTTGACAGTATTAAAAATAAAGTGCCAATTGTTAGCATCAGTGTTTAGAATGAATATTGGCAGTGGTTTTTACTATTTTTACAAAAATAGTATTAATAATTTTACTAAAAACTCACGAAAAAGATAATAGTTTTCTTATCTATTGCCACGTGACCCAAAACGCTTGGGATTGGCGGAGCCTAAAATAACGTCACACGCAAGTAAACTTCCGGTTAAAATGACATTACATTGTATCGTTTGACGTTTTAATAACAGTCGTGTAACGTCACACACTAGTAAGAGGCCATATTGTCCAGAAAAACGTTTTTGCGGCAACTTGAAAATGGAGTTTTTGATTTGGTTATTTTTACTGAAATACTCGTATACAACAGAATGATGAATATCCACTTTTTACGGACTCCATAAACATTAGACAATAACGTGAGATCGTTATCTAAAACTTGTTAAAACACTTTTTTTCGTACGACTCACCATTCGTGATATATCGCGGTTTTAACAGTGGGAAAATTCATATTCTACATAATATGCACACATTTCCGCACCACCTATGAGGTAATGTACTTGGCGCATTTTTTAACTTGGTTTCCCCAGTAGGCATACTCCACGATCTATTGCGATAACGTAAGTTTGATCAGTAACCTTTAGCACGAACCAATATCGAATTCGAATCGTTTGCGAGTCCGAAATGACATTGTCAAATGTGTACTGATTTTTAGTTCTTGTTACGTCCGTTGTGGCGCTGCTGCTGTTCAAGTTCCCATACAAAATTTGACATTGACATTTCGAACAGAACGGATTTTCAACTCTATGCAAATTTTGGCTAAGTCTGTCTATTTTGACTGGACTATTAGGACATTGTCTTCAATAACCAATATCCTTTTCATGACATTACTTTCTCATATTGTGATTTCGAAATTTACTAAAATATCTATTTATTATCGTTTCTTTCCCAGGCACTGTAAGGTACGCGTCCATAAACGCTCACAAGAACAAAGAGATGGGTCGCCACGACGATCTATGGTCCCTCTTCTATATGCTCGTTGAGTTCGTCAACGGACAGCTGCCTTGGCGGAAGATCAAGGATAAGGAACAGGTATACTTCCTATACAGCTATGCGATCCTGGTAACAGCAAGATAATATTTACTAAACATTTTAACCCCCGACGCAAAAAGAGGGGTGTTATAAATTTTAAGTGTCTGTGTGTCTGTCAGCTTTTAGGGTTCCGGACCATAATCAGCAAAAACGGAACCCATACAGGATCACTCGTTTGTCTATCTGTCTGTCACAGTCGATTTGCTCGGAATCTGTTGAACCGATTTATTTCAATAATGTCTCAAATTCCGACAGAATCTTTTACGGTATATCCTTACCTTGCTATGAAAAGGAGAGACTTTTTAAATAAATGCCAGCATTAAAAGCGTGCTTCGGAAGGCACGTTAAGCCGTTGGTCCCGGCTGTATCTGCAGTCTCCAGCATCCACCTATCGGCAATGGGCCCGCGTGGTAGGTCATGGCCCAATCTCCCTGTTATCCATAGGGAAGGCCTGTGCCCCAGCAGTGGGGACATTAATAGGCTGATGATGATGATTAAAAGCGTATTTTCCCTTACCCCCTCAGGTCGGGCTCATGAAAGAGAAGTACGACCATCGTCTCCTTCTCAAACACTTGCCGTCCGAGCTCCGTCAGTTCCTAGAGCACGTTCAACAATTGGAATATGCCGACACGCCGGATTACGCGATGCTTGGTGCGTTACTGGAACGCTGCTGCAAGCGACGCGGCGTGAGGGATGCCGACCCTTACGACTGGGAGAAGGATGTGAGTTTCATTAACCTCCTTTAGGTTTCTAGTAGCTTGGTACTTATGCACCATAACAATGGGAAATATGCTTGAATGATAGCTGGACACCGAACCCTACGCCTAGGAGAACTACGTGAGAGTTGAAATGAAGGATTGCGTTCTGTAATAGTGTCAGAAGAAGGATAAGAGTGTACCTCTTGTAGGTTTATAATAGCCTGGTACTTTCGTAATATACTATATAGTATGAGGAGGACACGAGTGACCTTCTTCATTCTCATGATAGCCTGGTAGGTGTAAGGGATGCCGACCCTTACGACTGGGAGAAGGATGTGAGTTTCATTAACCTCCTTTAGGTTTCTAGTAGCCTGGTACTTGCATCCCATAATAATAGGAAATATGCTAGTGTTTTATCATCTTGAATGATAGCGCGACACCGGCCGCTAGGACATAGGTCTTATTAAAATGAAGGATTGCGTTCTGTAATAAATAGTGTCGGAAGAAGGATATAAGTGTACCTCTTGTAGGTTTATAATAGCCTGGTACTTTCGTTCTCTAATAGTATGAGGAGGACATGAGTGACCTTCTTCATTCTCATGATAGCCTGGTACTTGTGTTATATAGTGTAGTAGGGTGAAGGGAAGTAAGAGTCTCATGGTAGCTTGGTTTAGGTGAGGGAAGTACGATAGTATATCTGTAGGTTCAACAGCTGAAATACGCCAACACGCCGGATTACGCGATGCTTGGTGCGTTACTGGAACGCTGCTGCAAGCGACGCGGTGTGAGGGATGCCGACCCTTACGACTGGGAGAAGGATGTGAGTTTCATTAACCTCCTTTAGGTTTCTAGTAGCCTGGTACTTGCGCCCCATAATAATGGAAAATATGCGAGAAGAACGAGTCTTATTAAAATGAAGGATTGCGTTCTGTAACAAATAGTGTCGGAAGAAGGATATAAGTGTACCTCTTGTAGGTTTATAATAGCCTGGTACTTTCGAACTCTAATAGTATGAGGAGGACACGACTGACCTTCTTCATTCTCATGATAGCCTGGTACTTGTGTAATAGTGTAGTAGGGTGAAGGGAAGTAAGAGTCTCATGGTGTGCCTGGATCGGGTGAGGGAAGTACGAAGGTATATCTGTAGGTTCAACAGCTGAAATACGCCGGCACGCCGAATTACGCGATGCTTGGTGCGTTACTGGAACGCTGCTGCAAGCGACGCGGCGTGAGGGATACCGACCCTTACGACTGGGAGAAGGATGTGAGTTTCATTAACCTCCTTTAGGTTTCTAGTAGCCTGGTACTTGTGCCCCATAATAATAGGAAATATGCATCATCTTGAATGATAGCGCGACACCGGCCGCTAAGACTGAGAGAAGGACATAAGTCTTATTAATATGAAGGATTGCGTTCTGTAATAAATAGTGTCGGAAGAAGGATATAAGTGTACCTCTTGTAGGTTTATAATAGCCTGGTACTTTCGTTCTCTAATAGTATGAGGAGGACATGAGTGACCTTCTTCATTCTCATGATAGCCTGGTACTTGTGTAATAGTGTAGTAGGGTGAAGGGAAGTAAGAGTCTCATGGTGTGCCTGGATCGGGTGGGGGAAGTAGTTGAACGTGACAACGTTTTTTTACAATGTACATAGTTTTTACAAGTATGAATGTGCTTTGAGCAATCGTTTTACAACTTTTAAACATGTGTAATATCATTACTTTTATCGCCGCAATTATCGTTGCTATAAACAATTGACACCACATTCACTTTTCATTGCATACTTGACGAAAACATGTAAATGTATTATTGTATAGCAGTTGTCCACGCGGACGCATCGCTCATCCATGTAGGAGAGAGACAGATGTCGAACGCTGCCGAGCGCGGAGGCCGATTGTGCCTCTTTGTCGCTCGTTGCGCGCTCTCACTTGCACTTCAAGCCTTAAATGGAATGCCTCAGAGCGAGGTAACGCCACATGAGTCATGTTTTTCCGTGCGTGCAGCTGGCTCCATCGAATTATAAGACGTTGTCACGTCAAAAGGACGTGAGTGATGATAATCTTTTCTATTCTCATAATAGCCTGGTACTTTCTTTCTTCAATAGTATGAGGATAATGACGAGAGTGCAACCTCCTGTGTTTTTATGATAGCGTGATACTTTGGTTTCGGAAAAATACGATTGTATCGACTAGGATAAGGACGTGGAGGACCTCCTTTAGGTTTATGGTATTGTATTTGTGTCTAGTGATAGTATGATAGATGTTGCTAGAGTGCTGCTGCTACGACTGGGAGAATGATGCGCGTGTTGCTTCCTATAGGGTTATGGTAGCCTGGTACATTCAGTATGTGATAGTATAGCACTACGCGATGCTGGCCGCGCAGCTGTAACGCGTCACTTTGACAACCATTATTTTCAATTGACAGCTCTGAATGAGGTGCATTCAAAGAGGTATAAGAATAGAGTGGGGAAGGCGGCTCTAAAAGTGTCCGTCTAGTAGAAAGAGAAAGAAGATGAGAGACCGTTAGCTATCTCTCTCTCTCTTGTGACGTATGTCATCCAATGGCATCACATCGAAATATTAAGATGCTTACGGTTGCCAATGCGCATGCGCGATTAGAGAGAAGCTAGCGGTCTCTCACCTTCTTTCTCTTTCTATTAGAGGGACACTACCACTTGTAGTAGAGTCTATATCTCCCCTATTCTATTATTATACCTCTATGGGTGCATTTTAAAGTGCGACAAAATCTTGTGGCGTTTTGCCTAAATTGGAACTAATTTTAAGATGGTATAAAGAAAGAAGCCTTTTATTTATAGAGGTGATGCAAATGAGCATTGTATATTTTTCCAATTTCTCTTTCCAGCAGCGCCATCTTGTCAATGTCATAAAAGTGCCATAAGATCTTAGACGCATGGATAGACACTGTAATGGCATAGTGGTGCAGATGCACTTATTTCACATGAATTTGAATCAAAACATAACCTAAATCGAAAGAAGTTAAAAGTAAAATAAAATAATTCTAAGAGGCAATTTTATTTTTCCAGACATGGTTGTTATTGTTATGACGTTGAAAAACTCGGTAAGAATATGTTTGAGATTGGTTCAAAACTGCTCGAGCCGTTACAGATATTTGAATTTCATGTAAATATTTCTTATATGTTTCATTGATGTATTTGACTATTTGGTTGTCTTTATTTTGTATTATATTTGTATGAGAAAACACATAACGGCTATATGCTTGTGAGAGTAATCATTTTTGAAATGGAATGTTGATCGAAATTTTACCTCATTGTTCATGTTGTTTATTTTCATTTGGATTGTCCTTTCTGTTTTGTGTCTGTATTTTAAATATTATATGGGTTTTGTAGAAAAAGAAGGGACTTCTTTTCATTATTATAAAAATAGTTTAAAGAATCACATGCTGCCATCAGCCCATGAAAATAAAAAGAATACGTATTGTTTGAGGAGCTCGATGGCGCCGGTGGTAAGCGCGTTCGGCTGCGATTGTTGAAGTTAAAAAACTTTGGCAGTGGTCGGTCATTGAATGGGTGACCAAAAATATTCTATCTCGAGTTTCTCCGTGCTTCAGAAGGCACGTTAAGCCGTTGGTCCCCAGCTGCATCTGCAGTCGTTAGCAACCGCCAATCCTCACTGGGCCCGCGTGGTGAGTCACGGCCCGCACTCCCTATTCCATCCATAGGGAAGGTCTGTGCCCCAGCAGTGGGTACATGAATAGGCTCTGATGGTGATAATGTATTGTTTAAGGCGGTGTCCGTGCCCCGCGCCCGCGCCACCGCACATCCCACGCCAGAGCACGCGCTGCCCACGGACACACAGCCAGACAACGTGAGTTTATCTATATAACACGTCTAGGAAGGCCAACGACGAAGATCTTCCTCCGAGCTGGGTGATGTTAGCTCGGGGCCGCCGCCCGACTGATGTTGGTCAGACATTATATATATAGAGTATAAGCCTCCGAATTTCACTTGCGCGATGTAGGCTTCTTTACTGTTCTGATCGCAGCGCAGGTAGCGTCATCTCTTGGGGGGCGCGTGATTATTTTCTCCATGTTAGTTATATGTGGAGCATGTAGATGTCGCCTCTACATAGTGCACACCCTGAAACTAGTTTGGTTGGTATTAGTCTCTGAATCGATATCAAATCATAAATCATAATCTTTATTTGCTAAAAACACGGTATATAGGTATTACACAACGGTTTGAGCACGTGTTTTGCCATTTTAAAAATAGCATGCAAATACATAATATGGAATATGGAGTAATTTGCAATACAAATAAAAATTTATCTAAAAAAATCAGGATAAAGTAATGGATTTTAATTTAATCATTCTAAGCAATTCAAAGCAAAACAATTCTTCTATATAAATAAAGAAATAATCGTCGAAATGTATGTACCCACATACATAACTTTCGAAAGACTGCACCTAATTGAATGAGAGAGCAACATTTCAACAATTGGTTGTCAAACTTTGGATGAATGCTTTTTTGCTCTTCCCGACAATTAAGAAATCGAAATATTATGCTGTTTTTGTATTAAAATATCAATGCTTCTCAATTTCCTTTAAATATAATGCACCCGTACATTTAACACAGTAAATTATATATTTTCCTTAACTTCGGAATAACATTACGATAACATACATCTTTCTTTTAAAAGTTTTCTTAAAAAAACTTTACTTACACTACAATTTAATCCGATAGTTGGCGCTGCAGCCTTTTTTTTAAGTTTTTCTTAATATTTCTATCAGGCAAGACAACGTATTCAGTGTTTTCTTGTAATAAGTATCATCAATCTATCTCGGCACAGACCCGTCGTCGGCCGGAAACGGAAGCGACGACCGGCATTGCCACAGACACCGCCACTCCGCTACAGAAGGACAAACCAGAGAGACGAGCCGTCGCTTCCCCTAGACATGCGCCCAATCATCTCAACGGTTATGTAAGTGATATAACATATCATATCGTATAGTATAGTTATATATGGGGCCATTCGCCTAACGGAAATGCTTTGGAAAACGCTAACGCTTACGATTTCATTTTGTTATTTCTAGCCGCCTGAGGTTTTCAAATGCCTCGCGCTCTTTTTGTTCTTTTGCATTGGTAATAACAATATTAAAGAAAATGAGCGTGAGGTATTTGAAAACCTTCGGCGGTCAGAAATAACAAAATTAAATCGAGAGCGTTAGCGTTTTCCAAAGCATTTCCGTTTGGCGAATGGCCCCCTGGGGTCCTTTAAAAGAGGCGTGAAGAAGCATTTTTGCAGGCCGGCAAGGTGAGGATTGTTGGTGTAGCAGTTTATAACTGCTGTACCAGCTATCTTCGCGTTTGGACTTTAACACCTAAGTAACATTAGGTGGGGTAAATAAGTGATACTATAGATGGACAAATCATAGAGACGAGCCGTCGCTCGCTTCCCCGTAAATTTTCATAAACAACCTTTCTCATTGTAAGTGAAGACATCAAATCCACCGAATTTGATATTTGACGGAAAAAAATATGAGATTTACTTTCGCCTTGCATAATAATAGTATCACATGAGTGTTTTAATACCTAATTATAAACAGTAGCATACAAGACTTTTTCTACACCAATCTTTAGAAAGTCATATCACTTTTATTTAAACTAAAAACAAACTTATTCAAGTATCATGCCAATTTATAGCATTCCAGGTTCGATAAACAGATTTATGATAGAATATTTTTTCTTTGCCACAGTCAGCCACAGACAAACCGACCACAGACAAGGAGGTAGAACCTAGAACGACGCCAGCGCCGTCGCCCGATAGGCATGCTAAGGTAAGATTTAACTTTACATTAAATAACAGTAAATTGTCACTTTTAAGTCGTTTTTAATGTTGATACCTAATCATAGGCCTTATTTGCTAAAAGCATGTTATAAAAGTGGTATATAAATTTGACACGTTCATTTAAAAATTTTGACGATTGATGATGACTTTAAAAAAACACCAAACACTTAGACATCTTTCAAGTTCAGACGAAAAGAAAGAAGAGAGAGAACCCAGGACGGTTCGAATCCCTGTGGAGTAAATATTTTTTTAATGAATGTGATTTTTGGGGGCTAGGCTGTTCGGTGTGAGTGTAAATAATATTTATTTGTTTACATTATGGATGGATATAATATCTAATTATGTTTTGGGAAGATTTACAAACCGTTCGTAAATCTACGGCGGGAGACCTTGTACTGAGAAGAACCGGCAAGAAACTCAGCAAGGACTGCTTTTTTCTCCCTGTTTCATTATTTACAGAGTCGTGAAGTTGCAAAATGCCTTTAGAGATAATTCATGTAGTCACCTTTCAGTACATAATGTGAAATTATATATTAATTGTTCAACTGCATTTTGATTGCTGTGTCATACAGTATAAAAAAATGTGGTGGTTTTCTAGGAGACTAGTAACTCTGTAGTTACTGGAAGTACGGCAGCCCGCCCTGAAAGACAAAGCGTGCCGCCTTGCAAGCCTCGAGCCCCAGCGCCAGGTCAGACTTGAACTATAAATTAGAAATTAATTAATAATAATGAGGGCTACCGTTTTCTGCCTCACCAGATGGCGCCACTGTTGAGTGAGGTCCTAAATTGTAACTTTTAAAGTTTATTAATACGCACATGAAATCAAAGGTTACATTTAGATCGTATTTTAACACAAAAGAACCATATCCTAAACATAATAGGCCATGCCACAGTGACGCGCAGTTCCGTTTTATTCAGAAAAAATGGAAACATAATCATATTTCTGAGCTCAAATTTTTAATAACTGACATTCATTGCCACATAACTCATATTTTCCATAATTAAGCCGAATTGTTACCAATTATTCACAACATTATTTTAATTATAAATAAACCCGCGTAGTCAACCGACAAGCAATAACATTTGACATTTCGGAGACCTCACGCTACACTAGCGCCTCTAGCGGCGGATTCATACGCGATAGCCCTCATTGATATAGGTTATTTGCGCTCGATGCCGATGGCGCAGGTGGTTAGCGCGTTCGGCTGCGAGCGTTGAAGTTAAGCAACTTTCGCAGTGGTTGGTCATTGGATGGGCGACCAAAAATTTACTATCCTATATTGTACTATGTTGTTAGCCCCCGCCAATCCGCACTGGGCCCGCGTGTTGGGTCGTGGCCCAATCTCCCTATTCCATCCATAGGGAAGGCCTGTGCCCCAGCAGTGGCGACATTAATAGGCTAGACACAGCTTAAGAATGGCTAGAAGAATTTCCCATCAGGGCCGCGGTAGCATAATTGGTCAGTGCATTCGCCCGGATAGCGAAGGGTACGGGTTCGAGTCCCTTCTGCTGCCTGCTCCGCGTGGAATTTTTTCTAGTTATATTTTCTTTAGATTTAAACATCAAGCAGTTACATGCTTAAAAAAATAAAAATTATAACAAACATTAAGTTACCTAATTGTAATTTATTTTTCTGAATAGTTTATGAAACTTTTATCTAACATTAGGGTAGGGTAATAGGTGTGAGTGTAGGAAATATTTATTTATTTATATATTGGAAAGTATTAATAAAATTAAGATTAATATGGCGAAAATATAGAAATAATTATTGTATACAGGTGGCGGGCCGACGCTTGCCCGCTTGCGAGTGGTAACAGCTCCCCCTACTTGTGTACAAGAATTGCACCATGCTTTGCCTGCCACGCCGGGTAAGTACCAAACCACTACACTACACTACATTTGATTATATAACACAGACTGAAACACTACGACGCACAGAACACAGAAAGAGGCGAAGGCTGAAACGCTACGAGCGTCACATGCGACAATATATACATCTAATATATAAAATTCTCATATCACGGTGTGCGTAATTGAACTACTCCGAAACGGCTCGACCGATTTTCGTGAATTTCGTTATGCATATTCAGTAGGTCTGAGAATCGGACAATATCTTTTTTTCATCCACCTTAATGTTAAGGGTGGTCCATTAATTTTTGTTTGGATTAAATTATTTATTTGTTTCTTAGGTTTTTACGCACTATTAAACAAAACTAGTTTTAACTGGTTAATTCACGAACTTTATTTATTTATAGACGTTTCGCAGCCTTTTCAGGTCTGCATCGTCAGAATAATGAATAATTGCATGCACTATTGCGTGCATTAACCCGTTAAAACTAGTTTTATTTAATTAAATTATTTGTTTTTTTATGATACATCATACCATAATACATGCAACCCTAAATTTTCACCCTTCTACCACTAACCCCTATTTTTTATGGTGATAATAAATTCACTGGGACAACTAGTATATATATATCTAATATATAAAATTCTCGTGTCGCGTAAACCACAAACATGGTTAAACTCCTCCGAAACGGCTTTCCCGATTCTCATGAAATTTTGTGTGCATATTGGGTAGGTCTGAGGATCGGAAAACATCTATTTTTCATCCCCCTAAATGTTAAGGGTAATCCACCTCTAATTTTTTTTTTTCAATTTTAGATATATTTTTTTATTTTTTTATGATACAGCATTAGTAAATACATATAACCCTAAATTTTCACTCTTCTACCACCAACCCCTATTTTTTTATGGCGGTACGAAGTTCGCTGGGTCAGCTACTATATATATATATGAGTGATGCGTGCGCTGCTCCATTCCCCTATGCCATAAGCACCGCCTAATGTTAGAATATTGAAGAAAAGACGTTTCACTTCAGATGTGTGTTTCGTGCACACATTTTTTTTAAATCATTTTTCAACTAATATGACTGTAAATTTAACAGCAGTGCTCAATGAAGATGTATATGACTTTTTTGGTTTTATAGCAAAGTCTGTCGATTTGAGTTATAACCTGTCTGTCACTAGGGTAGGATTTTATAAGCTCAAGAATATTTCGCCGCACACCATATTGATACAATTTATCAAATAGTATATTAAAATCTACCAAATCAAATGCCTTTGTCAAATCCATGTACAAGCCCATAACCTGCTTACCCGAGTCCATACAAGAAATATTTTTTTATACAAATTCAGATATTGCCATATTAATACTTTTATTTTTACGAAATCCTTGCTGTTCTTGAGCTAGCAAGTTATTATTCTCAATGTATGAGTATAGTTTTTCATATATTACTTTTTCAAACACCTTGGACAAAACAGATACCAATACTATAATGGTCTCACAGATGTGACAATTTTGGATTTTAATTTAGAGATAATTTTTCGATAACCTCCATGGCCGAGTAGTTTATACGCTGGGTTTCATGATGTCGCCGACTCGAGAGGTCCCGGGTTCGAATTTTATGTGATGAATATGAGCATTTGTACTCCAGTCATGGATGTTGAATATGTATTTCTATATAAATATACTTATATATGTACAGTTTATGTATTCTATCCGTTACCCTAGTAACCCATGACACAAGCCTTACAGTGCTTACTTTGGGGCTAGGCTAATTGGTGTGAGTGTTGGAAATATTATTCATCTATTATTTATCTTTAACAGGCGAAGCTGTCAGTCCACGGATAGTAGCTGACGTCGAAAGCGTACACTCGGATACACATTTCAAGAGAGGTAAGATGATCTCTCCTATTCTCTCTTTTTGGGTTCAGTTTGACTTTGCGAAGCTCGTGCTATTTTCACCCTAAAAGCAAACGGCAATACTCTATAATGCAGATTTATTTCAATCGGAAAGTCTAGAATTCCGCCAAGAAAATGGAAAAACTACTCAGACAACACACGGACAAGTCAATTAACTTAAGTTTGACTAAAGTTGATGTTGTCTCTTTATTTCCCATAACTACAGAGTAAAATAACACGTGACTTTAATTGACATTACATTTATTCGGCACCGTAACAGCGTTATTTGCTTGTTCGACATAAAAACAGCTCCATTTATACCGATCAAAAGGGACTTTCTAGATATCTATAACATTAATGAATTCGTTGACTGCGAACCGAAAAATTTGCCTTGATTACCCATAGATGGCGCTGTTCTGAATTATAAATTGTAGGAAGGCCAAAGAAGAGAAATATCTTCCTCCGAGTTGGATGATGGTAGCTCGGGGGCCGCGGCCCGACTGATGTTGGTCGGGCATTGGTTATGGAGTGTTAGCCTCCGAACTATAATGATACTGAAACCTTGCTTCAAAATTTATAATAATCGAACACACATACACACACACACACTCACTCACTCGCTCGCTCGTTCACTCACTTACTCACTCACTCACACACACACACGCACACACACACACACACACACACACACACACACACACACACACACACACACACACACACACACACACACACACAAACACAGACGTAACAGATATATACATTAGACTAAACAAACAACGTGTAAAAATCGTTATAGATATTAACGGGATTGTTACCATGTACCTTGTTTTTTATGAGTCTCCGATATTTCGGCACTGTTGCAAGCGCCATGATCACGGAGTAACTGAAGTAATTGCGGGTAGATGTTATTGGCAGACATATCGGTCTACCCTCTGACGTCGTCTTTTACTGCGTTCGATACTACCACTACCATTGGTCACATTCTCACTATTCACTCGCATTTGTTCCCGGCACACAATACTCACAGTATCAGATCGCGGAACGACACTTTTTTGATTTTTGCGGTTTTTACACATACGAACCACTGGATTCCACACACTAGACAATTTAAACCCATCCTCACGATTGAAATTCTTGTGTTTGGTTATTTCAATCGCTTCCCTGACCAATCTTGGTATGTAGTGGCGTTCTGTCGAGATAATTTGTGGCTTATGGAGCTCAATCCAGTGATTAGGACCCGAATCAATTAAATGTTCCGCGATGGCTGATTTTTGCGTATCATTATTTCTGACTGCTTTAATGTGTTCTTTCATTCGGCACGCTATTGTCCGCTTCGTTTGGCCAATATAAGAACTACCACAGCTGCAGTCGATCTTGTATACACCAGGTTTCTCCAAGGGGAAGTTATCTTTAGGAGACCGTAGAATCTGTGATACTTTTTGTAAAGGAGTGAAGACAGTATTCAGTGAGTACTTATTAAGTATGTTAGAGATCTTGTCTGTCACTCCTTTGACATATGGCAAAAATAGTGGTTGCCTGTCTACTTTGTGTTTCTGGTGTCTTAATTTGTGTTTGGGTGGAAACTTTCCCTTGTATCCGTTATTCTGTAAGACCTGCCGTACATGCTCCAACTCTTCGTGCTGGTGTTCCTTGTCACATAAGTCATATGCACGGTTCGTCAGTGAAGTGACTACAGAATTTAGATGTTTAGGGTGGTGATGCGAGGAGGCGTTGAGATAACGGTCTGTGTGTGAAGCTTTGCGGTGAATGGAGTGACTCAGCGAACCGTCATTCCGCACTCGAATCTTTACATCAAGAAAGGCCAGACTTCGGTCTTCTTCCATCTCATATGTGAACCGCATTTTGGTATGGACTCCATTCAAATTTGCCAAGTGTGCCTCGACATCTTCTTTGTTTCCTCTCAAAACACAAAATACGTCATCGACATACCTCTTACATAGTGCAATTTCTGTGGGGGCGGTGACGAAAGCTTTTTCCTCAAAATACTCCATCCATATATTGGCTACTACTGGAGCTACCGGACTGCCCATTGCCACCCCATCTATTTTGAGGTAGTACTGACCTTGGTATATAAAGAAGTTCGTTGACAAACAATGATGTAACAACTTGGCATATTCTGTCGGGATGCCATTGTCCTGCAACTTCACCTTTACTACTTCCAGACAGTCCAACACAGGTACATTTGTGAAAAGTGATTCCACGTCGAAACTAACCATCAACTGATTGTATTCCACCTTGTTTTGGTGTAAGATTTCCACGAAATGGCGGGAATCCTTTACAAATGACGATGTTCGTCCCACTAACGGCTGCAATATTTTTCTGCAATATTTCTGCGTTACAGAATAACGGATACAAGGGAAAATTTCCACCCAAACACAAATTAAGACACCAGAAACACAAAGTAGACAGGCAACCACTATTTTTGCCATATGTCAAAGGAGTGACAGACAAGATCTCTAACATACTTAATAAGTACTCACTGAATACTGTCTTCACTCCTTTACAAAAAGTATCACAGATTCTACGGTCTCCTAAAGATAACTTCCCCTTGGAGAAACCTGGTGTATACAAGATCGACTGCAGCTGTGGTAGTTCTTATATTGGCCAAACGAAGCGGACAATAGCGTGCCGAATGAAAGAACACATTAAAGCAGTCAGAAATAATGATACGCAAAAATCAGCCATCGCGGAACATTTAATTGATTCGGGTCCTAATCACTGGATTGAGCTCCATAAGCCACAAATTATCTCGACAGAACGCCACTACATACCAAGATTGGTCAGGGAAGCGATTGAAATAACCAAACACAAGAATTTCAATCGTGAGGATGGGTTTAAATTGTCTAGTGTGTGGAATCCAGTGGTTCGTATGTGTAAAAACCGCAAAAATCAAAAAAGTGTCGTTCCGCGATCTGATACTGTGAGTATTGTGTGCCGGGAACAAATGCGAGTGAATAGTGAGAATGTGACCAATGGTAGTGGTAGTATCGAACGCAGTAAAAGACGACGTCAGAGGGTAGACCGATATGTCTGCCAATAACATCTACCCGCAATTACTTCAGTTACTCCGTGATCATGGCGCTTGCAACAGTGCCGAAATATCGGAGACTCATAAAAAACAAGGTACATGGTAACAATCCCGTTAATATCTATAATGTTAGTGACCATGAAAGTTTAAAACAATATAGTGTAAAAATCGTTTTGTAAAAAATATGGCATTAAGTTTGGAAGAGTTATAGAAGAGCTCTCATATATTGTATTACTAGCAAATATTGGTTATAGAAATAAAGTATTTTTGATTTTTTTTATACGTATTGATCGCATCAGTAGCGCCATCTCTTGAGGAGGCGAGTGATGATTTCCTCCGTCCGTTGGATATACGTGGGGCATATAGATGTCCAGTTTAGGAAGGCCAAAGGGGAAGATCTTCCTCCGAGCTGGGTGATGTTAGCTCGGGGGTCGCGGCCCGAATGATGTTGGTCGGGCATCGTATATATGAGCTACCGAATTTCACTTGCGCGATGTAGGCTTCCTTACGTTGTGAACGCAGCGCCGGTAGTGCCATCTCTTGAGGAGGCGTAAGATTGTTTCCTTCATGTTAGTTATATGTGGGGCGTGTAGAAGTCGCCGCCACTGCAGCCGCATAAATCTTTTTCATTTGGTCTAATCCTGTTATTTTCTTGTCTATACAGGTAACAGAAGGCAAGCCAGGCCGCGTGCCGACCAAAGTTATACCCAATTCGCTGTCATGGATGATGAAAACGTTTCGGCATTACAGCAGGTAAAAATAAACTATACTACTAAATTGAAATAATTTAACAAATTTTTGGCAACACCCAACGATATCAAATACCCTAGATACAACATCACGAACAAAATCGTGGCAAAAACCTGTCCAAAAGGTACATTGGATGATCCACGGAGCTCCGTAAGATGATCGCGTAATCAAAAACTTAAATTTTCCAGAATTAAAAAGAATAGGGGTGATGACGGGGTTACAGTAAACGAAATTCTATTCAGTCCGTCAGTTAGATGATCAAAAAATAATGGACATGTATTTTTTCTTTGGGCAATCAACCAATTCGCTATAAATTACAAAGTTATAGCGCGTCAAAGTTTGGGAGTAGGGACTCGTAACGTCACTTTTAAGTGAAAATTGTACCAAAACGTGACGTCATGCGACTTTTCAAATCAATATATCTACAATGTTTATGTTATGTGAAAAAAGAAAAAATACGTGTCCAATACTTTTTGATAATCTACCTGATAAACGAAGAAAAAATAATTAGTCATCCCTATTCGCTAACTAATTACGTTTTGATTTATAAAATGTACTTTCTCTCTCTACTATAGGTCACAAAAGGCGGTGCTTTAACACTAGTTTCTCTATGGAAGTCGCAATTCGACGATTCCGAAGAGACCACAGACAATGAATGGAAACAGGAACAACTTCAGGTATTTATGTAGTTTTTTCTCAAATATCATTTTAAAGTTTTCTATTTTCATTTAAACTATGGCGGGCGGAAAAGTGTGCTCAGGAATACAACCTATACAGCCACGTAAATATTTTATGCAACTACATAAGTGAGGAGCTCGATGGCGCGGGTGGTTAGCGCGTTTCGGCTGCGATCGTTGAAGTTAAGCAACTTTCACAGTGGTCGGTCCATTGGATGGGTGACCAAAAATCTTCTATCTCGAGTTCCTCCGTGCTTCGGAAGGCACGTTAAATCGTTGGTCCCGTCTGCATCTGCAGTCGTTAGCACCCGCCAATCCGCACTGGGCCCGCGTGGTGGGTCATGAGTGACCCAATCTCCCTATACCATCCATAGGGAAGGCCTGTGCCCCAGCAGGGGGGACATTAATAGGCTGATGATGATGATGACATTAAGTAACGTCCGTTTCAACTGGCAATATTATTTTTGTTTCAATTAATTCATCTTCTTGGATATTATATAAAATCATGATTAATATTTATTTCATATTTATGATATAGTATTAAGCACAAAACACAGAAAGGGGTTAGAAAGGCCTTGTAGCAGGGGCAGGCGCGTCACAGTAATGTGTGAGCAAATGCTCATATCTGGACCAAAACTTGATGATCGCTTGTTAGGGATAGAGGTACCAATAGAGTAAAACCCGTTTAAGACGATTTCACTGGGACTCAACCAAAACCGCATATTAAGCGGGATTGCGGGATAGGGAAATTTAGGTGTTGAGGTATTAAATATAGGTACAATATTTAAGAATTATGTACATTATATAAAAAAAGGTGTATTATTATTACTTTTGTATTAAATTAATTAAAAATTAATCACTTATTTTAGTTCGACAAAAAGATTTTGAGGCATTAGCAATTACAAAATTGACACATGAATTAACTTTTGCTTTGATTCAAAGAATATACATAGCGTCTTTAATTATTGACTACTGATAATGCCTGGGCGTGTGAAAAAATCGGATATGATTCATCTTCTTCTTGATCATTATCACTTAGGGCCTTGTGTGTTATCACATTCTCGATAAAATCTTGAATTGATTAAATTTGGTACGGTGTCACATTGGCATCAATGGAAAAATATCCAGGAAAACCCTGGGGGTCGCTTAGCGTGCGTCGCTCGCCAGTCGTCACGGTAATCGCTGGCCGCCGCCGCAAGAGGTAATATGTGTGGTACGTGTTGGCGATTTAGGCGTATTAAACGGGATGACGAATCGTATTAAGCGTTAAGAAATGTATGAGAACATGTCTCAAGTTGCAGGGACCGACGCAAAATGGTGTATTAAGCGAGAAATCGTATTAAGCGTGATCGTATTAAACGGATTCTACTGTAATAAGTCACCTATTGTTAATTTAGTTAAGGAAAACCTGTCATTGGCCATACTTTTAGAAACGTATCTGCTGTTAAATTTGTATTGGAAAAATGCTGTTGGTTTTCTAGGAAAATAAATAAATAAATAAAACTTGGTTCCGATTGCGTCGTTGCTCGTCGATTGTTTGACGTCGCGTCGTTTGATTGGCTATTATCTATTAGAAGCAACAGACCCAATGGGAAAGCCATTGGGCACTTTGGGCAAGTGCCCAGAAAGAAAGAAAGAAAGAAAATATTTATTTGAAACAACATGTGTAAATGAGACGTTATGATTCTAAGGGTGCATAACGTGTCGTGCCAACATGGGCATACCAATTCATCAAGTTATTTTAATTTCGAGTCAAAAATCTTAATACAGTAGAACGCCGATTATCCGAACGCCGATTAACCGAATCGCCAATTATCCGAATCGGTCCTAAGCGTAATATAAAAAATTAAAACCAAGTCATTTTTGTTTTGTTCTAATAAGTTGGAACTCGCTAAAGTCCAGCGAGTATGTTAAATACCTATATATATTTATATCAACTGTTAATGGTTGAAAGCTAGAGGCAAGACACTACATGTTTTACTGTTCTCAATTTTGTTTTGCTACTATGTACCTCTATTATTGTATCTAGTATTGTAGAACTGTGTTTGTTAAACGTAATAAAGTTTATTCTATGTGTGGCAGTTCCTTTTTCTTTATTACTTGTCTATGTCCGATTATCCGTATTTTCGATTATCCGAATCGACCCCGGTCCCAATTAATTCGGATAATCGGCGTCCTACTGTATTCAATAATGAAACATGTCAGTCATGTCCCAGGGCCCCGCGATTGATAGGGGCCCCCCTCAGATCAAATACAAAGTCCCTAGTTTCTGTTAAATCACCAAACGGAAGTCATAGGGGCCCCATTATCCTAATATGCCCAGGACCTCCAATAGGTCAAAGACGGCACTGAGAAGCAAGTGTAGTGGGGGCGAGCCAGCGATATTGGTTCCCGTACAAACGTTTTATGGTCACCCTGCTAACCTCTTTTTGAGTTCTGTGGTTTTTTCGAGTCATGTCTTGTCTGTCTGTAGTCTGTTATATGGGAGCCAAACATTTCACAGTTGCACATAAAGATTTAGGCCCGTATTACGGAATGACAACTAAGTGTTGATCTTTACTTGAATACAGTTAGAAAGGGATGTCGCTATGTGCTATATATAGCGACATACCTTTCTTTTATCTATGCTCAAGACTAGATTCATTACTGAGAATCTTTCTATAATACGGGCCTTAGTCTATTTATCTCATAAGTAATGAAACGGTCGTTCTTAGAAACCTCTTTTGACTTTAATTGTTTTCAAAGTGTTGTTATTTTTTTGTTTAACAGTTTAATATAACATTTAAGTTGTTAACGGAATAGTGACACCTTCGCTTAAACTTAAATATTAAATGACTAATTTGTTCCATTGGTTAACAATATTTTTTATGTTTGAACATAAAGCTAACATTTATTAATATAACTCCATCATAAGAATGTTTATCAGTCTTAACAAAGCAATCACATTTTCGATCAGAAACTAAAAATGCGAAAATATGTAGCAACTAACTTTTTTCATGCTCTTTCGACGGACAAAATATCTCAATATTTGGTAATAATATAACAAATATCTCGATATACCCATATCAGCTATCTTCGCGTCTGGACTTCACCTTCACTTAACATTAAGTGGGGTGGAGTCATTTGTCGGACCTATCTATAAAATATATATTTATATATATAATGTTTATTGTATTCCTCAGTCGCCAGAACACAGATGCGCTCGAACAAGCGCAGTCTCCAGCTGTTCCCACGCCCCACGAACTCACCACACCCAGCCCACGCAGAACACCCAGCCCACCCAGAACACCCAGCCCACCCAGAACACCCAGCCCACCCAGAACACTCAGCAGACCCAGCCCACTCAAATGGTGCTTAACAACGTGCAACCTCAAGCTGTGGCTCCTGCGGCACAGCAAGTTCAGAACGCGCCGCAAACACAGCCTTCTACGCCGGCACAGGTGATTATTGAAAAGTACACTTTGAATAGGGTATTTGACAGTGTTAAAAATAAAGTGCCAATTGTTAGCGTCTGTGTTTAGAATGAATATTTATAATATGATAATATTTTTACTTAGCCAAAATTCGCATAGAGCCAAAAATTGGTAGACGTTTAATGCACTATTATAAATTAAATGTCAAAAGTCTCTTTCGATCCTACTTTTTCAAAAAAATTGTCTGAGGTCAAACGTACAAAATTAAGTAAGTTTTATCGTGAAAATAGATTAGAAAAAAGTTGTAGATCATACAATAGGGTATTTGACAGTATTAAAATTAAAGTGCCAATTGTTAGCACCAGTGTTTAGAATGAATATTGGCAGGGGTTTTTTTTTTCAAAAAAAAAATCGTAATTTTACTAAAAACTAACGAAAAAGATCATAGTTTTCTTACCTATTTTCACGTGATCCGAAACGCTTGGTTTTGGCGGAGCCTAAAATGACGTCACACGCAAGTAAACTTCCGGTTAAAGTGACATTACATTGTATTGTTTGACGTTTTAATAACAGTCGTGTGACGTCACACACTAGTAAGACGCCATATTGTCCAGAGAAACGTTTTCGCGGCAACTTGAAATGCAGTTTTTGATTTGGTTATTTTTACTAAAATACACAACAGAATGATGAATATCCACTTTTGACGGACTCCATAAACATTAGTCAATCACCTGAGATCGTTTTCTAAAACTTGTCAAATGCCCTATTATCATAGTAATTTTTTTTCTTTAGTTTCAAACATCTAGCAGTAAAATGCTTACAATAAATATAATAAAATACACTTTGGTTTATGATTAAGGTCTACGTAAATAAAAGACTACCGTTTGGCTAGACGTTTATTTCCGAACTGGTATGGACAGCTTCGATACTCGGCTGGCAGATATATAATTATTGGATAACCTTCAAATATAAACCTAATATGCTACAATATCCCCCCTTAAATTACAATAATTCTGTTTATTTCCCAATTAAAATTACAATCTTCCCTATTAATTGCACACGGGAGGAAGACTACAGAATACGAAGTTCTAATAGGCTAGTTGCCTATATTTTGAAAAGTAGTTAATCATATACCTTGATGTTTATTTAACCCAAAAAAAATATTATTTTAAATAAAAAAGTACATTAGCAATATGTATTTTGTATTTTAAAAAACTTATTCAAATTTCCCTCGAAAACGCTCTAGACTGTCATGGCGTCTTGAATGACGTCACGCCGTGCAAAGCAAACAATACGCTGTACGCCGACTATTAAAATTATTTAGTTAAAAATGAATCCATCGTATTACAAGTACTGTATAGTGTCCTAGTGTAATAGGACAAACATAAAATGCCAGGCAAATTATTTATATGCCAGGAAAAAATGGTTAGAACTTACAAGGAGGGATGGTACCTATTTATTGTTTATCAACAAATACAAGAATAATTTTTTGATGAACATTTTGATGTAAGTATTTTGCATAACATAATCTATGAAATCAAAATGTTATACAAGCCGGATAAATTTTATTGCATTATATTGATAAAACAATAACAATAGGTTGAGGTTAGGTAAGTTGATTTCGTTTTATGGTATGATGTAGAGTCTATTTGAGAGTTCAGTATATTTATTGATAATAATAAACACTTCTTATTCTTGTTCTAGTTACCAAATGATATGCTTAATTATCTCGAGTAGTTATGCGATTAATTTTTGTTTTGGTTAAAATATTATTATTTGCTTCGGTAAATCCCAATTCCATGGATATATTAGGCTTCCTTTCAATAATTATCTGAAAACAAACTGATAAATTGTATCAAAGTAACAATAACATGAATGAGAAATCAATGAAATGTATGGAAACGGCAACCACAAGTAATGTTTTGCACGTGGTGACGTCAGTCTTTCTGATTGGTGTTTGCCGTCACGTGATCTAATGCCTATTTTATTCGAATTTATTTTCAAAAATAATAATAATCTTTAATTATTATGATAAATAGCTTTATTGAAGTTATACTTCTTTAGGCGCGTTATGAAAAAATGATGAGAGTGAAATTTTAACCAACTTCATGCTGTTACTTTTGTGTTTACCGCACATTAAGAAAATCTACCAACAAAATAGAAATAGAATCTCTATTTAGTGGGTGCTAACGACTGCATTGTGAAGGCCTATCAAAAGTATTTATTAATCTGGAACAACGGAACCAAAGCGCGATTCAGGAGACTACAGCGCCATCTCTTGACCATTGGTGTAGTAGAACCAAAAACCACATCTTTATTTTTTGTAATAAAGTAACAGTTATAGGTATTCATATTTATAATATTTATCCACATGTTTCTAGTTTGTATATTCGGAATACGTGTTTGAGTTTCATACAAGTGCAAATCACATATGTTCTAATAAATTATATTCAGTAGCGATTTTAATTGAATATTTTGATTATTTATTTATTTTTTCAAATTAAAAAACTAAACTTTATTGACTGTGTCCTTTTCCAGACTTTTTATTAATTTATTGTAATTAATTATTTGCATGCAATTAAAAACAAATTTTAAACGATGCCAAAGAAGGATAACTTCTCACGCGCCTACATAAGTACACGCACCCATTTTTATTTTTTGTTATCTGTATATCATAATTCATATTTATAAACTTTAACCCTTTCGATTTATTGTTAGTTGACACAAACCTATTATCTAATTACAAAGATATAAAATTTTTGTGCTATCAAAAATATTTATTTTTCTTTCCTTCAATTTCAAATGCGTAACGGATACTTATATGTAGTTGAAAGAAGTTTATCTGACAGATTTTGTTTTAATACTAAGGTAATACAGTTTGTTTTATATCGCTGTGTTTATTCTGTCTCTAGAATCAAACCGTTGAGAAGATAGAAATCAACACGTTTAGACCTCGAGCGACTTGCCTCAATATCCCGGGAATAGAAGCATATCCCGCGCTGCAGCCCACTCTGCCGCGATGTTGGACCTTACCAGCCATAGGTGAGATATATACTAGCTCGATGGCGCAAGTGGTTCGCGCGTTCGGCTGCGATCGTTGAAGTTAAGCAACTTTCGCAGTGGTCGGTCATAGGATGGGTGACCAAAAATTTACTATCTAGAGCTCCTCCGTGCTTCGGAAGGCACGGTAAGCCGTTAGTACCGGCTGCATCCGCACTGGGCCCGCGTGGTGGGTCAGGGCCCAATCTCCCTATTCCATCCATAGGGAAGGCCTGTGCCCCAGCAGTGGGGACATTAATAGGCTGATGATGATATAACAAAAGCAGACAAAAATTACAGGTTACTAAAAAATGAAATATATAGTACATACATACATGTATCGTATGTACTTATTGCGTGCAAATTTTATTTTGATTTAATATAAGTACTATGTTTCCGTATTAAAATACATAAATATTTATTTTAATGTTTTTTTTTACAAAGCGCTTTGTATGACGTCCGCTTGTCATTATAAACGGATTCCATTGTGTACACTTCCCGACCACTTAACGTTTCAAGTTTGACGGTCCGTAGCTAAAATAAATTTTACATTGAGCAAAATGTTTTTGCGCAGTTTGAAGTTATTATGCTAAGAATATTTACATTGCTTAGATTAAAACAAAAAGGGAAGATACGGCACTCGCGGCTTAAAAGTGATCCGCTTAAATTGTGGTTCGAGACCACAATTCGCTTTAGTTACAATTGGACATCCAAACACGATGCATGTGCACTCAGTAGAACAATATTGCGTATATTCTGTGTTATAAAGATAAAACAATGCCTTCGATGCTTTTATAAATAACACAAATATTTCAAGATCATATAACAACAAGGCAACATTTTTTATTGTTAAAACTATAAAAACATTTTTCTCAAAAATCACGGTTTGCCATAAATGTTATTTACTGATTCGCCATTTTTTTATCAAGAAACGGATAACAACCCAACTCGGCCGTCTGTAGAAAGAGAAAAGAAAACGCAGTCGGCTGCAAAGCGACGCGGACTCGCGCCGTTTCGCTCGCGCTGCGTTGAAGCGTACAATAAACATTGCAGGGATGATGACTAATTTTTTTTCTTCGTTTATCGGGTAGATTATCAAAAAGTATTGGACACATATTTTTCCTTTTTTCACACAATATAAACATTGCAGAGATATATTGATTTGAAAAGTCGCATGACGTCACTTTTGAGTACACTTTTAAGTGAAAATTCACTAAAAAGTGACGTCACGAGCCCCTTCTCTCAGACTTTGACGCGCTATAACTTTGTCATTGTTTGGTTGATTGCCCAAAGAAAAAATACGTGTCCATTATTTTTTGATCATTTAACTGACGGACTAATCAGAATTTCGTTTACTGTACCCCGTCATCACACCTATTCTGACTCGCTCCCTCGATTGAATGTTTATTTAAAGAAGTGTGTGTGTGTGTGATAGTTGCTTATGTAGTTGAGTCGGATCGTATTTTATTTGATGCTAGTATGAGCGTCCCGTATCTTCCCTTTTTGCTTTAATCTAAGGTACATTATCATTTTTGCAGGTTCCCGCATCAGATCGCTCCGCCCCCCGCTAGTCCAACAGGCGTCGTTCGACGGGTCGGGCGCGGGGCCGGACGCGGAGCCCCGCGCGGACGTCAGGTACCGCGTCGACGTGATGCGCGGCGTCGCCTGCAGGTCCTCGCCTGTGCCCGAGGCCAGGAGGGCCAGGTCGCTGCCGGTGAGTCAATGTCACCTCCTGTTAGATAATGTCGCCCTGGTACTCGATCCCTGCGATCGTTAAAATAGTTTGATGCTTTAGGTGTATTTAATGTTACCGCCTGCTAGACTATGTCGTCTTGGTACTAAATCCTCATCATATCAGTTCATTAATGTCACCTCCTTCTAGACTATTATGTCGTCCTGGTACTAAATTCTCGTTATATCAGTCTATTAATGTCGCCTTCTAGATTATGTAGCCTTGGTACTGACTCGGTACATGAGCCACCACCGCTTGCTGGATTCTGTCGTTCTGGTACAATCGTCATCATATCAGTATTAATGTCACATCCTGCTAAACTATGTGCTCCTAGTACTAACGTCATACATAAATCAATAGCCTAAATGATAGCTGGAAGTATGATACGGGACGTCGCCTGCAGGTCCTCGCCTGTGCCCGAGCCCAGGAGGGCCAGGTCGCTGCCGGTGAGTCAATGTCACCTCCTGCTAGATAATGTCGCCCTGGTACTCGACCCCTGATATCGATGTATGATGCTTAAGGTGTATTAATGTCATCTTCTGCTAGACTATTGTGTCGCCCTAGTACTAAATCCTCATCATAATGTCACCTCCTGCTAGACTATGTCGTCCTGGTACTAAATCCTCATCATAATGTCACCTCCTGCTAGACTATGTCGTCCTGGTACTAAATCCTCATCATAGTGTCACCTCCTGCTAGACTATGTCGTCCTTGTACTAAATCCTCATCATAATGTCACCTCCTGCTAAACTATGTCTTCCTGGTACTAAATCCTCATCATATCAGTCTATTAATGTCATCTTCTGCTAGACTATTGTGTCGCCCCAGTACTAAATTCTCATCATAATATCACCTCCTGCTAGACTATGTCGTCCTGGTACTAAATATCAGTTTATTAATCCCTTATTATTTTCTATTGCGCCATTGTACTAAATTCTCAGCATTATTCTAGATTATATAGCCTTGGTACTGACTCGGTACATGAGCCACCACCACCGCCTGCTGAATTCTGTCGTTCTAGTACAATCTTCATTATATCAGTCTATTAATGTCACCTCCAAACTATGTCCTCCTAGTACTAACGTCATACATCATATACTCATCACTATAATTACCCTTAATGATAGCTGGAAGTATGATGCTTTTTACGTAAGAAATTGCTCTTGTCGCATTCTTTGTTTGTCGCCGCATGCTAGACTATGCTGTCTTGGTACTAACCTGTACACATTTAATTTACCTGGTTCAGGCTGGAATGGGGGCGTGGAACCCTCCAGTAGCTTCTATTTAAAAGACGATTTGGCGCGACCAAAAATCATGGCCGTTTGATGAAAATTATTGTTGTTTTGCTGCCCTAGACGTTCGTCCCTTCATAGAGGGTTCAGGTATGGTGGGAGCATTTCACTAGAAAAACATTTAATAAATCAAAACGAAGCAGTAAATAAACCCACAAAAACTGCGGCTACATATGTCAGTGACATAATATGTTGACTTAGCGAAATAGGACCCACCATATTCCATCTCCTTTATGAAGTAAATTATGAGTATTCAACGTATAACAACGATTTTTGAAAAGTGCCTTAATTAAATTCTGAAGAGATAATATGCTACAACAATAAACCTAGTATCCAATCGTTAAGTGCTTTGAAATGAATTTAAATTTAAAATTTGCAAATTTCACTCAGACACCATATTGCTCTGTGGTCTTGACGTCATTAGTACTGTAAATAACTGCGTTACCTTGGTTACGGAAACAACAGTGCTGACTTGACAGTTGATACTTTGCATATACTAGCGGTGTGAGGTAATAATATGGCGTCTTCGTCGTTCTGTTTCATCACGTTTTAAACTACGTTAAAAGTACTGAAAGCTTTGAATTCATTTTTTGTCACTCTTTGCAGAGTTTATCGTCGTCATCTAGCAGTCCCCCGGTTAAGGCACCCGCTCCGGAAGTAGAAGGTCCCACGGTCTCTTCCCGGCTAGAAATACGCGTGCGCCCGCCGGACAACGAACCCAGCCACTCTGGTAACTATTGATTGATCTATTTATTATAATTTTTATTATTTTTAAAGCATGCAACTGCTTGATGTTTAAATCTAAAGGAAATATAACTAGAAAAAATTACACGCGGACCAGGCATTGTGGGTTACATAATGCGAAGGGGTGGCGCTGCCTTGCAGCTTAAGAATGGCTGGAAGAATTTCGACGCGGTCCGTGAGGGCCGCAGTAGCATAATTGGTCAGTGCATTCGCCCGGATGCAGGTTCCGAGTCGAGAGTCCCCGAAGGGTGCGGGTTCCGAGTCCCGTCTGCTGCCTGGTCGGCGTGGATTTTTTTCTAGTTATATTTTTTTTAGATTTATCTATTTATGTTTATACGTTGTATTTGATGATACTCATAGAAGTCAAATCTTATTCTAATTTCTTTGCATTCAAATATATACAGCATTTACTTTAGTCATAATTATAACTTAACTAGATGTGCCCCGTGGTAAAACGTAGACTGCCTATGTGTTAATCCAGGGTGTCAGCTAACTCCATACCAAATTTTATTAAAATCGCTCCAGCCGTTTAGACGTGAAGAAGTATCAAACATATGCACTCACAAATTCTCACCTTTATAATATTAGTGTGATTAAACTTTCTGGGTGAAACCGGAGGACGTTGGCGCTTACTGCGAGATTTTAAAATTTAAGATCCTTTATTCGTAAGGCCGTGTTGTTTCAACCATATTTAAATTTTACTACCTTTAATGTCACGTCAAATATATAGTAAATTTGTCAAATCGTGACAAATGGTTATATTTTTTCTAGAATTTTAATTATAGTCACATTTAACTATGTATGAAGCAATGCGGCCTAAATGTTCTGCGTGTCGGCCGTGCGGCCTGAATGTTGTGTCGACTCTGGCATGATTCTTTTTTGTTCTGTGGCTGTTTCCGTTTCACACAGAAATTTCGCCAATATCCCGTAGTGAGATAGACACGGTATGATAGAGATTGCTCGGTATTTATACAAATAAAATTTTTATATTTTATCCAAGTAACCCTTCTTCCTTGAGCTTTATTATTGTTCTGAAAGCTTAACACACGCAAAGACACCACCAGTCTCTCCTTTTTATTCTTTATAGGGAATGTCAAGGATACACTGTTGTCAAATTTAAGTTTAGGCTTAGAGAACCATGCCGGAATGGACACCTAATATACAATATCACTGTAAGTCACGCCCGCGACTTCGTACGCGTGGAGTTGTAAGAAATAAAGGTTCACTGCTCGTTCCCCGTAGGTGATAGCGTGATAATATGTAGCCTATATGTTGACCCGACTTCTTAATAATATTCGTGCCAAATTAGAAGTAAATCCATGCAGTACTTTTTGAGTTTATCCCAGACATACATACAGACAAAAATTCTAAAATCCATATTTTTGGCTTCGGTATCGATTGTAGATCACACCCCGAGTATTCTTTAAAAAGAATAATCAAAGTACAGTTTTAACTTTCCTACCATTTTATTAAATGTATAGATTTGCTAAGGACATATCGCTGTCGAAGTGAAGAATGTCATTCACGAATAGCCATGTGAAGTTTAAAATATTGCAAACAAACGAATAGGAATAGCCATGAAGTTAAAAACGCCATTGCAATGAAGTTGTTTCTGTTGACAGTTAAAATTCACTCTGTGGTGACCGGAGGGGAGGGGGCGAGAGTCGACGATCCATCTATATATTACGACGCTACAGAACATCACAGAGATAAGAGGTCAGTGAATATTTATAACTAATTATTTTTACAGTAGCGGCACGCTATGATGGCCCTTTTGACGTTTGTGCGTTCATACAATTTCATATTCTAAATCAGAAATAAGATCTACATTTAATAGATATAATTATTGTTCTTCGTTGTCATTAGAGACGTGCATTTAGTCATAAAATTTATCGAATCGATAATTTTAGGGTGTAGAAAGCTGACTCGCTAAATTTCGCGCCAAACACTCCAAGAAACATTAGAATGCGTCTCACCCACATTCTAATGTTAAGAAAGAAGAACAAAGAAAACTGAAGATTAGGCTGTATGGGCATTCTTCCCTTTGCCTTCCCTAAAAAGGGAGAACGTTAAAGAAAAACACTGGGATTTTTTTCGATAACAAGTTGACTTTTCGCCTCACTATTGCTATGTGTCAAAACGGCCATCATATCGCCGCGACTATAACACACTAATGAGCCTAACCCTAAAGCAAGCTCTGTAAGGCTTGTGTAATGGGATACTAGGGTAACGGATAGAATACATAAATATTGGTGTCGATTGAATCGATTAATATCCGGGGCACAGGCCTTCCCTATGGATGGAATAGGGAGTTTGCGCCATGACCCACCACGCGGGCCCAGTGCGGATATGCGGGTGCTAACGACTTCTTCTAATTTGTCAATTTATATTTGTTTCCTGAGCCCTCTATGTAGGGCCAAACGTCTAGCAGCAAAAACAAAATTTCAACGAACGGTCATGACTTTTGGTCGCGGCCAAATCGTCAGTCTTTTGAATATAAGCTACTAGAGGGTTCATGTTACGTTTCTAAGAACGGAAAAAATATTGATCTGCCGCGGTTTGCATGATATGGGGGTGGCCGTACGAAGAGGTAGAATATAGGAAAAAATAACCGAGCGCGTCAGACATTGAGAAGGGATGTTACGTGAACCCTCCAGTAGCTCCTATTCAAAAGACTGACGATTTGGACACGACCAAAAGTAATGGCCGTTTGTTGAAATTTACATAGAGGGCTCAGGTATAGTGGGAGTACTTAACTACGTACAAGGTTGCTCCCCATATGTTATTCTGCCGCGCTCGAGTAAATCCAAAAATCCCCGCTCTGGCTCCCCTACTATAATAATATGCATTTTCGAATCCTGACTGACGACAATCCTTGACAGAACGAAACAGTTTCTAGTAAAAAATTAAAATACAATAAATCGTAAAGATTATTTTTTATCAATATAGATTAATTTGAGATAAGCATGACAGTTATTACTAATTAATTAAAATTACGTCAGATCCATAATGGTTCTGTCCCTTAGGTCTTCGACCCGGAGTGGGGATAAGAGCCAGAGCCCCGCCCCGGAACGTACGCGCCTCGACACCATACCGGACAAGTAAGAAACTATTCTTCATTGTTAGATCGGATAATCAGTGCATATTCACCTTAAGTTATTTTTAAATAAGAAATTATGGAAGCGGCTTCTTTGCTATATTTTCATCTATCTAATATATAAAATTCTCGTGTCGCGGTGTTTGTGGTTAAACTCCTCCGAAACGGCTTTCCCGATTCTCATGAAATTTTGTGTGCATATTGGGTAGGTCTGAGAATCGGACAACATCTATTTTTCATCCCCTAAATGTTAAGGGTAATCCACCCCTAATTTTTTTTCAATTTTAGATATATATTTTTTTTTAGTTTTTTTATGATACATCATACTAAAATACATACATTCCTAAATTTTGAACTTTCTACCACCAAACCCTATTTTTTATGGCGGTACGAAGTTCGCTGGGTCAGCTAGTAATCTATAATAAATGAAATGCTGTTCGTTTGTCTCGCTAAAACTTGAGAACGGCTGGGCCGATTTAGCTGATTATGGTGTTAAAATGTTTGTCGAGTTCAAGGGAAGGTTTAAACAGTGAGAAAATATGGAAAAATCGCGATGAAGATAGTAAAAACAACAATTTCTTCCCTATGGATGGAATAGAGAGGCTATGCCAGATATTATAGGTTAACTAGCTGACCCAGCGAATTTCGTACCGCCCTAAAAAAATAGTTGTTGTCCAGCGGACAAAATTGTGAATCTAAACCATTCTCAGATCCCCTTGAACACACACAAAAAATTTCATCAAAATCGGTCCAGTCGTTTAAGAGAAGTTCAGTGACATACACACTCACAGAAGAATTATATATATTAAGATTATTTCAAGGCCTTTGTTTTATTATAATCAGCCTATTAATGTCACCCCCTGCTAGACTATGTCGTCCTGGTACTAACGCAATACATACATATACTTATCATCAGCCTATTAATTCGCCCACTGCTGGGGCACAGGCCTTCCCTATTTTTATTTTATTATTATTTTTTAATTAAATGCCTACAAAGAGTCATATAGAAACCAAATTTCTTATTATTCAAAATTACACGAGTAATTAATATAATGAAACAAATAAACAAGCTATCATTAAACCAGAACATATTTTTGCGGGAGTGTATACCAGGCTATCATGAACTAATGAGACTAAATAATTCAACTTTTGTTCCAGAAATAGCGTTTCATTGAAAAAGGAATCAAATAGCGGCTCCGGCGACGGGTCGCAGAGTTTGAAAGACGTAAGTGGCTCTTATTACGCTTGTAATAGAGTTCAATTTCCTTTATTTCTTCAACGTAGTTTCTGAGTAATATCTTTACATATAATAATATGGTAGGAAAGTCAAAACTGTACATTGAATATTTTTTTAAAGGAATACTTGGGGTGTGATCTATAGTCGATACCGAAGCCAGAAATATAGTTTTTAGAATTTTTATCTGTTTGCCTGTATGTATGTTTGGGGTAAACTCAAAAAGTACTGCATGGATTTACTTCAAATTTGGCACGAATATTATTAAGAAGTCGGGTCAACATATAGGCTACATATTATCACGCTATCACCTACGGGGAACGAGCAGTGAACCTTTATTGATGTGTAACATCTTTCCTCTCGCTTTCCTGCAATTTGTGGGAGTGATTTCGTTTCTGGCGGAAGAGTGTAACAGGAAGTCGCGAAAGCGCACGCTATTTGATTTAATTTTAGAACATAATGTTCAAATGGCTTATTCCTTTTGTAGTAGGTTTTATTTCTTTTTTTACTAATATAAGGTGAGGTTTCAAATGTTACACATCATACGCGACTACTGTAAGGTTCGCTCGTTTTTTTGGAGTTTACTCCTTAAGAATCGATTTGTATATATAAGGGGCCCGGTATGAGAAAAATGTGAGGAGTGAAATCTATCGATGAATGACCTCGTTACGTTTTTACTGTCTACGCTGTAGCAGCCGTAGTGCTACACCGTAGCACAGTATCGTAGCGTACCTTTATATATGCACATCTGAAATTGACTATTGTAAAAAGTTTAATGTAAAATAAATCGTCGATTAGTTATATATTTATTCATTTCATATACGTTTATATATTTATATATGTACAGTCGCCATCAGATATATCTGAGCATACAAGGTGACCAAATACATCTGAACAGTTAAAATGTCATTAAGTTCTATACGCTACAAGTGACCATAAATATCTGAACATTCATTACTTCAATAATATCTGAGCAGATGCCTGTCAATAATATCTGAACATACAACTTTTCAATAATATCTGAACACGTCAATGATTATGTATCTACGCAGATCATGCACTGGGCTTACATATTTTGTTACTACGTGATTGAAAGGATGAACTAAAAACAAAGGCTAAATATAAGGAATAAATACGATGAGAAGGGAATAAAAATCTATCAGAAAATCATTCGTGTAGGTCACCACGAGTAGTAGAAATGGAAGATGCATAATTTTTTCTCTATTTATTTTTTATAATTAACGAGAAGTTATGTTTTTATTTTATTCTATAGATTAAATTCTCAATATCTCCTTAGAAATTTATTTAACCCGGCGTCAGCACAGTCAAAATATGCATCAACGACAGTAGGGTTGGGTCGAGAGGACCCGTATAAGAAAACGCCATAATTACAAAAGTTAAAATAAATTTGGTATGTGGTTGTACTATCTGTATAAAACGATTATCGTTATAGGTTTTGAGTAGAAAAAAACACAACATGATACGAAACTATCTTTTTAATGTCATTTTCATAAAAGTGTCACAAAATATTAACAAAATGGACAACCTCTGTCTTAAAGTAATAAAATTTTAACAAAACATTTTTTTTTATATAACATAAACTAATTTGTTACATGTTAATCAAATCTTTAGTAAACTAATAATATTATACTATTTGTATCAGTCTCATACGTCAGTCATAGTATCCTTATCATCTGCGCAATCTCGGCAGTACAACATTGCATGGTCACTGCAGATGTATTTGCATATACAGCTCCGAAAATTATTAGTTTTCTATCTTTTTTGGCAGAACAGTCTTGGCATCTCTTTCTTACATAAAGTATCTTCACAGGTGGCTCCTCATCAGGTACCTACTCCTAAAAACTCTCTTATTCTTTTGCGTATAAGTCTTAGCAACTGAATGACATCTTTACGATTGCGCAAATGCTCACGAACCAGTATAAGGCTTAAGTTTCTTTAGAAATTGGCGTTATGTAATATGTACGCATTTATTTCAGACATATTTGCCAAAAATAACAAAATAAACAATATAAAACAACAATAAAACATTTTTTTAAACGGCGCAAAATTACGACACGAATAGTATGGTTGGGTCATATTTACCTTTTTCGTGTTTGGCCGTGTCTATCACTCGCTGCGGCCGCAACACGACTGATTGGCAAATCCCACGTGGAGGGGGGGACCATTAGCTCCAGCTACTGAGAAGTTTGGCAAAGTCGCACAAACATTTTAAGAAACACGCTCATTTGAAAACTGCTCGGGTCAAATAGACCCAACTGTGCGAACGCCGGGTTAAAAATAAGACAACTGCGTTTTTTAACCGCAATAGAAATAAGTAATAATTTGGAGGAAACATTTGTCCCACTATTTCCATTGCAGTGGAAAATGGAATTCTGTACTTGTCATGCTCAAACTGGGCGTTTGTTTGGTTTGGGTATGTATTATTTATAAAAGTGAAAATTAATAAAAAACAAATTTAATTCTTATAAATTTTTATTGAGTTAAATAATCAAAAATGTAAACGAATTAACTTGGTACACTACCTCAGTAGATGCTCAAGCTTAAGTATTTATTATTATAATAAAATTATAATCGAGATCGAAATAAAAAAAAGCAACTTCTGATACAATGAGTTTAAAATTAAATAGTAACAAAATGTTTTATTGTTATAATTATACATGAGATCAAATCAAAAAGTTATCAGGCAATTAGTAAGGTTCTTGAAATTAGCGTATTATTATTAGCTTAATAATTTCCCAATATTATCAATGCCCGTTTAGACGGGAATTTCTAACAGACGTAGACGGCCGTAACGTATATTGTCGAATTTTCAACAAAAACGCAGACCAATTAGTTATTTTGCTCACCATTTTTAGGGTTCCGTAGCCAAATGGCAAAAAAAACGATATTCATACAAAAATAGAAAAAAAAACGAATGGACTTAGATTTTTTTTTTATCAAATCTTTACGTGTGGGGTATGGATAGGTCTATAAAATTGATAGGTCTATAAATTAAATATGGGACCCATTTCCACTAAATGTTGTTAGAATTCATAATGCAATAAGGTCGAAATTTTAGTTTGATAGTGTTTTGATGACATAATGTCATAATGAATCGACCCTTGAAATGATAACCTCTTTATAAAATACTATTTCGTGTCAGTGTCATTGAAAAAACAGTTTAATGTGACATTTTTACAAAGTATAATTCGGAAACGGAACATAACATAACATCGGAAATGATCTTTTGCTGTCGCTTCAGATGACGTAATTGCATGGTTGCCCCTAGTAACGTAAAGTTGTCAATGGTAAACATTATGACATTGACGTTGCATTAAAATATTAGCTTTATACAGCTTGCAGCAGATTGCTACACGATATTCAAAGGTGGGGCCCAGATGAAAGCTCGTGTCTGTACATTACCATGCAAACTTCTAGCAAAAGTTGATTTGAACGAGATCAAGCAATTACCGCAATTTACATTTAATTCAATATAAAAATATTTATTTAGATAATGGTACGGAACCCTTCGTGCGCGAGTCCGATTCGCACTTGACTGGTTTTTACATATGCATACTATTCAAATATACTGCTTATAGACATGTTTTCTCCTGCTAACCAATCTACAGTACAGACACGAATTATGAAATCTTGCAGATCCATGTTATTGTAAGCTGCCTTTTTATGATTTCATTTTTGACCATCATCATTTGCATGCCCTTTTCCCAATTCTATATGTGGTCGACGCAACATGTCTTCCGCTTCCATTCTCCTCTATCACTCGCAATATCAACACTCACTCCCTTACTGGCCATGTCCTCATTCACACAATCTATCCATCTTTTTTTCTTCGGTTTCCTCTCCCCGGGTAACCCTCCACTCTCATTATACAGGTTGGCTTATTGAAATGGGTCAGGATGGGAAAGTCTGAAACAATAATATATATGAAGATCTGTTCTTGGGAACAAGATTTTAAAAATAATAAAAACTGCATTCATACATTTAAGAAAAACCCTGTGATCAGCACGGGAATCAAATCCGGTCGTTTTGAAAAAAAAAACTTACACTATTTCTATTTAAATATCGATTATGTAGGTCTGAAGCAGTAAATGTTTCTATTAAACGTGATGTCTCAAATGCGTAAAATGCATTTTTGTCACATAATTTAAATTATTTCAGTAGAGGTTCTAAGTGACCACCGTTTTTTTAATACAAAATTTAACACGTATAGGTAACTTATCTTACTAATAAATAGAAATAGGAAATAGTGTTAGTTTTTTTTTCAAAACGACCGGGTTCGATTCCCCAGCTGACCTAAGGGTTTTTCTTAAATGTATGAATGCAGTTTTAATTTTTATTAAAATCGATGACATAGTTCCTAAGAACAGATCTTCGTATATATTATAGTTCAAACTTTCCCATACTGACCCATTTAAATGAGCCATCTTGTATACTCTCATATTAAATTTTTGACCATTATATAATTATTTGCCGAACAAGGATTGCTGCCTGATTTTTTAAATTGCTTACAAAATCTTTTTGTGCCGACCAAATTATTTAAAGGCTGACCAATTATATAGTTCTCATGAAACATTAGTATTTTGTGTAACCTCCTTCTGCATTTAATACGTCTTGTAAACGTTTCCTCATGGAACCAACTACCTTCTCACAAAAACCTCGACCTCTGAACGATTCCCAAACATCATTTGCATGTCGCCTTAAGGCTTCTGTTGTTCGACATTGATTCCCATCCCACTCTTGCACCATTTTACCCCAAAGGTTTTCGATGGGATTGAGGTCTGGACTTTTTGGTGGTAGTTTGATTAAAGTTAGTTCTCTCTGTTCATTAATCCATGTCTGTACTGTACGAGCATTATGTACTGAGCTGTTGTCTTGAAGGAATGTCATTTGTTGTTCTGGATAAAAAACTTGAGCTGTAGGAAGAAAAGTATCTTCCAGAAGTTCCTTATAATTCATTGCATTCATTCGTCCACTTATTTCCACAAGCTCACCAGGACCATCTTTGCACATCCATCCCCAAAATCCAATTGAAATACGTCCACTCCGGCGATTAGGCAGCACATTTTGTTCTAAGTAACATGTGTTTTCGGGTCGCCACAAACTTAATCGCCCATTATCTGATGAGCAGAGAACCTTTTCGTCCATGAAAATAACGTTTTGAAAATTAAAATTTAAATAATTAGCTGCAAATTGTAGCCGCTGCATTTTGTGCCTTGGCGTGAGAGTTGGTTTTTTTGCCGGTACTCTATTTTTTAAACCTCCTTCTTTTAATCGTCTTCTAATGGTGCTAGTGGATATTTCGAATGTGCTTGAAAATTGTGTAGTGTTTATAAATCTGTCATTTTTGGCTTTATCTATAATAGCTATGTCTTGGTTATTTGTAGTAATACGCGGGCGACCAAATGAAACATGATTATTTAATGTTTCTCCTTGCTGCCATCTTTCTAGCCATAAATATACAGTATTTCTCTGAAATAAATACAATTTTATACTTTGTGAATAAAGTTTCATGTTTTGTGGGCAATTGATTTTTAGCATTTTTCTCCGTGATACTTACGGCTATCCCTAGCTCATCGGCGATATCTTTTACGGATAAACCATCATTTTTTAGTTATATTATTTTATGTTTCATTTCCGCATCAATACGGTACGAACTCATATTAATTATAGTTAATTTATGGTATGAACTAATACGTAAGCAAGCTGCTTGAATTTATTTGTGCATGACACATGACAGAGGTGATAAGAATAAAAACTGGAAAATGTTTAACTGCCAGCGTCATCTTATTATAAATAAATAATTAAGAGGTCCTATTAAAATTGTTCAGATATTTTTGAAAAGTTGTATGTTCAGATATTATTGACAGGCATCTGCTCAGATATTATTGAAGTAATGAATGATCAGATATTAATGGTCACTTGTAGTGTATAGAACTTATTGACATTTTAACTGTTCAGATGTATTTGGTCATCTTGTATGCTCAGATATATCTGATGGCGACTGTACTAGCAAACCAGTGAACCAAATGTTCACCAAAACCTGATTTCTCGAAAACCGGAAGTGCTACGTTACTCAAATCCGGTTTGTAGTCTTATCAGACTATTCTTAACTTATAACTTAAATATTCTCTTTATCTATCTCTTACGGTTTGGCCGCTGAAACAGCACCACAGACAGACGGACTTGTCTAATAGATAAGAGATATTATTTTCATTAATTTGTTAATTTACCCTTTCATACAGTATCAATCTTTTTTAAGTTAAATAAACTCTTTTTGCGTCTAGTTAGACTATCGAACTTAAGAAGTAAACTCCAGTCGTGCGTCGGAGCTGACACTAACAATTTTTTTTTGTAACTAACTCCATGCGTATGAAGTTGCGGGCTGCCGCTAGTGACTAATGTTTTTGTAGGGCAATCATTAATTAGTATCGTTATCAGCGTTGGTGGTCCGGCGGAGGGTCCCGTATCCCCGTCGCATTGGGAGAGGCTCGCCTCGCCAAGTGTGCGTCGTGGAGCGGCGAGGGCCCCGCGCCCGGGCCCTGGCCCCAGGCCCCGGGGACTCCGCCCCCCGACCCGCAGGACCTCACGCCGGGTAAGGAATTTCTCCAACAATTGAGTTTTTAAGTGATCCCTCTAGTCCAGAATTCAGAAGAATCAGAACATTTTTTTGGTCAGGCCATCGATAAGTGCCAGGGTAACATGCAAAAGGAGAAGCCGTACTTTGACAAGCACCAGACCCCGAGATCAGACGCTGGATAGGGAGTTTCTCCAACAATTGAGTTTTTAGGTGATTCCCTAGTCCAGAATTTAGAAGAACCAGGTCATTCTTTAGGTCACATACCATCGATAAGTACCAGGATATCATGCAAAAGGAGAAGCCATAAACACCAGACCCTCGGGATCTGACGCTGGGTAAGAAGTTACATCATTCATTCGTTAATTTTAATTGAAAAGTACCAGGGGTAACATGCAAAAGGAGGAGCTGTACTGAAGTTAATTTCTTCGGCGAGCACTAGAGCCCCAGGATCTGACGCCGGATAAGGAGTTCCATCATTAAGTCGTAGATTTTATAGAAAAGTACCAGGGTAGTATGCAGAAGGAGAAGCTTGTAAATTTCTTCGACAAGTACCAAGACAAGATGATAAAGAAGAAGATATACAATGCTACAAAATGGGTGCGTGTACTTATGTAGGCGCGTGAGAAGTTATCCTTCTTTGGCATCGTTTAAAATTAGTTTTTAATTGCATGCAAATAATTAATTACAATAAATTAATAAAAAGTCTGGAAAAGGACACAGTCAATAAAGTTCAGTTTTCATTTGAAAAAATAAATAAATAATCAAAATATTCAATTAAAATCGCTATTGAATATAATTTATTAGAACATATGTGATTTGCACTTGTATGAAACTCAAACACGTATTCTGAATATACAAACTAGAAACATGTGGATAAATATTATAAATATGAATACCTATAACTGTTACTTTATTACAAAAAATAAAGATGTGGTTTTTGGTTCTACTACACCAATGGTCAAGAGATGGCGCTGTAGTCTCCTGAATCGCGCTTTGGTTCCGTTGTTCCAGATTAATAAATACTTTTGATATTATAAATATGAATACCTATAACTGTTACTTTATTACAAAAAATAAAGATGTGGTTTTTGGTTCTACTACACCAATGGTCAAGAGATGGCGCTGTAGTCTCCTGAATCGCGCTTTGGTTCCGTTGTTCCAGATTAATAAATACTTTTGATAGGCCTTCACAATGCAGTCGTTAGCACCCACTAAATAGAGATTCTATTTCTATTTTGTTGGTAGATTTTCTTAATGTGCGGTAAACACAAAAGTAACGGTCGCTAAAGCGACCAACTTCATTATGTTAAAATTTTGTGTTACAGTGATGCGCGCGCATCTTAAAATTTCACTCTCATCATTTTTTCATAACGCGCCTAAAGAAGTATAATTTCAACAAGATGTTGCAGCGCGTGGCCGAAATCAGAACTAATTTTTCATCATTCATTCATTCGTACATTTCAATGGGTAAGTACTAGATAACATGCAGAAGGAGAAGCTATACTGAAGCGAATTTCTTCGAAAAGCACCGCACTCCCAGGATCTGAAGCCGGGTTAGTGATTTCATTCGTCTCAATTTATAAGAACCATGCAAAAGAAGGAGTTTTATTCTCTCTCTCTCTCTTCGACTCCGCCCCTCAACCACGCTGAGTTTAATGTTTTGTTGATATTCAATCTAGAAGAGAAGGGAACCAAGACATTTTTAGGATATTTTACAGGTTTTGTATCGACAAGTACCAGGACCTCATGCAAGAGCAGGAGCTCTAATAATTGTGAAGTAATTTTCTTCCCCTATTGAGTTTTTCTTCAGTAGTTGTTGTTATTCTAGCCTCTACAGTTCTCAGCCCCACTAGCATGAACACCGCGATATGATATATAATTGTGCGTTTTTATCACGCGCAATTGTCAAATTACTATGAAGTTTGACAGTTAAAGGCAATAAAAAACGTGATATAATGTAAACTGTAAATAAAGGAGTAAATTTCTTCATTTATTTACGATTTTTAGTCTATAATCTACATTTAAGAAGTACCAGGAGAACATCTAGAAGTAGAAGTTATACTGAAGTAACTCATAGCTAGTGGTCGCCTAAATTGCCTAAATTAACCTCTTGATTTCTTCTATCAAAGAGTAGAGTTCTGTCAAATAGTATAATAGAGTAGAGTCAAATAGTATAATCTAGTATTCTGTCAGAGACATAGATAGTGTGACAATTCTATGACAGAATAAAATAATATTTCTCATCTTTAAGTGTAATGTTATTTTGGCTAGGTCTACGGCGTCGCCGTCAGAACGCCTGCGAGAAGTATGCATCGGACCCTGCTCGGGAATTGAACCTGAGATTCGCTCGCTTGAGACACCGTCGGCCGCACCACACAGCCCCGCCATCCAATGATACGCATAACAGGTAGGTTATAAGATTGACATAAAACCTCTGTTGAGTTATATTAATGATAATAAAGGAAAATCATTCCGAAATAAAAATAATATGTTGAAGATCATAATTCGTTCTTCGTTCTTAATGGAGTTCAAGAAAAGTTTGTGCTATTGGAAGATTAATAAAACGTTTGAATCGGACCTATTTTTCCTACGTACTTAAGGACATCTCGGTTTAAAAAATCATTTTTTTTTTTAATTCATAAACGTAAACACTCGAGAAACCCAAGTAACCCCACAAAGTTTGTTTTAAAGATTTGATTTCGCCCTAAACACAAAACAAGCGGCCGCCCGCGCATGCGCCCACGTTAAATTTCGTCTTTTGAAAATCCCTCAGGGACCTGGCACTTTTCCGGTATAAAAAGTTTTCTATGTAAAAAGAAATGACTGTCCGGACTATAGGGAAGGATGTCGTTTCCATTGTTTGATCCCTCTTGAGGACAGGCGCACTATGCTCGATATGGCATTTCTCTACGACGTTTGCAATGGGACTATCGACTGCACTGAGCTTGCCTCTTCATTTTTAACACTCTACACACTCACTACCCGTACCAGACATACATCATCTTTCTTTTTCGCAATTCTTACATGTCGCACAAACTATGCACAAAACTTTGTTGTTGTTTTTCGATCGCAAAGTACATACAATAAAAATTTCACGGTTGTTTAACAAAAAAAACAACTTTGAGGGCTTTAGGGTGATTGGTAATATACAAACAAAAATGAAACACTTACACATGCATACATATATACACACAAACACACACACACACACACACCCACACCCACCCACATATACAATGGCGCGCGCGCATTGCACACATCTCGCCCTTGTTTGGTAGAGGGTTTTCTAAACTAGTATGTTATTACTAAAAAATGAAAATCCGTAATTGGCATTAAGATAAACTTTATTGTAAAACCTGTATTATATTAAGAAAATGCTGTGGAGTTTGGTCTATTATTAAATAAATAAATAAAAATAAATGTCTCAATCCAGGTCATAGCTTAGATTAAAGCAAAAAGGAAAGATACGGTACGCTCATACTAGCATCAAATAAAATATGCTCCGACTCAACTATATAAGCAACTCACACACACACACGTCTGTATATAAACATTCAATCGAGCGAGCGAGACAGAACTGTACCCCTAGCACGAACCATTATCGAATTCGAATAGTTTGCAAACCGAAATGTCAATGTCAAATTTTGTATGGAAACTTGAACAGCAGCGGCACAAAGTACGTAACAAGAATTAAAAATCAGTACACATTTGACAATTAAAACGTGTCACGTGAGGCAGGGTCCTGATTAACCATATATGATAGCAGTATATATATTAATCTGTTTTTTTTTCTCATTTTATTGTCTATAATAGGGTATTTGACAGTATATATATATATATATATATATAAAAACGATGATGATGATGAGTTTTATATATATATATATATATATATATATATATATAAAACTCAGAGGTGACTGACTGACATAGTGATCTATCAATGCACAGCCCAAACTACTAGACGGATCGGGCTGAAATTTGGCATGCAGGTAGATGTTATGACGTAGGCATTGCATTGCATGCAGTTATAAGAAGAATCATAGATGAATGTCATTGTGTATAATACTGTGTTAAGTTACTCTACAAGCCTGACAACAAAAACTGTAGTCTACACTTCAGCTCTACACCGAAGCGAAGCGAGGGCGGGCCGCTAGTTAAAAATAAAGTGCCAATTGTTAGCATCTGTTTTAAGTTACTCTGTGATCATAGCGCTTGCAACAGTGCCGAAATATCGGAGACTCGTAATAAACAAGGTACATTGTAACAATCCCGTTAATAAGTATAATAGGGATGATGGCTAATTTTTTTTTCTTCGTTTATCAGGTAGATTATCAAAAAGTATTGGACACGTATTTTTTCTTTTTTCACATAATATAAACATTGCAGAGATATATTGATTTGAAAAGTCGCATGACGTCACGTTTGAGTACACTTATAAGTGAAAATTCACTCAAAATTGACGTCACGTGCCCCTACTCCCAGACTTTGACGCGCTATAACTTTGTCATTATTTGGTTCATTGTCCAAAGAAAAAAAATGTGTGCGTGTACTAGTGTACACACGTAAGAAGTGAAACTTCTTTATGGCCTTATTTTTTTCGAAAAATGATCTACATGCAACTTTCCAGAAATATATATATAGGCGTGCGCTAAGATTTTTCAAAAACTCACCCACTAAAGGGGTATAACTACACCTTACCTTACCTTACCTTACCTTACCTTACCTTACCTTACCTTACCTTACCTTACCTTACCTTACCTTACCTTACCTTACCTTACCTTACCTTACCTTGTGTGAAACACGAATATTTGCTGTCGATACTTTCTTTTTTTAAAGTTGACAGAAGAAGCAATTGTTCGGATGAGGTAAATAGTGGTCTTTTAAAAAAAAGATGGTGCGTAACCAAAAAACGTGACGCGTAACCGAAAAAAATGTGACGGTAAATTTTTTTCCAACGCCGATAAAGAAGTTTCACTTCAAAAATACGTGTCCATTATTTTTTGATCATCTAACTGACCCGTCATCACCCCTATTATAATTATTATTGTGGTGGTCCAGCTCTGGTCGCGCGTCGCTGTCGTCGTCGGAGTCGGGCTCCCCCCCTCCCCCGCCGGCGCCGCTGCCCCCCAGCCACAACGCGGCCAGGACCAGGCGATTTCGACCCCTCTCCATCGCGCCATAGGTCAGTATACGTTTACATGTTCTCCTGTCTGATATTAATGTAAAAAATAATTGTGTGCGTGGAGCACACGTCTGCAGTGAGACTTCTTTTCTTAGATAACCTAACGTTAGGGGGTGTATAAGGCATAGTATATATTGTCGCCAACATATACATATATATGATTGATGCGTGCGCTGCTTCATTCCCCTATGCCTTATACACTCGTGACACTCATAGCGTTTCAGCCTTTCCCGAGTTACCCTCCAACTTTCATGGTGGTCGGAAAGTGCATCCATCCCACATATATATATATATATACACACGACACGACTATATATATTGTCGTGTGACACTCGTGACGTATTTCCGTTTCATCTTTTCCATTTATACCCCGTCCGAAAAAGTTTCACTACAAAATACCTCAATATAAGTACTAGATTAAAGATTTTTTTTTTAAATTCAACTCATCAAATATACTATTATATTGGATCGCTTCAGATTTGCTTTAAATGTAAAAAACGAAGATTTAGGCTTAAAACATTGATCATACGCATATAACGAACACAGCTACAGTAAAAAATAAATGACATTGAAAAAGTTACCTGAAAACAGTAAATTTATTATCTATTTATGTCGTATTTTTCGTTACCAAGGAAAATATGGATTATTTTTTTCACGGGTGAGCTTTATGTGAAGGAAATTAAATAAAGCTTATGTCACTCAGGAATAAAGTAACTTTTGTTTTGGTAAAATTCCTATTCCATCCATATGAAAGGCCTGTGCCCCAGCAATAGGGACATTAATAGGCTGATGGTAAAAGAAATTTCGAAATCAGGCCAGAAAATTTTGAGGTTATTCGTTACAAACACAAATATTTCCTGTTTATAGTATTGGTATAGATTGTATAATATATTAAGTAGGTAATACATTTTATATACATACATAATATGTTTTGTATTCCATAGGAGCTGGTGATCCACAATGACTTAGCTACGAAAGAGCCCTTCTGACAGACAGCCAAGTATATATCGGTTATATGTATGACGCCTTATATCTTTACGAAAGATAGTCTATATAAAATATGATGTTGTGACGAACTTCCATACGAAATGTGTGATCGAATCAATAGCATATATAAGTTATTATAGAGTACCAGGAGAGCATAAGATATAAGATAGTAAAATCACGTCTTGTTTAAATCACAATAGCTTCTGATTGTCATAAGATCCTGGTAACTTTTAAAATTATACTTTTTATACTTTTAAAATTAATTAAACTATTAAAGACCTGATGTGGATTATGACACTTTCCAAATAAATAAAAATAGATAGTGTAAAGGGAGGACAAAACTTGCTGAGTTTCTTGCCGGTTCTTCTCAGACAAGGCCTTCTGGTAGACTCTTGAACCGATGGCATCAAATTTGACTTTCATAAGTGTGCAAATTGTACCTAAATGAATAAACAAATTTAGACTTTGACTTTGACTGATTTTAAATAAAAAAATAAAACTTAATAAAGTGATTTCCGCTAGTATTATGCTAGTCTGGTAGTTATTACCTTAAATTTAATAAATGTAGGTGTTTATGCGATTCGATTAAACATTTCGTATTAGCAATGAGATAAAATAAATTAAACATATCTAAATGTGTGTTAATTCAAGCTATATGTGATTAATTTGCTTGTGTCTAGTCCAAGGGATAGAATGTGCATACAATTTTAATTAAAAAATAACTGATAAAAAATCGATATTATAAATATGAAATTGTGATTTAGGACAAAAAGAATTGTCAAACTTTTGTGTGATTTTATGCAGATTAAAAAATAAAAATAATTGCACGGAGCTGTAAAAGTGCACTCTGGCTCTTGGACTACGCCATGCATATAGGCGAAGACTTTGAAATGTACATACTTATTGTATCGTTTATACATATATAACATATAAAATTATAATAAAGTATAATACTCATACTCATAGTAAAGAAGACAGCACGCTTGATATTTAAGGACTCAACGGATAGTACCTACTCATATTTTATATAGATTTTATTCGTAATCGGAAATTGCGGAAAGAGAACCGTGCCACCATGCACCGCTTTAAAACTTGTGTGTTTAAAATATTAATTCTCGTTACGTATTTCTAGTTCGGTGGATATTTTTCGGGGAATTAATAATAATAATAATTACACAAGTTTACAAAATTTTACTTTTTATTTATACCCCGAACCGAATGTATGTCAATATGTTAATCTACCTTCCCTAAACCTAAAAGTGTTAGCAGAAATATTTTATCACGTCGGATTTTTTTTCTGCAGTCAAATGTTTTTTTTTAACTACCCGACGTGGTGGTGATAGTTTATTGTTTATTCGTTCGCTTCAAACGACAGTTACTTTGCTTTGGATTAATTTAAAATGGCTAGCAGAAAGTGCAAACAAAGTTCTGACCGTTTTTGTTATGTTTGTGGACAGTTTATATTTTCAAAAAAGAGAAGACCTATTGTAGATTCGTTAAAAACTGCATATCTTCATTATTTTGGATTTCCTGTTGCAAATCAAGATAAAAAGTGGGTGCCTCACGTGTTTTGCGAAAGCTGTAGAATCATCTTACTCCAGTGGTCATCAGGAGAAAAAGTTTACCTTCCATTTGGTTCGCCAATGCTATGGAGAGAACCTAGTAATCATGAAAATGATTGTTACTTTTGTGTTACGAAGACATTGGAATATTACAAAAAAAATAAGGCAAGTATTATGTATGCCGATGTTCCGTCTGTTACTAAGCCGATTTTACATTTCACTTTCTACACTCTCATCTGAATTTTTTTCCTGAAAACTTAGGAAGTATGAGTGACGAACAGGGTGAACGTTTCCACCAAGATTTAAGGACTTTCGAAGAACGACATCAAGGATTTTGGGATGAAAATATGTTAGGGGATTACTGTTGGTCTATCATAAGAGAAACTGATTCAAATAACTATAAAAAGAAAGCAAAAATTAGTCATTTTTAATTTATTTTTGTATTAATCCTAAAATTTTTGTATTTCCCTTCAAGATCATAAATATTTTTTAAACCAGACGTGACAGAATTTTTTTATTATTTTTTCTGGATAGTTCTACCTGAACACAAAATAAAATAACAACTTTCAGCTGGGGTAAGAAAACCGTGTAAACTAGTGTTATTATTACATTTGTAATAAAAAAATGTTATGTGATCGAGACCTGAGCGGAGTTGATGAGCTATTTTAAACCTTATATTGTTGTCGATAAGGTTGCTAATAGTGTTATGCGATATAGTGTCTCCTTAACTTTGCTATGATAGTACTAGAAGCGGCAAGCAAATATTAAGACTGTTCAGCCTGCACACTGAAAATAAAACTTTGAAGTAAATTACCTCCAGGCTATTTAAATATCGTTCTTGCGAACCAGTTTCTTATTACCAGTGGTATAAAATTACGTGTTAAATTTAATTTAAACATTTTGATTGTCACTTCTAGTATATTCTTAGTTCATCGTTGCTGTTTTGACAGCGTACGAGCAATATAAATGTAGGAATTAATAAATTTTAGATCTCTTTTAGATAGGACATGCGTTTTCTCGTAAATATGGCTTATGGAAACAATAAAAAAAATGCTGTTTTTATCAGAGAAATATTTATTCAATTCGTCCTGGTTTCGGGTACATGATTCTATGGCATTTTAAACTTAAATGGTTTTTCTATTTTTAATTCGAAAGCCAATCAGGAGAATAAATAATTTGTCATTTTTCTGAAATGGCAAATATAATCTAAAAACGATTCTGTAATTTATTTTTAGTAAAATAATGGTCGTACGTAAATATAAATTACTTTTTTACACTGGCAATGTGTAATAAGTACTTCTCTCGTAAACATATTACTACAAAGTCACGGGGAAAGCAATCACAAATTGAATGTGAAAATAAAAAGAACTACAAAATCATACGATCAGATTTTTTGGAATTACATTTTATTAAGTGCTTAGTGTTTATGTACTCCTGGTATCATGGCTTTACGACATATATGCCTTGAGGGTGGCAAAGGACAGAACTACAAGGTGCTACTGAAAAAGATGCAAAATACATATAAAAAGGAGCTCGTGGCGCAAGTGGCTAGCGCGTTCGACTGCGATCGTTGAAGTTAAGCAATTTTTGCAATGGTCGGTCATTGGATGGGTGGCCAAAAATCTTCTATCTCGAGTTCCTCCGTGCTTTGGAAGGCACGTTAAGCCGTTGGTCCCGGCTACATCTGCAGTCGTTAGCGATTGGTGGGTCATGGCCTAATCTCCCTATTCCATCCATAGGGAAGGCCTGCGCCCCAGCAGTGAGGATATTAATAGGCTGATGATTATGATAAAAAGGTTAAAATCTCAGTGATAAACTTTGTGACTTGAGAAAGAAACTCGGTTGCAAGGACTTTCATATAAAACACGTTGAGATAGATGTATATTGTAAATTGGTGACTAATTCGAAGCGTTTAGAAAGAAAGAAAGAAAATACATTTATTTTGACACAAACAACGAGACAGCAATACAAGATTATGAGAACAAAAAAATACAAGAAAAAGCAAAATTATCGTAAACAAACAATGTTACTATCTCGCGGCTGCGCCAAAACAGGTTGTCAATTCAGCATGTTTTCAGGTTTGTGGGACCTGACGCTGATTTTGAATTGACACCTATGGTTCTCTTGACAACTGATTATCGGAAAAAAAAGAAATATAAGAATAAAAAAAAACAGAAACACATACTCGTAAAATTATTTAGAAACATAATTATTTAATACAATTTATCATGGCGTCTTTTTATCATTTAAACTGGAAAAAATTGGTCCCTCGCGCCGGATCTCTCATCATTTGTATGTTACATAAAAATTTTCAACAAACCGTTGTATTAATCGAGGTCTATTTGAATCCAATCATCATCAGCCTGTTAATGTCCCCACTGCTGGGGCACAGGCCTTCCCTATGGATGGACTAAGGAGATTGGGCCATGACCCACCACGCGGGCCCAGTGCGGGTTGGTGGGTGCTAACGACTGACAGATGCAGCCGGGACCAACGGCTTAACGTGCCTTCCGAAGCACGGAGGAGTGAGAGATAGTAAATTTTTGGTCACCCATCCAATGATCGACCACTGCGAAAGTTGCTCAACTTCAACGACCGCAGCCGAACGCGCTAACCACTGGCGTCATCGAATCCAAATCACTTGCAAATTGATGTAAAAAACATTCAACGCCATTGATCTGAAGTACCAGGGTACAATAAACGGATAGGAGACTTTACGCACTGGTCGTATGTTGTAACGAATGAAACATAATAAAACTCGTGTCATTTAAGAGAGGAATCGCAAATGACGACGTAAGACATTCTGTCCCTCTTGCACATGCTATCCTAAGTAACATGCGAGAGAGACAGCATGACAAGTTTTAGAAAACGATCTCACGTGATTGACTAATGTTTATGGAGTCCGTAAGAAGTGAATATTCATCATTCTGTTGTCTATTTCAGTTAAAATAACCAAATCAAAAGCTCCATTTTCGAGTTGCCGCGAAAACGTTTCTCTGGACAATATGGCGTCTTACTAGTGTGTGACGTCACACGACTGTTATTAAAACGTCAAACGATACAATGTAATGTCACTTTAACCGGAAGTTTACTTGCGTGTGACGTCATTTTAGGCTCCGCCAATCCCAAGCGTTTTGGGTCACGTGACAATAGATAAGAAAACTATTATCTTTTTCGTGGGTTTTTAGTAAAATTACGTATTTTTTTTTTGTAAAAATAGTAAAAACCCCTGTCAATATTCATTCTAAACACAGATGCTAACATATAGCACTTTATTTTTAATACTGTCAAATACCCTATGGCGTTGTTACTTTCGATAACTTTCTTTAATGACACGGGTTATAATGTATTATAAGACTTCAAGCTCACTACTATTTGTTATTATTCTATTTTTTAAGTTAAAAATCGTTTTCTTTTTGTATCTCAAATTATGGTGCATTGAATTATTTATTATTATAATTATTAAATTAGGTGCTTTGATGTAATTTTTAATTATATTTAACGTAAAAACTCAACGGCTTAAAGTCAAACTCAGTAAGACTTTGGTGGACAAGTCTTTTTTTATTATTACAAAGATTTTTTTTATTATATTAAAGACAAATCATTTCGCTGTCGCATTTTTGAAACAGAATAATAATATACCAAAGTTTATGATTTCCTTATAAAATTTCAAATTATTATTTAAGGAATATTTTTACCTGCACAATAAAAATACTGTGTATATTTTGCATTTTCTTTTGTGTTTTAATAATATTTTATCTCGAATATTGTACATTTAATTTAGTTTTCATTTAATTATTTGTTTTTGCTATCTACGTCTAATTTTGGCCCGGTAAGCGTATTTATTATGAAAAGTTTAAAATGTATTTTTCGTTTTACTCTTAAATATTTATTTTTGTTGTAATCACGCCATAAATGGTTTCGGTTAAATAAAGTCAAAATATAAAATATATGTTATTCTTACTTGCTTTATGTGTAAATTCATTTCTATATTATATGTAAAAAAGAAAGCATTTTGTATGACAAAAGGAGCCAATAAAAGTGACAAACATTTTTAATATTAAAATAGTAATTATGCGATGGTTACAATGCCCGCCATTCTATGGTATAGATGTCAATTTTAAATTTTCTTTATCAACTATATAATTATCCCTCCAAGTTTTATATTCGAACGATTGTTAGGTGTAAATTTGTTTTAATGTTCTTCATACTTTTTACAAAAAAATCTAACCGTATTTATTTGTTTTCATTAAAATTTTCACTGAAACGCTGTTATTACAGATTTTTAATATTTCCACCACTCGTTTAGTTTCTGTGTCGTATTTTAAAAGAATATAAAATGTATGTAATGGCGGGTTACATTGACACTAAAGATGGTTCCTATAGCAAAATGTTTTGTTACGCTTACCCGTATCAATAGAAAACACATACAGTGGTTCTCTCTCACTCTATCTGTCTCTCTCCCTCTCTCTCTCACACATAAAGGTATTTTGGGTACAGTTGTGAAAACTACGAAAGCACAGAAAAATCAAATCAAATAAAGCTTATAAGATAATGGTTCTGTACTTGATGAGCAATACCAAGTTAAACAGACTAGTATGAAACTACAGTGAGTTGAATTAGGGTTTATTTCAATTCAGCAAAGCTGGGGGTAAGTGTAAAAACACATTTTGCGTCCACCATAAACACGATCGACGGCAACTCACACAACTAAATAAATATAAGTAAATTAATGATAATGTTAACACGCTTATAGAGTTACAGCGACAAGCTATGATATTGTAAACGCGCCTCTATTTTGAATGGACAAATTTTAATTGTAAAAAAGGTGAAACAAAAAAAATCCCTTTGGCTGTATGTAATAAATATTAAAAAAGAAAAAATAAACTTTTTTTTCTTTAATTGTTATAGAGTAAGGCGTTTTTTTCAGCGGCTTTGTCGAAGTCGGTTCAGTGTTTATGTAAATAAAGAAATGTAATATTTTTGAAATTTAAGCGAGGGCTAAGTTATACATTCTGCCTGTTTCATGTGAAAGCCCTTTCGGAGAGTCAATCTTAGATTTTCTAGCTAGAATGGATGGATCTAGCCTTGCGAATTTTTTATGAGTCTCAAGATTATACAAGGATTAGAAAAGATATGGTTTTGAATCCTTATTTGTACATCGCTAAGGCTCATAATTAATTACGTACTAATCTGAATTCAGGCACAAGTGCAGCTCTGTGCGTTGACATCGCGTCTCGTGCGATTTTGAACCGTTGTAACATTGTAATAAATATAGTGTTCCAATGTTAGGTTTTGGATTATTGACAGTCTTGTGTGCCAAGACAATAAGGTAGATTTTGGGCTGGCAATGGCGCTTTGGACGCGATGCCGACTGCACAACGGGACTGCAGGGAAAAGGAGGTTATTAGCGGTTTTTTTTAAACTTCGTATATCGATGTTGCACATATATATAATATTTGGGAGCTTTTTGGAATATTGCGTGAGTGAATATGTCATTTAATTACTAATAATCTCAACTACTTGTTTTTGATCGTAGAATCAGTGCTAGTGGCACCTCTTTGGGTGGTTGTACTGAACTACTTTTCTTTAAGTATATAGTGAACACTGTTTTAAAAAGTGTAATTTTATTATAATAGCATCAAGATATCATTTCAATAGATCCCCATAGTAACTTATCCTCCTTTATAAATAACAGTTGATTCCCAAACTATTACAGCGATTACTTCCGTAATATTCCAGAAAACCAACAATACAAATGTATAAAATACTATTATTATATAAATAATAATTATTATTATATAAATACGTTACGTAGATGCCATTAAATTCTAGTCTTGCTGCTTAGTTGATAGTTAAAAATTTGTATGTAATAATAATAATAATTAATATAATATTGTTTATTTAATAATAATAGGTGTAAGCATTAAATAATATTGATATGTGGAAAGGTTCACTTAAACGGGGAATTATTTGGACCTCGAGACGCTTGGTCGCTTTAAGAAAATCGATCGGAACCGTCGTTTGACAAATCTCTTTCTTTCTCCTTCTACTCTATGGCCGTCTACGTTACTCTATCTAGTCTATGATCGATTTCCGTCTGATTAAAAATATGCGAGAGACAAGAAATAATAACAGTTATTTTTGTGGCAGTTGAGGAGAATTATGTATAGAATTGTTACATACATATTTATATATATTATATGATAGGCCCCTTTTTAAGCGATTTTCGGTTGCTAATAACGAATGTTAGTTATTTAACGTGGTGATTCGGTAAGAAAGCTGGTTTTTCTTGGTGAGTGGAAACAGGATAGGGATTAAAAATTAATTCTGTTACCATTTCAAAAATGGTGGGAATCGACTATATTATTGTAAAGTTAGTATTAAAAGGTGTTTTAAAGTTTGAGAACCAACATTCGTTGTGGCTCTGCTGGGCCTCGACAGGCGACGCTAGTTTTGTTTTATTGTTTCTCAAAGAATGCACGCTCATTGTTTTATTTTGCCATATTTTTTTAATATTTACTGAAATATGCACAATGAAATTTAAATAAAAGGTATTTGTCCTTGAATGGTGGTTTTTATTGGAACTGTGTGAGTAACCAGTTTCTGTGCAACCTACTCGTAAAGGGATCGTTCATTAATCGCGTGAGGCTCGGAAGGGGGCGGGAGGGGTGTCTGTGAATAAAATCATGAAATAATCACAAAGAAGATCACAAATTACAAAGGGTCAAATAATTAATTATCTCAAGTAGGGGAAACCACTCAATCATTGGCACTTTAAGTTTAATTCGAAAAAAACAAGGAGACAATATTTAAGGTCGTTATATATTAAAAAAAGAAAAAAATGTGTGCGTGTACTAGTGTACACACGTAAGAAGTGAAACTTCTTTATGGCCTTATTTTTTTCGAAAAATGATCTACATGCAACTTTCCAGAAATATATATATAGGCGTGAGCTAAGATTTTTCAAAAACTCACCCACTAAAGGGGTATAACTACACCTTACCTTACCTTATCTTGTGTGAAACACGAATATTTGCTGTCGATACTTTTTTTTTTAAAGTTGACAGAAGAAGCGATTGTTCGGATGAGGTAAATAGTGCTCTTTTAAAAAAAAAGATGGCGCGTAACCAAAAAGACGTGACGCGTAACCGAATAAAAATGTGACGGTAAATTTTTTTCCAACGCCGATAAAGAAGTTTCACTTCAAAAAACCTAGTATGGTTACGAATTTTGAAAATTGGCAGCATTATTCCTACAATCTATTGTTTCCTGTTTTTTTCGAACTAAACTCAAAAGTGCCAAGAATAGGAAGAGTGCCAATGATTGGGCAGTTTCCCCTATTTGTTTTTTGTTGAACAAGTAGACCGCGACCTTTACTCACCGCTGAAAGAGGGGGGAAGGGGGCTTCAAATAAGTAAAAATCACGCGATTAAGGGACGACCCTGAAGTTGATTTTCGATCTATATATCGTTCATCCTACTCTTAATGAGGGTTTTCTGGAATGTCGGGCGCCAGGTGGCAGCACTGAGACTATACATCCCTCATCCGTTAAGTCGCGTATGTCGTCTGTGGATCAATTTAAATGCTCATTCGTTTAATTCGAGCAATGAACTTCATATAAAAGATCTCGTCACAGTGTCGCCATCTAGCGTAAGTTTTTCTAAAGACCCTCATATGAAATAAAATGCGACTTTTTAATGTTCAATGAATTTATTTATTGACAAATAATAGTTACATAACTAATAAACATCACGTATACATTGTATTTTGAAGTATATGTATGTACTCTGTAGCAGCAAAACAAGTGTTCATAGTTTTCAATTCAAATAAATTTGAAATCTTTTGGAGGGAATAATATATAACAAAAAGATTAAAGATTAGTAGAGAAGAGAGTAGATTTTATATATTTCATATACTGATTTTTAAATAAAGTACATATGTAAAAACTTAACTCTAGGCTATAACTATATAGGCTCATAGTAATATGTACAGTTTCAAATATAGAAGTCCTACACTCGACTCGAGACTTGAAATTAAAGTCTGCAGAAAGAAAGATAGCGTTGGTGCAGCCAATACCTAAACGAAACATTAGCCGCATTATCATTGCGTCTCTCTCACTCTTGTCGGCCCAGTTTTATTTACAGTTGAACAGGGAAATGATATAAAAAATCTGACAAGAATTGATCACACTCAAGTTACTCGTAACTAAATAATTATACATTGTTTTCTATAATTATTCTATTGATATATTTTAATTTGGAACTTATTTACCTTGTAAGTAATATGGTTACAACATTTGTATTGCAATAAAGTCGAAATTTCTAGTTTACACGCCCAATAAAAAAAAAGGTACAATCGTAAAAATATTTCCGTATTATATAACATTATGACATTTGAATATTAAATGTCTTTCCATAAACATGATTTAATGTATTTTTTTTCAATAATATCCTTCAAAAATTTGTTTGCTTTAATAAAACCGTTTTTCGAACAGTAAATTTTACATTTTTCCAAAAGTTTGGGCTTTTTAACACTCTGTAGTGGCAAACCTGCAATGTACTGTCATTCCTGTTCAAAAAGTGTTTTATTAAATGATTGGTGTGTGCGAAAACATAATGGAGGCACTTTACTAGACTATCAGAGGCGAACAAAACGGCATAATTACATAAAATTAAATTTTACAGGAGCTGTATAAAACTGAATGACATAACTACAGTGAGGTTTTGGCACGGTTTTTAATTTATAAATTTAGTAATTTTAACACTGTTTGAGGCGGTTTTGATTGAAAATTATTTGAGTTTCAAATTCAACGGGCTAAAACCTCCGGACTGTAAAAAAAAAATGTTTGTCCAGATGCGTTATTATACCGTTTTGTTCGCCAACTCCTCATTTATATTTGATATTGTAAACATGACAACAGTCTGTCCTTCTCATGCTATAAAAGGAATGAAAAGGACAGGCTGATGTCAAGTTTGCAAATAGCAAACACATATAGCCAAGTGAAGCGGCTGCATAAGAAATAGATATGCCTGTTTTCGTCCAATATTCAACCTTAGGCAGGTTCCAAATTAAACCATGTGACTTCCTTTCAACACATTTGCTAAAAAAATCTTTTTTTTTTTACATTGTTCAAAAGTGTGGTAAAACGTTTTACCGCACGCTCCCATACATGGCGCCGTGCGTTACCCTTTGCGTTCTTTTTTAAATTACAGTCGAACCTTCTTGGAACGCTTTTAATCTATACCTTTGTTTCACTTTAATAGTAAAAAGAATAGAGACAAAAGATGTAGTTCTTATTTTCACCACGCCCACATGGCGCCATTTCGAAATACGCGCCATTTTGTTATTAGAAAAAGTTTGCTTCATTACTTAAATAAGGTATATGAACTGTTTTCTCGCAAATGTGTTGAAAAACGTTGTATTACATTCGTGCGGTATTGGTATTTACAAACTTGTGACTATGGTAACTCGTTTGTAATAAGCAACTTACCGCACTAAATATGATAAATAACTTTTATTTCATAATTTCATGATCACTAAACATTAAAGTAATTAACCCTGCTAACTACTAATAGATATACTTTATTTTAATTGTCACTTACACACTCATTTCGCTGGCCTTTAATGTTGCAGCCAGTTAAAGTTGATTTCTAGTCGTCGGAAACAATAGTAACACAACACAGAACACTAAACACTCGTCTTCTAACCGATTAAACCTTCAAAACCCAATAAATTATTCTCCTCATCTTCATTGTCTTCAACAATTTTCAACGCATCAATCTTATCTTTACTCACAACAACCATACCAGTTTTCGTATCACTATGAAACCGTCTCAAGTGAACGTTGAGAAGGGACTTTCTCACTGATGTGTAACTGCAAAGACCACAAGAGTACGGTTTGTAACCAGTATGAATGGTTTCATGTGCCAAAAGACCGTCTCTCCTAGGAGCCTTATAATCACAGTATTTGCATTTCCAAACACCGTTCAAATGGGCATAATTATAGTGCCTCGATAGATCATATTTAATTTTGCACTTGTAATTGCACTCGCTGCACGAATAAGCGTAATGGCTCTTCTGATGCATAACTAAAGTGCATTTGAATTTAGTTTGAAAACTGCACTCTTTGCAATTTAAAACGATTCCAGATTTACTCCGCTTGTTGTGCAAAGCGATCTGATCTTTAGTTTTGGTACAAAAGTCACAGTTTATACATTGGTACGGTTTCGTTTCGTCACCTGTGTGATGCCTTTGGTAGTGGCGTTGGACTGAAGCTTTGAATCGAGAACTGTATTTGCAACTGATGCATTGGAACGGTTTGCTTTTGTCCTCGGACTCCAAAACTTTTATGGATTTCCAGTCAACGCAGTCAGGGCTCGTATTATACTTTCCAAAGTTTTCACCTTTCTTCTTTTTCTGCGGTTTGTTGCAGTCTTCTTCGTTTGCTCCTTCGAATTCCTCATATTCTACTTCATCCAATTGGTCTTTTGTCTCTTCTCTTACTTCACTGGACTCTGTCAGCTCTTCTAATTGTTCTGTTTTTTCATTTTTCATGTCGCTGGGCTCCACCAAAACGGTTTTCAAGAAAGTCAAGTTGTAATGTTCATCCCGTCTATGCTTTTTCATTTCGCATGCATACGATGATGCAAAACCGCAATTATTGCATCGAATAAGTTCTTTCCGTCCGCTTCTGTGCAAGTGGATGGTCAATCTCCATTTGGTTACTGTAGAAAAGTCGCAGTGTGCACATCTGAAATAATATAATGGTTATTTTATTATATTTTACATATTCAACTGTTAGATTTTCAAGTCTCAAGAGAATTTTACTTGAAAAAATCCACTTGTTCTAGAAATCAGGCGAAATTTGAACTTTTATTTTCCCCTATCCGGGCGGGCCCTGGGAAAGGAATGGATGTTTTAATTCTAGGCCCTGTTATAGCCCTATCTGTTATATATATGCCTTATAGCCCTAAGTTGTGTTTTTAGGGGTTAATAAAAAATATTTTCTTTCTTTCTTTCTATTTCACCAAGTCGACATATGTAAGCTGACGGTTTCTTATGGGGTGACCTATTTACTGCACCCGTTTCACTAATTAAATGTTCGGTACTATCTTTACTTATGCGGAATTTTTCTTTGAACTCAAAATCAATGATATCACAGGAGACATTTATTTCGTTTTCTATAAATTCTCCTGTATACGAACGCATGTTTTCAAACTTTTGCAGAGAGCTATTTTGTAACTAACAACGAGAACACTACAATTGTAATGCAAATCTGACACAGCCCCGATATCATGTCAAGAATTACCGACAGTTTGACAAAAATGTCCACTTAAAAAATTACCCTTGATTCACAACATAATTGTCGTCCAAGTGAGTTGCGGCCTATTGTAACAAAATGCTTGTGATTTTTATGACATAAAATATGTCGACTTGGTGAAAGAGTCGAGAAGAAATGAGGAGCTCGATGGCGCAAGTGGTTAGCGCGTTCGGCTGCGATCGTTGAAGTTAAGCAACTTTCGCAGTGGTCGATCATTGGATGGGTGACCAAAATTTTACTATCTCGAGCTCCTCCGTGTTTCGGAAGGCAAGTTAAGCAGTTGGTCCCGGCTGCATCTGCAGTCGTTAGCACTCGCCAATCCGCACTGGACCCGCGTGGTGGGTCATGGCCCAATCTCCCTATTCCATTCCCTAGCCTGTGCCCCAGCAGTGGGGACATTACTAGGCTGATGATGGTGGTGAAAAAGGGCTCAGGATTCATCCTTTTCCGTCAGGAGGTTTGTATGGGAAACCAGCTACTAAATGACAAAGTTATTACCTGAAGGCAGTTTCAGTAATCTCGTTGTGTATCTTCGCCAGATGTCTGGTGATGTGGCCCATGAACTTGGTTTTGAAATGACATTTGTCACATTTGAACACAACGTTCTTGCCCTTTGCGTGAGTCTTGGCGTGTTTCTGGTAGTTGTGTCTGTAAATATTTATATACTATTATACTATGATGTTTTAAACTTACAGATACGTCGTACACCGTTCTAATTTGGCAATACGAAGTCAGGTAATTGCCCGACTTGCATTCAGTCGGGCATGCTCTCGTTGCGTTTTTCCAGACAAAAAGCCCTATCAGTGTTTTTTAGATACTACACAAAATACACGGGAACTATTAGAGATAAGAAAAACGTGTCGTTTCATTCGTAAGTACAGTTTTAAAGAAATTAATGTAAAAATATTTAGTGATTACTTATTCTGACAGTTGCTGACACCGTTTACACGTGAAGGCAAAAAATGAAATGTATGCAAAATTTATACAATGTAACAAATTAAAACTATAATTAGACACGTTTTCAACCTCCACTAAAATGTTAATTCTGTGTATTGTGATGTTTTGTGTTTTGTCGTGCATGCCATAAAATGTGTTGTGTTTTGTTACAGGGTCGTTAAATCAACATAGGAAGTGACAGAATTTTTAAAGTAGTATTTTCAACTTCTCATTTCGAAATTAATTTTATTAAGAATCCCTTGTCGTGTAGTGGCTATCTACGTGAAATTGGCAGAATTGTGGGTATATCCCCGTTGAGACATCAAAAAAAGAAAGAAGAAGAGATGTAATCTGCTTTATGCATGACAGTGAAAGACTACTTCAGCGCACTCTATTGGCGACTGTTGACGGGAAGTTGGGGCTACTAACTACTTGTGCCATTTTAAAATGCAATAATGTTGGCGTATAACCTGTCCATATATTATACGTCATTGGTATTATAATATGAAAGCTCACGACTGCCAAAAATTCATTAAAATTCAAAAAATTCAAAATCGTTTATTCAGTCTAGGCTGTTACAAGCACTTGTGAATGTCGAAAAGCTACGCCATCGGTTCGCAAATCTACGGCGAATTATTTAACATTATGTAAAGGAACTGTTCTGGAAGGGAACCAGTATTCTTTGCTATTCAGGCGAAACATTTACTGCTAATGCAGGCGTTAACCAATATATATAAATTCTAAAAGTGAAAAAATACTTTTAAAGTCTGAAAGTGGTTTATTAGTTGCAAGATTTATAAATTCTGAAAAAATTCAGTGTACTTCAAATAAGATTATTAAATTCTTAAACTGATCTTTAACTATGAGTCTTTTGAATTCTGGAATAGGTCTCTAAATCACCGATATTAAATACCCTAGATACACCACGAGCGCTCAAAATGTGTCCCAATCAAGAAGTGCTTGAACTCCACTCAAGCACTTCTTGGTTCACAGTCATGCGCGGACCGTCGAAAAGTCAAGTTGCCGTAGAGCTCCGTGATAAAATGCGCAAAATATACTTATGTATACTATAGCATGTAAAGTTTCGTTTAAAAACAGGTATCTAATCAACGTTTGTTAATTTAACGCATTTGAAGCAAATTTTGTTCCAATACTTAATATAAACCGATTTAAATAGAAAATATTTATGATATTCAAATGCATGGTCTGTAATACGTCGCCGTATAGCCGTCTCTTTTCCTCACGGTCCGTATCTACTATTATGTTATAAGCGCATTCAGAATTGCGCGTCGAGTCAAACAAAAAGGTCTATATTCTACCGTATATAGCATTAAGTAGTAAAATTTTACAAACTTGCATTTCGTACTGTCGTATCTCTTTGATGCATGCGTTTTAATTAAGATCTTATACAGTATGCATTAAAGGTGACTTTCAATATTTCAATAATGCCGTATAATGTTTTTGACTACGCGATCATGTAACGGAGCTTCATGGATCGACCAATGTACCTTTTGGACAGGTTACGGGCACGTATTTGTTCGTGTTGGTGTATCTAAGGTATTTTGACGACCTTCGTGGCAGAGTGGTTTCTACGCCAGGTTTCATGGTGTCGCCGACTCGAGAGGTCCCGGCTTTGAATCCTGATGGGGACAGATGTTTGTGTGATAAATACGAGCATTTGTACTCCAGTCATAGATGTTTAATATGTAATTCTATATAAATATACTTATATAAGTACAGTATATGTATTCTATCCGTTACCCTAGTATCCCAAAACACAAGCCTTACAGTGCTTACTTTGGGGCTAGGCTAACTGTTGTGAGTGTTGGAAATATTTATTTATTAATATCGTTGCTCTAAGTACAAGACTTTTAAAGTATAAAATTAAACTTATGAGTAACTGTAAGAAGAAACTTACTTGTAAGCGGTTACGTATTCGCATTCCGTGCACTTGTAAAGTTTATCCTCGGAATGTTTGCGCATGTGAGAACGCAAGTTCCACTTGTACACCGTAGTATAGTCGCATAAGTGGCAGTTCACTGTTGGCGCAGGTTTCACGTCCACGGTGTGTTTGGTTTTTATGTGCCTTTGTAGAGAATTGGGCAGCTTTGTGGCGAAACTGCATTGCGTACATCTGAAAACAAAATAAAAATGATTTAATAAAACTAGTTTTTACGGGTTAATGCACGAAACTTTATTTATTTATTGACGTTTCGTAGCCTTTACAGGCTTCGTCGTCAGAATAAAACTTAAATAAAAGCTACGAAACGTCAATAAATAAATAAAGTTTCGTGCATTAACCCGTAAAAACTAGTTTTATTTAATGAGTGATGTGCGTGAAAACCTAAGAAACAAATATAAAAATGATTTGTTTCTTTACCATACATCTGGACATAGATAAAGGTAGGCTGTTTTTTTCAAGTGTAAAGACACCTTTATCAAAAGGAACCACTCTTCCATAGCATGAGTCACATTAAGGTAAGGTCATTCACTTTATTATGATTAAATCTATTATAGTGCGAGTTACACCAGAGAGCTAGTTTAGTAAAATTTTACTAACATTTTTTTTTGTAGTATGTATCATAAAAAAAAACAAAAACAATAAAATTTTGTCAAAAGAAAAAATTTAAGGATCTACCACCCTTAACATTTAGGGGGGAATATTGCTTTCGCTATCGCTTACGAATTCATTTTGTTATTTCTGACCCCCGAAGGTTTTTAAATTAAAAAATAAATAAATACCTTACGCTCATTTTCTTTAATACTGCTATTACCAATGCCAAAGAAAAAAAAGAGCACGAAGCATTGCAAAACCTTCAGCAGTAAGAAATAAAAAAAAATCGTAAGCGATAGCGATAGCCATAGCAATCTCCTCATGCGATTGGCCCCCAGGACGACATAGTCTAGCAGGTTACATTAATAGGCTAGGATGATGAAGTATAATGTAGGTACCAGGACGGCATAGTCTAGAAGGAGGCGACATCAATAGTCTAATGACGACTGACCTGTGGCCCTTCGTATCGGCATGGCCCAATACGTGCAAATCCAAACAATTCTTATAAACCGTGGTGTATTCACATTGTTCACATTTAAACTCCTTCGTGTATTGACGCCTCTGCGCAGACTTTGGTAGGAGTAGCCTGTAACAAAAAAAATGAGCGAGCCTTACAGTAGTCGCGTATGATGTGTAACATTTGATACCTCACCTTATATTAGTAAAAAAAAAGAAAATATATATATACAACTAGAAAAAGTTCCACGCGGACCAGGCAGCAGACGGGACTCGAACCCGCACCCTTCGCAATCCGGGCGAATGCACTGACCAATTATGCTACCGCGGCCCTCACGGACCGCGTCGAAATTCTTCTAGTCATTCTTAAGCTGCAAGGCAGCGCCATCTCTTCGCATTATAGGTAACCCACAATGTCAAATGAATACTTTTACAAGTATTAAACATTTGAAAGAAGAAATAGCAATTATAGTTATAATTTTTATTAATATTTTTAAAGCATGTAACTGCTTGATGTTTAAATTTAAAGAAAATAAACTAGAAAAAATTCCACGCGGACCAGGCAGCAGACGGGACTCGAACCCGCACCCTTCACAATATGGGCAATATCGTGAAGGCCGCGGTAGCATAATAATTGGTCAGTGCATTCGCCCGGATTGCGAAGGGTGCGGGTTCGAGTCCCGTCTGCTGCCTGATCCGCGTGGAATTTTTTCTAGTTATATTTTCTTTAGATTTAAACATCAAGCAGTTACATGCTTTAAAAAATAATAATAAAAATTATAAAAAAACCTACTACAAAAGGAATAAGCCATTTGAACATTATGTTCTAAAATCAAATCAAATAGTGCGCGCTTTCGCGACTTCCTGTTACACACTTCCGTCCCACATCACGAAATCACTCCCACAAATTGCAGGAAAGCGAGAGGAAAGATGTTACACATCAATCATACTTTAAATTGTTGTTACACTTCAATATTGGCTGCATCTGCAGTCGTTAGCACCCGCCAATCCGCACTGGGCCCGCGTGGTGGGTCATGGCCCAATCTCCCTATTCCATCCATAGGAAAGACCTGTACTCCAGCAATGGGGACATTAAAAGGCTGATGATGCTTGTATGGCATATAATGTAGTTCCTACGTATGGCGAAAGTACCAGGACTGCATAATCTAGGAGGAGGTGACATTGATTACTCAGATGATGAAAACAGGGTGACATATGACCCGCCTGGTGGTGAGCGGCCAGCGTCTTTCCATTCTATACAATGCCAGAGCGCAGCCATAGGAAACAGTATCCCTAGAACAAACCAACATCCAATTCGTATCGTTTGCGAGTCCGAAATGTCAAATTGTCAAATGTGTACTGATTTTTAGTTCTCGTTACGTACTTTGTGCCGCTGCTGTTTGCATACAAAATTTGACATTGACATTTCGAAATGCAAACTATTCGAATTCGATAATGGTTCGTGCTAGGGGTACTGCTCACGTATATATTGTAACTAGCAAACCAGTGAACCAAATGTTCACCAAAAAAAAAAAAAATGTATTTCATTAATTGAGAACTTTGGAGATTTTGTGTGGTTTCGTTTGAAATAGAAATCACGTGATTTCTCGAAAACCGGAAGTGCTACGTTACTCACATCCGGTTTGTAGTCTTATCAGACTATTCTCAACTTATAACTTAAACATTCTCTATATCTATCTCTTACGGTTTGGCCGCTGAAACAGCACCACGGACGGACGGACTTGTCTAATAGATAAGAGATGCTATTTTTAAATCTGTGATTACAATGCATACACAAACTTTGCGTAGTGATCGTGTATGTTATAGCTACTAGCAGGATTGTTACCATGTACCTTAAATAAAACTAGTTTTAACGGGTTAATGCACGAAACTTTATTTATTTATTGACGTTTCGCAGCCTTTTCAGGCTGCTTCATCAGAATGATTTTTTTGTTTAATTTTGTCGAGCTACCTGCGAAAGTTTTCGAAGTTTTCGAGTAAGCCTGAAAAGGCTGCGAAACGTCAATAAATAAATAAAGTTTCGTGCATTAACCCGTTAAAACTAGTTTTATTTAATGAGTGATGTGCGTGAAAACCTAAGAAACAACCATTTACCTTGTTTTTTTGAGTCTCCAATATCTATATCCGATATCGGCACTGTTGGAAACGCCATGATCACGGAGTAACTGATCATGTTGGCGCTTGCAACAGTACTACGTCGTAGTACTACGTCGTAGTACTACGTAGATACGTCTGACGGGTACTAGTTTATAACTAAACTAGCTGACCCAGCGAACTTCGTACCGCCATAAAAAAATAGGGGTTGGTGGTAGAAGGGTGAAAATTCAGGGTTGTATGTATTTTTGTATGATGTATCATAAAAAATAAAAACAAAAAAAAATATATCTAAAATTAAAAAAAAAAATAGGGGTGGATTACCCTTAACATTTAGGGGGATGAAAAATAGATGTTGTCCGATTCTCAGACCTACCCAATATGCACACAAAATTTCATGAGAATCGGGAAAGCCGTTTCGGAAGAGTTTAACCACAAACACCACGACACACGAGAATTTTATATATTAGATAAAAAAAGATCAAGGAGCTCGATGGCGCAAGCGGTTAGCGCTTTCGGTCTGAGATCGTGGAAATTAAGCAACTTTCGCATTAGCCGGTCTTCGGATGGGTGACCAAAAATTTATTATCTCTCACTCCTCTGTGTTTTGTGTACGTTAAGCCGTTGGACCTGACTGCTTCTGCACCCACCAATTAGCACAGGGCCCGCGTGGTGGGTCATGGCCCAATCTCCTTATTCCATCCATAAGGAAGGCCTGTGCCCCAGCAGTAGGGACATTAAAAGGCTGATGATGGTTGTATGGCATATAATGTACAATACGTATGGCAAAAGTACCAGGCCTGCATAATCTAGGAGGAGGTGACATTAATTCCTAAGTAGTAGGGACATGAAAACACTGATAATGATAAAACTCACGTTTTCCTGATAGGCTCCTGTTTAACAATTGTACTAGTCTCCGCCACATTTCCTTCCAGGTCTATTATCTTCTCCTCAGCAGTATCCAGGAGTTCGGTCTTCACGTCCAGCAGTTCGGTCTTCAGCCAGACACTGGCGAACATATTCTTGTAGCCGCTATCATCTTCGGTGTCAGGACCTGGCATTGTCACTTCAGTAAGCAATGATTCATAACCTTCGTTAGCCATTATCTGAAACAATATACTGAGAATATATTTCTGAATTCATGCAAACTACCAGGGACCTAAGACAGGGCCACATTCATCACCTACCGCTTGACTCAGGTACTCACCGGACATGGTTGTTTCGGTGAGTATCTGAGTCGAATAGGGAGGGAGGACACGGCACGATGTCACCACTGCGCATCCGAACTAGACTTGGTCCAGCATACGCTGGCGGATTGTCCCGCTTGGGACTCCGAACGCCGAGTCTTGGTCGGAGAAATAGGGCAGGATCTGTCTCCGCCAGCATTGATTGCGGCAATGCTGGCGGATGAGGGAGGTTGGAAGGCTGCGGTCTCCTTCTGTGAAGCGGTGATGCTCCAGAAGGAGGCCGCCGAGCGGGATCGGGAGAAGGCCGATCCCGCTCGAAGAAGGCGGCGTCGGGTCAGATAATGTCCTGATGTGCCGCTGCGGGTCGCTGGTGAGCACGACAGAGCTCATGGAAGTGACCTGGGAGGGACGACACCCCCGGGGGGTGTCATCGTAGGAGGGTGGATGGGGGAGGTTGCGAACACTCCCCCGAGAAGAACTCCCCTGGAGGAAGCAGGGGAACAAAGGCTGCGGGTCCTCAGATGCGATACTCGATCCTGAGGCCCCGTACAATGCCTGATGGCGGCCATCGCTGGGGTTTTAGTGGGTAGGCCTCCCCCTTCTGGGGAGGAGAGCCCCACATAACCACCATGTGGTATGCAATTTAATGCATTTCCCCAGCGTATCAAAAAAAATAAAAAAAGTGTGCGTGTACTAGTGTACACACGTAAGAAGTGAAACTTCTTTATGGCCTTATTTTTCGAAAAATGATGTACATGCAACTTTCCAGAAATTGGTTAAATAAAGTTTAAACATAAGGATTTTATTATCATAGACATGAATACAAACAAGATTTCATTTCATTTCATTTCATTGACATGAAATTATACATGTATGCTCTATAGATGGTATAGAGATGTTCTAATAATGTATATTTAGAAATAAACCTTCTTTTGTGGTCAAAAAGTATGTGCAAATAACTAATGCCACATGTACGAAGTCGCGGGCAGCGGCTAGTAACAGTTAATTATAAACAAGGTGTTCAATGCACCTGGTAAAACACCCACCGTAAAGAAGAAGAAGAAAAAGGAGAAGGTGTTCAATGAATGCCCTGTTTTCATGGAACTGAATTACCACATATTTACATTTGGTCACCTTGTTACAGGCCAGCCCATTTAAGATTTTTCACTCAACTTGCCTTCCCATAAATACATAAAATTGTCTTCCAAATAAAGAAGGTAGAAGAAATATGAAGGTATAGTTTTTTTTGGTGTGTAATTATGTGAGTGTGTATATGTATTAACTAGCGGCCCGCCCTAGCTTTTCTTCGGTGTAGAGCTGAAGCGTAGACTACAGTTTTTGTTCTCAGGCTTGTATTATACACAATATACCTGCATGCAAAGTCTCAGCCCGATCGGTTTAAAATTGACAAAGTTTCAGACAACTTTCATTCCCTATTTTATCCCCTTGGGGGTAGAATTGATCAAAATCCTTTCTTAGCGGATGCCTACGTCATAACATCTACCTGCATGCCAAATTTCAGCCTGATCCGTCCAGCGGTTTGGGCTGTGCGTTGATAGATCACTATGTCAGTCAGTTACCTTTGAGTTTTATATCTATACTAGCTGTACCCTGCCACGCTTCGCAGTGGCACATTGTGATTGAATGGTTGAGAAATGAGAAACAAAACATAAAGTAAGTTTCATATAAGTTTAATTTTGCAATACTTGTGGATATACAATATTTTTTGTTTTTCCACTGTCTGCGTAGATATAAAGACTATCTGGTTTGCCGACTCGGGAACACGCAACATACAGTTGTCCATGTGAAAAGCAATCCGCATCTAAATCTAAACAACACAATTATAAAGTTTCTGCTACGTTTATTAATGGATTATTTCTTCGATGGAGAACAATATCTCTAGGTTGGAACTGATCTCCGACTATGACAATTGCTACTTCTATAGTTGGAGCATTATATCTCCGAACATGTTCTCCAGCGGGGGTTTTGTCTGCGTGAATAACAATTTTGTGGGTATCTGATGGCATCATATCAATTGCTGTTTTGAACAAACGCACTAAATTGTTCCTTTCATGAAGAAGCTCCTGCAGCTGCGAAATAATGGATCTTCTTAGCGAGGTATGTATTCCACAACTTGCATCTACTTCATCTCTATCATCACCAATGAAGTACATTTATAGGAATTTATGGTCACTATCTGAGAACGGGAGCAGGGAGCAAGCTTTGTGATATATTTGCCCTTTGATTTTAAAAGTTGGCATGAATAGAGCAGTCACGATTTCCGCACCAAATGACGTCATTTGGAAGCAAGAGTTATATTTCCTGATGTTCAATAAGAAATGCTTCTATTCAGCGGTAGATCCAGCAAGTAAAGTTTTCAATGGCTCTGGTGGTGCATCAAGTTGAGGCAATTTGATTCTTCCGCCAGCGCAATACATCCCTTTCGTTTCATTATTAAACTTTAGAGCCTGGCAGTAGCATGTAGCTACTGCCAGGACTCATCTGACCATTGACAACATGCTGTCTTAAACTATAATCAACAGCTGGATTGTACTGGAACGCAAGACGATTGTATTCCAGATGCAGATCAGCTGTTCTTTCTGTTCGTGTTTCAGCTATCCTCACCCTTTCACGTTCATTCCGTTCAGAATGAACCAAATTTGTTGCTGCAGAACGCGACTGACGTGCTCGCAATCGTGCATCCTCAAGCCTGGCTGCTCGTCTTTCTGCTGGGTCCATGTTACGTGTCTGGATGGTGCTTAGCCTGTTCCTCTCTCGTACGGATGCTCGCTCTTCCTCAGTCATATTCGAAAGTCGTCTTCTTGATCCTTCTGTGTGGCGAGTACGACGGCCCAAATTTGACTTTCTGCGAGGCATTATTTCGGTTTTCACTGAAACAGAAGAAAGGAATGAGATTAAAACTTCTTATGGCTCTCACAGTTCTTATATTCTCCTATCTCTCGTGATTCTCATAGCTGCAGCTCGACAACAATGAGACACAGGATAGGCAGCATTGAAAATTAATAATACTTAATTTATTAATAATAAAAAATATGTGTGTATTACTTTACACACGTAAGAACTGAAACTTCCTCATGACATACCATTTTTTGAAAAATGACTTACTATTTACAACTTAACAGAAATTGGTCAGATAAAACAACAAGTTTAAGCAAGAAAAAATTCATTTTTAACACGCTTTGATTAGCTTCATTGTTCATCAACTTGTACAATAATTGCATCTGAAGATTCCTTGGAATTTTTGAATTCTGCCATTGTTGGATCTAAAAATTATTTAATGAATTTATAAAAATATACCAATGAAATTTTAGTATTCATATTTCATGTAATAACTTGATAAAGTTCAATAATTTTTTCAGTTGTCAAGTTTTGTGTAAAAAATAATTGAAATTATTTATTGAAAGTAATACAATTATTAAATGACTGCCAATTCAACAAACATGCATTATTTTTTTCGAATTCAAAATGAATGAATAAATTATTAGAAACATTAATTAATATTAAATAAATAATAATTGCAAAAAAATAATATTTTTACAGTCCATCTTTGATATAAAATATAACCTCTACTTACGATTTGGTGAAAGGCCCAGTCGATCACAACACTATCACACCAAAAATTCTTGATCTAAGTGAATATTTAATTCAGATTGTATAACGATCAGAATCAGATGCAAATTTTTTTTAAATAAACAATGTAATTGGGAACGAAATTGTTTCTCATGTGACTGCGTCATTACTATTGCCGTTGTCAGCAAGTGTTTTCCTCGCTTCTGGCAGATGGCGTGGTCACTGGTACCCAGCTGATCGTTAAAAAAACTGTTTTCCCGCGGTTGCAGACATGTGACTGATGCAAAAAATAGATCAAAACAATCCTTGATGCGGATTTTATATCATGTTAAAATTTCAACTCAATCGGTGCAGAACTTTTTGAGTTTTTGAAGCGTACACAAACCAACATAACATTTTTATATATATAGATAGATGTCTTTCTTCATGTTAAAACTCATTGGAGTAACTTGTTTGTATTTTTTCTCATGGCTGTTACTTAATTTATTCGTTGGCATATAATTAATCATCTCAGATGTACACTTACTATTTTTAAATTAAGGGAAACCTGTAATTGGCCATACTTACCTGTAAAATACTATCTGTTATTTATTGATATATATGCTGTTGGTTTTCTTAATAAAATAAATAAATAGACTAAGTTTTTCCAAATATGAAAATAAAAGTTTATATTTTGTTACTTACTTAGCCTCTCCGGCGGCCATCCGCACGCGCCGCGAAGGGGTCAATGGACCGACCACCCACCGAGCCCCCCCGCGGTGTGGGAATGGTTGCATTGTTTTGCCGATTTCTCAGTTATTTTGTAAGAATACCCTACACAAACTATATATATTTGGATTCTCCATAAAATTTACTATAAAACAGTGTCTAAACAATGCGTCATGTCTATAATCTATTTTAATTACGTTACGGTAAACTCGGGAAAGATAAAAAAAAGGCGTTTAGACGGGTAAAATGGAGTATATTTTCAAAATCTCAAAATTTCAAGTCCAGATTTTTTGGTTATTTGCACATTCTATTATAACTTACCAAATAAAAACCTAAAATTCTATACTACCACAATTAAATTTTACACTACAGATCTGTCTCGAGCGCGCGCCAAATGTGTCAACACGTGCGCCGTTAATATAAACATACTCACATTTCAAGTGGGTCGTTAAAGATTACGCCGGCTGTTTGGATGGCTGTGATTTATTAGCCCATTAACTCCGACTGTTAAGATAACATTACAACCAAGATTGTTATGAATAAAGTTTGTCCATTTTTTAGGTTTAAGAACTTATAACGAGGCATTTAAAAATCGCCTACAAATCAGTCATCTCAGTTTTATGTCTATAAAACGAAAAGTATTTACAATTTTGGTAAACAGTTTTTTTTATCAGAATGTACGCGAAATTTGCTTTAGAATAAAGAAAAACTAATCACTAGTTCACATACAAGAAAATAATTTAAAAAAATATTTCGTTCCTGTATTTGAATTTCGAACAACCGTTCCACCGCGCGGATTTTGTTTTTTTTTTATTTCTTCAAAAATACGAACTCAAGAGATTCTTTGTATTCGAAGTATTAATCATGAATAATTTATTCAATAATTAAAAATTAAAACATTACAATTATTATCGAAATTATCAAATAAAAACATAGGGTAAGTACCCCTAAGTTTTCGCTGATTTTTTTTGAGACCGCGTCTGCAAAAAAATTCTAAAAAAAAAAAAATCACGGAGACCCGCAAACGAAACATCAAAATAGAGTAACTAAATGTATTTAACTTAACCAGGCATGGTGTTTTTTTCTTTAAAACCACTCAAAAGCACTTAAAATAGTCTGAATACACGGCATATTTTTTTTCAGACAAAAAACGGCGAACGACGAACTTTGACAGACAACAGTATAAATATTTCATTTGGCAGTTGTTTTAATCAATGGCTTGATAGCTAGCCCGTTTTTTCCTCTAAAAATTGATATAAAAATGTAGGTAATGGCCAAATTTAAGGCCCCAGTGGCCCGAGTCCAACTTTCGTATGGTAAATCGACCGACTTTTGGTCGCTGGCCGCAAGTCGGGGTAACGTCAAAAACCAAAAGTCGGTCGATGGCCGCCTGAGAGGTTAAGAACTGAATAAAACCTTTACCCCCTTATTAATAAACTAAGAATGAGCTTGGATTATTTTTGTCTCTGTTCCATTGAATGACAAATGGCATTAGGGGTGATGATGGAGTACAGTAAACGAAATTCTATTTAGTCCGTCTGTTAAATGATCAAAAAATAATGGACATGTATTTTTTCTTTGGGCACCGCGTCACTGGGTTAAGTTTAGTCCTCATGGGGTTAAAGGAGAACGGTAAAACTGTACTTCCTGGGAGGTGATACTAGACATTTTTTTGTTGAAAAAGTCTCTATTAACGATTTTGCTGCTGAGGCACTCTTGCTTTGCTCATTCGTTATGGTCACAACACTAACCTTACCAAGTGTGAAGTATTACTTCTTGGGCCCAGGAAGTCCAGTATATCCAGGATAACAATGGATTATATGCATATTTGTAAGCAATGGAGAATTCGAAAGATTTTAGGTATAAAATATGTACCTGAACAAGTTTAAAATATCTATTAGCATACTTTACTTAATATAATGGACTTCACCTTCACTTAACATTAGGTGGGGTGGAGTCATTTGTCGGACCTATGTATAAAAAATAAAATAAAAAAATATGGCAAAACTTACATCAAAAATACCTAGATGTACCATAAAAGCTACTGGAAGAGCTATGATGGAACCAAAGCACGATAATAACTTTTTGAAAGAGGTCGAAAGAGACCAATGGACTGCAGACATAAATGTTTACTGCTGTTTCAGTAATAAATTAGGTTTTAGTAGAGGACATTATAAATAAATGTATAATATTTAACCGTATCACAATGCGGAAAATCTAATTGGCTGACAATACCCAGAGATATTTTTGGTAATGTGTGTTTAGGATTCAAAGAAGCAATTGTTAGAATTCATTATTGGCTTACTTACGCTAAGTTATGAACATCACACAAACACTGAATTCCAATATGCAAAGTAAACTATTTTTTTTGGAGATAGCACACCTTTTTTAGAATGCAGGGATTTCTGAATTCATTTTTTTACTTTTGTTCCGATTCGCTGATCCGCATATTTTTGGCGTTTGACTTGAGCAACAGAGATTCGTTCAAAACTAAAATTATTTTATCTGCTTATACTTTTTTGATCGGCAAAATCGTTCTGAATCGTATTGGAAAGGTATAAAAAAACTGGAACTGAAAATGTTTTTCTACGTGCTTTATCAATTTACTCAATAAAGTGTATGTACTAAATAGATTTGGATAAAGGTATATCTTTTTCATGTACTATGAACTAGATTTTGCACGAATACGATAGTGTTGTAAGCACTTTACATAATTGGCCGAAAATTGTCTTAAAAATGTCTGAGATTTGGTGGTATTTTAATTTGTTAAAAAACGATGTGCGTGTTGATTTTGTTTTTCAGTCAGAATCTCAAAAACATTTCATATCAAATAAAAAATATCCTTAAACATTTAGGCAGGAGTTTTCAACTTGAATAAGTTCTCATGGAAACAAGAAAGCAAATTAACTCTTCACTATAAATAATAACTATTTCCAACACACACCAATTAGCCTAGCCCGAAAGTACGCACTGTAAGACTTTTATTATGGGGTACTAGGGTAACGAATACAATACATAATTATACTATATATAAGTATATTTATAAAAAAATACATATTAAACATCCATGACTGGAGTACAAATGCTTGTATTTATCACTCAAACATCTGCCCCCACCGGGATTCGGAACCGGGACCTCTCGAGTAGGCGACACCATGAAACCCGGCGTACAAACCATACGGTCACGGAGGTCGTCTCGTCATTGATTAAAAAATAATTAGTAATAACGTCGTTTATCAATTTTTTAAAGCTAACTTCATCATAAATCGGCAGTCAGTCTGTCTCAAAATGTTTAACCTTGGCCTTAGGGTTAGACACACGTATGTAAAATTTTCTCCTTCAGCGATCCTTTTCAATTGATTGCACGATTTAGCTTTAAAGAAGATGTGTAAGCTGATTTAAAATATTCACCCTTTGGATGACTTAAGGCATTGTCCTAATACAACGCGATAATGCGAATGAGTGATGCCATCATCGTACGATTCGACGATCAAACATATTGATCTAGAATAGGTGTCCTAATAGGCGATCGCGCGATGCATTCGCACGACTAAAATGTTTAAAAATCTATTCGCGCGAACTTAGTTCACGCGAACGCGCAATCAAACCTATTAATGATGAATAGGTGTCCTAACTGAAGTTCGCGCGATGATCGCGTCGCGTCGATAGGAAGCGGGGAGAGGAGCAGGGCTAACCCGTTCCGTATTCGCGTTCTATTAGGACACCCAGTTCGCGATCACGCGATGGTCGCATCGTTTAATCGCGCGATGATCGCATTATCGCGTTGTATTAGGACAATACCTAATACGACCGAAATTCGCGCAATTCTTTCTAGCGGCTGGCAACACATGAAAAAAAAATAACATATGTCAAAGTCAACAAGTTAGACATGGGCGTTTTTGGTTTTGAACGCAAACGGATATATATCGGATTTCAGATTTCAAAATCGATTTCAAAATCCGTTTTTAGATATCCGATTTCAGATGTGCCTAACTTAGCCAATTCACTAGTTTGTGTTAAGATTTGGTTTTATTAGCTAACGACAATAACAAACAATTAATTAACGATATTTTGAAAACCAACACAAAACTCGTCTAATCAATTAAAAAGTCAACAGTTAAAAAAAAACAAATTAAAAACGTCTTTTTCTCGGTAGAATATTTATTGATAAGAATATAATTAAATTGCACAATAGGAACAAGGAATTGAATGAAAATAAGAATAAGAATTTACTTGCACGCGTGGGTCACACATTACCTGCGCGTGGTGCACCAGCCTGGTGTGGTCGTATAGCGCGGCGTGGTAGGTGAAGCATGCCCGGCAGGTGGGGCACGCGTGGGTCACACATTACCTGCGCGTGGTGCACCAGCCTGGTGTGGATGTATAGCGCGGCGTGGTAGGTGAAGCATGCCCCGCAGGTGGGGCACGCGTGGGTCACACATTACCTGCGCGTGGTGCACCAGCCTGGTGTGGTTGTATAGCGCGGCGTGGTAGGTGAAGCATGCCCCGCAGGTGGGGCACGCGTGGGTCACACATTACCTGCGCGTGGTGCACCAGACTGGTGTGGTCGTATAGCGCGGCGTGGTAGGTGAAGCATGCCCCGCAGGTGGGGCACGTGTGGGTCACACATTACCTGCGCGTGGTGCACCAGCCTGGTGTGGTTGTATAGCGCGGCGTGGTAGGTGAAGCATGCCCCGCAGGTGGGGCACGCGTGGGTCACACATTACCTGCGCGTGGTGCACCAGCCTGGTGTGGTCGTATAGCGCGGCGTGGTAGGTGAAGCATGCCCCGCAGGTGGGGCACGCGTGGGTCACACATTACCTGGGCGTGGTGCACCAGCCTGGTGTGGTTGTATAGCGCGGCGTGGTAGGTGAAGCATGCCCCGCAGGTGGGGCACGCGTGGGTCACACATTACCTGCGCGTGGTGCACCAGCCTGGTGTGGTTGTATAGCGCGGCGTGGTAGGTGAAGCATGCCCCGCAGGTGGGGCACGCGTGGGTCACACATTACCTGCGCGTGGTGCACCAGCCTGGTGTGGTTTTTAACTATAGAAATATATTTTGTTTACTAAAACATTGTACATGTAAACTTAAACTTAACACGAGAGACTCATCGTAACGTTACCGAGCGTTACACTTTTTCATAAGTGACTCCCAGCCGCAACCTAATTTAAGACGTTGTCACGTCAAAATTTCAATAATATGTGGGTACACAATTTACTAAGTTGACTTATTATTATTATCTTTATGAACTCTGAACTCCAATCCAGTCTTAACAAACACGTAATTAATAATTATCTAAACCCGGCAAACAAAAATCACTGACTGACATGCGTGCACTTGCATATCAAGGTCAAATTTGCATCTAAACAAAAGCACCAAGTTTTTGTAGTAAACAAACGCACGCTAAGATATAAGCCAAAATACATCACCTCACAGCCTAGTCACGCAAATATAGTCTTTAAGTACTGTGTCGTAAGACTATATTGATCGCACATATTCAATGGCAATAGATTTCCGTAAACAAGAAATCCAAATCGGACTTCCGAAATTCGCGGCATCTTTTTTACTCCGCTTTGTTACGATTGGTAAGAAAGAGACAAAGCGAATTTTACTGACGTTCGAAATTGTAAACAAATTCGCTTTCTCTCTTTCTAACCAATCGCTACAAAGCGGAGAAAAAAAGATAGCACGAATTTCGAATCCGATTTACATTTGGATACGTGATCGCTAGCGTTTTGGTTCGGTTAGATTTCTGAAATCGGATTTTCTAGTTGAGAAATCGTTCGGTATCGATTTGTGTTTGAAATCGGATTTTGGATTCGTTTTGATATATCGGACGCATGCCTACAACAAGTGTGTGTTGTTTATTCGATTTTATTACTGATTGAATTAAAAATAATTAATGAAATTCTGTTAACTTTACATACTTTTTGAAAGTCTTCAGAGAAATGTATACAGAAGTGGATGTATTTGTTGGTAATTACACCCTCATAGATCCGGAGATTTATCAATTGTGGATCGAGGGATGCTCATGTAAGTGGTTGTTTTGATGTTAAATTCATGGCAGGTATATAAAAAAATATTTCCCACACTCTCACCAATTAGCCTAGCCTCAAAGTACGCACTGTAAGCCTTATGTCCAGAAAATCCAGAAAAATATATTAACATCCATGACTAACTACAAATAATCGTATTCATCATACTATCATTTACCGCCACCGGGATTCGTAACCGGGACCTCTGAGAAGGCGACGCTATGATACCCGGCGAATATAACAATCGGCCACGCAGGCCGTTATGATGATGACGATCACATATTTTCACAAAATTTTATGAGATATGGTAAGGTAATGAATACATAAAAAACAAGCAATTGAACTCCATAAAAAGTGTTATTTTCGTATGAATTGCCACTACTAAATTCTGTCAATAATTTGAGACATAGTTCCTTCCACCCGATCCATAATAGTTTATCTGTTAAATTGGAACATCATATTGCACATGAATATTTCATCAAATTAATAAAATCAATTAGAATCTAATTGAAAAACTTTTTTTTGCTCTCCTAATAAATCAATTTATTCAAGAAAAAGGATTTAACTCTATTTAGAACCCATTTGGGTTTAAATTTAATATGAAAGCCCTAAATTTGCAGAAGTAAATAGCAGAGCCCAATGACCCTAAAATGGCTGGCACTTTAGATACTTATTTAATTTGTTGTGCACATTATGAGAACTAATGAAGGAGTGAGTGGACAAAGGTGTTAACTAACACATTTTAATATGAAAGCCCTAAATTTGCAGAAGTAAATAGCAGAGCCCAATGACCCTAAAATGGCTGGCACTTTAGATACTTATTTAATTTGTTGTGCACATTATGAGAACTAATGAAGGAGTGAGTGGACAAAGGTGTTAACTAACACATTTGTTTTGAGTTCATTCCACATTTGAAATCCTGAAATGTATGCAGTTTAACAGCATGTCAGTTTAACACCTTTGGTGGGGTCTGTGTTGTTGACACAAATTAAAATTAGAGTGTTTTGAGCTCATCAATCAATTTATCATCATTTAAAACCTATGTTCATGTAAAAATGTAGATTTTTGTATACTCACACCTTCAATTTTGTAGATGTATGTTGTGACATAACATAGAATAACTAAGCAGACCTTGCTGAGTTTCTTGCCGGTTCTTCTCAGTACAAAGTCTCCCGCTGCAGTTTTGCGAACTGATGGCGTAGCTTCTTGACATTCACAAGTGCTTGTAACAGCCTAGACTGAATAAATAATTTTTGATTTTGAATAAAGAATAAATTTAACTGCAATCCACTTAATATCTGTTTGTCTTGGCCTTCTGTGTGAAGTTTTTACCTTAATATCTGATTGTCTTGGCCTTCTGTGTGACTTATTCTTACCTTAATATCAGATTGTCTTGGCCTTCTGTGTGACTTATTCTTACCTTAATATCTGATTGTCTTGGCCTTCTGTGTGAACTTATTCTTACCTTAATATCTGATTGTCTTAGACTTTTTTTGTGACTTATTCTTACCTTAATATCAGATTGTCTTGGCCTTCTGTGTGACTTATTCTTACCTTAATATCTGATTGTCTTGGCCTTCTGTGTGACTTATTCTTACCTTAATATCTGATTGTCTTGATCTTCTGTGTGACTTATTCTTACCTTAATATCTGATTGTCTTGGCCTTCTGTGTGACTTATTCTTACCTTAATATCTGATTGTCTTGGCCTTCTGTGTGAATTATTCTTACCTTAATATCTGATTGTCTTGGCCTTCTCTGTGAACTTATTCTTACCTTAATATCTGATTGTCTTAGACTTTGTTGTGACTTATTCTTACCTTAATATCAGATTGTCTTGGCCTTCTGTGTGACTTATTCTTACCTTAATATCTGATTGTCTTGGCCTTCTGTGTGACTTATTTTTACCTTAATATCTGATTGTCTTGGCCTTCTGTGTGAACTTATTCTTACCTTAATATCTGATTGTCTTGGCCTTCTGTGTGACTTATTCTTACCTTAATATCTGATTGTCTTGGCCTTCTGTGTGACTTATTCTTACCTTAATATCTGATTGTCTTTGTCTTCTGTGTGACTTATTCTTACCTTAATATCTGATTGTCTTGGCCTTCTGTGTGACTTATTACCTTAATATCAGATTGTCTTGGCCTTCTGTGTGACTTATTCTTACCTTAATATCTGATTGTCTTAGCCTTCTGTGTGACTTATTCTTACCTTAATATCTGATTGTCTTGGCCTTCTGTGTGACTTATTCTTACCTTAATATCTGATTGTCTTGGCCTTCTGTGTGAATTATTCTTACCTTAATATCTGATTGTCTTGGCCTTCTCTGTGAACTTATTCTTACCTTAATATCTGATTGTCTTAGACTTTTTTGTGACTTATTCTTACCTTAATATCAGATTGTCTTGGCCTTCTGTGTGACTTATTCTTACCTTAATATCTGATTGTCTTAGACTTTTTTGTGACTTATTCTTACCTTAATATCAGATTGTCTTGGCCTTCTGTGTGACTTATTCTTACCTTAATATCTGATTGTCTTGGCCTTCTGTGTGACTTATTCTTACCTTAATATCTGATTGTCTTGGCCTTCTGTGTGACTTATTCTTACCTTAATATCTGATTGTCTTGGCCTTCTGTGTGACTTATTCTTACCTTAATATCAGATTGTCTTGGCCTTCTGTGTGACTTATTCTTACCTTAATATCTGATTGTCTTGGCCTTCTGTGTGATTTATTCTTACCTTAATATCTGTTTGTCTTAGACTTTTTTGTGACTTATTCTTACCTTAATATCAGATTGTCTTGGCCTTCTGTGTGACTTATTCTTACCTTAATATCTGATTGTCTTGGCCTTCTGTGTGACTTATTCTTACCTTAATATCTGATTGTCTTGGCCTTCTGTGTGACTTATTCTTACCTTAATATCTGATTGTCTTGGCCTTCTGTGTGACTTATTCTTACCTTAATATCAGATTGTCTTGGCCTTCTGTGTGACTTATTCTTACCTTTATATCTGATTGTCTTGGCCTTCTGTGTGACTTATTCGTACTGTAATATCTGATTTTCTTTGCATTCTATGTGACTTATTCTTACCTCAATATCTGATTATCTTGGCCTTCTGTGTGACTTGGACTATTACTATACTACTATTGTTAGTAGCATAGAGATGTAGTCCAAAAACGATACTTTCTTGTGTTTGCCTTAAATGTCTATTTGTTTCCATACACACCATTACATATCAGAAATTAATAAGCCCGTGATCACAGAGCTTCAAAAGAAATCAAATATTGTGTAAACATTCAATAAATGGGTGTGATAATGTTTGAACAATATTAAATAAATTTGATTTTGATTTTAAATAAATGTGTTTGGAATGGTGTAGTTTTAGAACTTTCTCATAGTAAGTATTTTAGCAATTAATGTAAATGAAGTGAACAAAAGTGTTATGTTTTATAAAACTACGTCTACTATTTAAGGCGTGAAAACCTAAGAAACAAATATACATCTACTATGTTTGAATTATCTGTACATACATAAAATATATATTATTTTAATTGTAGCCAGCGAAGCTGTGTCAACTCTGCATCAACGCAATATCGCTAAACAGACTGGAGCTTCTGTGGAGCTGATAGCCAGCGATGTTCTCGATCACTACAGGTACAGAATATATCTGTTTAATGTGGTAACAACATCTAACCCTTAGTTTTCATTAATAAATACCGGTAATACAGGAACTAAGCTCTGCAGAGATTAATTAACTGCTTATATAGGAAAAAAAAACTTTTTTAAGATACAGGAATATTGTGATCATAAACAAAATCTGAATAATTATTATTTGTGATATGTGTTGTATGTTTATGCTTTTTAGATCATCAAAAAAGCTAGCTAGCCAAGCGAGCTAATGTTTACAATTGTATTCAGCTTTTAATCAGAAAAGCCAGATAAATAAATAAAAAATGGATTTCTTACAGAACTTTTGCACTTCTGGAGCGCCTACTGACTGTACCTTCGAAGCTGTCTGAACAAATGATCTTCCAAATAGACGAACCAACAAAGCAGATGCTCATCGAGAAGTGAGTCAGTCAACTTGATTTTACTTAACTTTAATCTTTGATCTGATTGAGCTTCCACTAAGCAAATTTAAATCTCAGATCAAGAATTCTCTTATGAATAAGGGCTATTATAAAGTTAATGATTATCTAAATGATCGTAATGCATGGACATAGTGTTTCTTGTAATTTGTTATTTGATGGGTATGAGTCAGTTTTTGTAACAGTAATATGGTACCTATCTAATGCCGCTTCCTATATACTAAATATAAAATTATTATTGTAACTGTATATATCTATATCCTAAATGATGTAATGGAAGGTGACTTCAGAAGTATCTCTTAAGTCATTTTTCAACTTGACGACTCTGTATATATCAATACAGGGAGAAAAAAGCAGCCCTTGCTGAGTTTCTTGCCGGTTCTTCACAGTACAAGGTCTCCCGCCGTAGTTTTGCGAACCGATGGCGTAGCTTCTGACCTTCACAAGTGCTTGTAACAGCCTAGACTGAATAAATGACTTTTCATTTCATTTCATTTAGCATTAGTGAACTTTATTTTAGCATGATAAAATATAGTCTATACATATAATTCAATCCCTGTGGCATGAGCACCGCAAACGATATATATCACGTTTTTATAACGTCTAACTGTCAAAGTTCATTATATTTTGACAACCGAGCGAGATAAACAGAGTGAGGCAGCCCAACTAGCATGAGCACCACAATATGATTTATCATCATCATCATCAGCCTATTAATGTCCCCATAGCTGGGGCACAGGCCTTCCCTATTGATGGAATAGGGAGATTTGGTTTTGATTTTGATTTATTTTCTAATGGTGACAGAAGTATTAAATCTAGTAATTTTCTGTGTATATTTATTACAAACATACAAATCTGTCTTCTTTATAATATAAGTATAGGAATACTTGTATATGTGCAGGTACTATGACTTGGACCACAATGTGATAAGAGAGTTGCTGGGGCGGAAGTTGTCCTCAAGACACAGGAAAGATTTGGACGAGGTGAGTCATTTTGTTCTTCCCACTTCATTGTTTTTGACGAGATATTTTAGAAATCATCAAATTATATGTTCATTTGTTGTTTCTTTATATTTGAAAAAAAAAAATTTTTTTTGAGCTTTTAACTATAAAGTTAAATCGAAGACTCCGGTTTTTCAAACCTCTACTCACTTAGTAATATTTGTTATTTTTTAAGCATTTCACTGCTAGATGTTTAAATCTAAGGAACTTTTATTATCTCCTTAGATTCTTCAGACTGAAACATCTAACAGTTAAATGCTTAGCGATTTCCTGTTTTATTTATTTTTTGTTTTCTTCTCTGTTCCTGGAAATAATGCTTACAGTTAATAATATTTATGACTCTAATGTTAATGAGTCGAAACTACGTTTATTTCCTTATATATACTGAATCGACATCTTTTTATGGGAATCTGATGACCTGATATACAAGCATTTTTATGCTTAGTTTAGGCGTCAGCCTCTCACAAAGACCTACATAGCTACTTAAATAACTACCATAAGTTAATTATACAATAAGTGTGTAAAATGTATTTGTAAACGGAGGAGAGAAAATATATATACACCGTGTTCCTGAGGTTATACACTAACTTTGGCATGTTATTCAGACTATTAAATTGATCATTTTTTACTATGGACACTTTTATGAATTCCAATTTCTTTAACATTTTTTATTTTTTCATACAAACTAAACGCTTAGATGTAATTTATCTAATATAAATTACTCTTTACCTGAGCTGGCAACGTCGCATTTGAAACTTTGGTTCACATGTGCACATAAACTTTTTGAAACTTTTCTTGACGTCAACAATGTTTTTTAATTGACTTTTGGAACAATGACTTAATGACCATCGACAAAGAGTTGACAGTTTGATAGTTTTGGTTGCACATAGTGGCAACATCTTACAGATAAAGACTCTTTCTCACTGCAAAACACGATTAAGTTGGTTAAACTTAAATTACCATTAACTTAAAAACTATGCTATTTAAACTACTACTTTCCTTGTACGATATGGGTAAGAAGAGCTATAGAAGTATTACTCAAAGTTAATGTATATCCTTAGGAACACGGTGTATTTATATATATATATATATACAGGGTATGACAAAAGTCCGAAATAAAACTTTAGGGTTTGGTTGCGTTCCTTGTATAGAATTACCTACGAAAGTTTGACGCCTTTCAGACCACTTTTATTTTCTAATTAAATTAATAAAAATATCGTTTTACACCTGCCTATGACCACCCTATAAATGCGTACGATCACTACTACCTAAACAGACCCCCCTCTCTCTCCCGGGCGCCCCCGCGCCCCGCTCGGATACCTACAAATTTTTATTTCGGAATACATACCTACAAATTTTATTTCGGAATTCCGTAACATCCTGTATATATATTCTTTCAAACGTTTAAGTCTGAAGAATCTGAAGACATAATAAAAGTCAGGCATTTAAACATCTAGCAGTGAAATGCTTAAAAAGCAAAAATATTACTAAGCGAGTAGAAGTTTGATAAACTCGAGTCCTCCGGCTGGTACTGGTAGGTAGCGGACCGTTCAGGCGCCCCGCTCCGTTGCTGCCGGCGTCAGTTCGACAACGTGCGGCGCGTGTTCAAGGCGGTCGAGGAGATGCCGGGGAACGTCGTCACCAACGTGCGGAACACCTTCCTGCTCTCCGACCCGTTAGCCAAGTCAGTGCCTTCACATTAATGGTACATTATCACAGGGTCTAAGTAAATGAATTGATATTTACAGCATTTGCACAGGGCCCAAGTAAATGAATTGATATTTACAACAAATTTACACAGGGTCCAAGTCATATTTATTTATTTATTTAGGCATGCTAACGGTCACACTTATTGATACATTAATGAATAGATCGGATACTATACGGTTTTCTTATATGCAGACCGATTACGAGCATACACAACGATCACAATAATACAATACAATACAATACAAAACGCTTTATTGTACACCACAAAAAACATTACATTTAGTACAAAACAAATTAAAACTAGTGTATCAATGGGCGGCCTTATCGCTAAGAGCGATCTCTTCCAGGCAACCTTTAAAAATACTAGAAAAAAAAAGATTTGGATACAAACATCTAGGCAATTAAATGCTTAAAATAATAATGTTAATGAACAACTTGATACAATTCAACCGATTGACCTGATCACAAATCTATGTATTTTAAACGACTATATTATGGATAGATTGATGGACCGCGCTAATTTATTCAAATACATACATACAAAAGAAGAACAGATTATTTCGCTATTTATTTATTTGTTGTACCGACACACAGTGCCTTCACATTAATGGTACGTTTGCACAGGGTCCAAGTAAATGAATTGATATTTATAGCATTTGCACAGGGTCCACGTAAATGAATTGATATTTACAGCAAATTTACACAGGGTCCAAGTCAATGCATTAATATTTACACAGGGTCAAAGTCAATGCATCAATATTTACACCAGATTAACACAGGATCCAAGTCAATGCATTGATATTTATAGCATATATACACAGGATCCAAGTGAATTCATTAATATTTACAGCAGGTTTACACAGGGTGCAAGTCAATGCATTAATATTGCCACTTCAGCTTGGCGATCCGTTGAGCTATGGCGGTTGTTCTAGTTCATCTACGGATTTCCTCATTTCTGATTCGATCACGTAGAGAAACACCGAGCATAGCTCTACCCCATCGCTCGCTGTGCAACTCCGAGCCTTCTTATGAGGCCGCTCAGATTAGTCCGATATAAATCTGTGTGCCCGGAATATTTTGACCGACGAGAAAGATTAATCCGGTTATCTGTCATGTTGCAAGGTTAGTTTCCGTTTGAGGTTAGAAATTAATCTATGTTTGATCGGTCCGTGTGGTAATAGTAATTTGCTCTGATTAATCTGTGATCACGTAAGCTAAAATCCGTCGCCTCTGCGATACAAATACCAAACGCAGCTTATATATATTATGGTGCTCATACGGGGACAACACAATGGGATGCAGTCTTTATAGATAACGATTAACGATATTTATGTATAGATTAGGTCCCATTCGGTGTCGAAACCCTTGGTCCGTAGGCTACTAGCGCTGTAAGGTTTTTTAAGGAAATAGAAAAAAGGTTGGTCGACATCACAGGAGACCGAAGAGCTGGCAGCTTCTTCGGACAAAGAATTAGTCTAGCTATTCAAAGGGGGAACGCTGCCAGTATCTTCGGAACCTTGCCTAAAGGGACTCCTTTTAATAATGTATATTAGTTATTATATATTTTAAGGTTTTTAGTTACAAACATATAATTATATTTCATGATTGGGTTCCATATCGATGTATTGATAAATTGTCTCTTCTTTCGCAAATAAATCAAAAAAGTTCCTTATGTTGTAAAAGAATATCGTCATTTTTGTATTAAATTGTTTATTTGCAAAATTTCAATGAATAAAATTATTCGATGCCTGTTAATGGTGCAAGTTTTATTTAGTTGTTTTATTAATTGTTTTTGAAGATCATTCGAATATTTTATGTCCTGTAATTATTTAATACTAACACAATTAATTTTGAACTGAAAATATACTAGTAAAAAAAAGATTTGGACACAAACATCTCGCAATTAAATGCTTAAAATAAAAATAATGATAAATATAATTTTATTTTATTTTATTGATTACCAGGAAGTATGGCGCGGTAGTGTTCATTGCGTGCATGAGGTTCGAGACAGCTAAAAGAAAGTTGCAGTATTTGACATTCAACGATTTCTACCATTGCGCTCAGGTAGGAATCTAAATTTGCCGTTTATTCGTTATTAAAATAACGAACGAATAAAATAAAAAAATAAAAAAACATGAATAATTTATTCATAATATGCTATTTATTCGTGAATAAATTATCCTCGAATAAATATGGTACGAGACTCGAGAGGTCCCGGGTTCGAATCGCGGTGGGGGCAAATGTTTGTGTGATGAATACGAGCATTTGTACTCCAGTCATGTTGTTGTTTAATTTGTATTTCTATATAAATATACTTATATATGTACAGTAAATGTATTCTATCCGTTACCCTAGTATCCCAAAATACAAGTCTTACAGTGCTTACTTTGGGGCTAGGACAATTGGTGTGAGTGTTGGAAATATTATTATGATAGCTAGCTCGGTCTCTCATCTTCTTTCTCTTTCTAATAGACGGACACTTTTAGGCTCGTATTATAGAAAGATTTTCAGTGATTGATCTAGTCTTGAGCATAGTTAGAAAGGGATGACGCTATATAGCACATGAACGAAATACCGACAGAAATTTTGCAAGACATAACTAGTAAAAAATGGTTGCCTGTAAAGTCGGTTTTACGGGCGAAGATTTTACGTGACAACGTCTTTTTCTCGGTAGAATATTTATTGATATGAATATAATTAAATTGCACAATAGGAACAAGGAATTGAATGAAAATAAGAATTGCACAAATTTTAACTATAGAAATATATATAATACGTCAAAAAAACATATTACAATGCATTGTGCTTGTGAATACCATCGTAGCATGCAACCACGCTACGACGATTCGTAGCAAACTTGCTACACGGCTACGGGGTTCCAGCATGCTACGAGACTCATCGTAACGTTACCGAGCGATACACTTTTTCATAAGTGACTCCCAGCCGCAACCTAATTTAAGACGTTGTCACGTCAAAATTGTAAATATAAATATAATAAATATTTTTACGACACTTCATTACTGTTCTACTAAAGAAAGGGCATCCTCCTGTATTATGCGCACCGACAACTAGCATCGTACCTGTGTACGGCTTATCGTGTTTTTGTGAGATAATGGCGGGTAAACGTTATAACATTTATACAATTACCTTCCTACTTGTAAAATTTAATGAGCTATGGAAATTGTTGTGTATCGTATATTTGCGCTGTTATGTATTATTATGCCGAGAACTGGAAAAGTATAATTTAAGAATATCAAAACTATGTATTAACGGCTTAAGTGACTCAGTATCCGGACAAACCTAATGTGGGTTTTTGTGATACTTTTTATTAATTACTGTATTTTGTATAATCAAATAAATGAAAAAAAAATCCCTTTCTAACTGTACTCAAGTAGAGATCAGCACTTAGTTGTCATTCTGTAATACGGACCTAAGTCTGAATAATTTTTCCCTGCAGCTGAGTTTTTGTCGTGAGAAAAACGACATAATAAAAACGCCGCGCAATAGGCGCTTAAGCCGCTTACGCATTCAATTAGATAAGTTGGCCAAGCGACGTTATTCTAAGAATAGGGATGATGACTAATTTTTTTTTCTTCGTTTATCAGGTAGATTGTCAAAAAGTATTGGACACGTAATTTTCTTTTTTCACATAATATAAACATTGCAGAGATATATTGATTTGAAAAGTCGCATGACGTCACGCTTGAGTACACTTATAAGTGAAAATTCACTCAAAAGTGACGTCACGAGCCCCCACTCCCAAACTCTGACGCGCTATAACTTTGTCATTTTTTGGTTGATTGCCCAAAGAAAATATACGTGTCCATTATTTTTTGATCATCTAACTGACGGACTAAATAGAATTTCGTTTACCGTACCCCGTCATCACACCTATTAAACTGATTATTTTGTGATGCAGAGATCATTACTTCCGAACGGTAAGGCGGTCGAAAAAGAGTCCCTTATTTAGGTTTTTTATGTCGTCCTTCCCCACTGTATTGTTATACCTGTATGGTTATAAATGTCAGGCCATAATGGCGAGCTGGACGTACAGCTGCACGGGCCCGGAGTACTACGACACGGAGATGGACCGCGAGTTCCTGCTCGAGTTGAGGGAGCTCAGGATACTGCTGGACAAGGAGAAGGAGCATAAACAGTATGAATCATCATAATCATCATCAGCCTATTAATGTCCCCACTGCTGGGGCACAGGCTTCCCTATGGATGGAATAGGGAGATTGGGCCATGACCCACCACGCGGGCCCAGTGCGGGTTGGTGGGTGCTAACGACTGCAGATGCAGCCGGGACCAACGGCTTAACGTGCCTTCCGAAACACGGAGGAGCTCGAGATAGTAAATTATGGTCACCCATCCAATGACCGACCACTGCGAAAGTTGCTTAAATTCAACGATCGCTGCGGAACGCGCTAACCACTTGCGCCATCGAGCTCCTCAATCATCATAATCAAAATCATTTAATAATTGATATCCTTGATTTGCCTCCTCATAAATTTAAAATACACATTAAGAATTGTTTACTTAAGAAAGGATATTATACTGTCAATCAATATTTGAATGATAAAACGGCCTGGTTGTAATTTTACCTGTAGATAATTTTGCAATAGTTATATTAAAACTAAGGCTCCCAGCCTTAGAAAGAGTTTTCAGAGAACCTTGCACTTAGGTACTCCCTTTCATATACTTGTTCATTTTGTTTTGAAAATTGTTTCTTGCTATTTTGGGACTTTTCTTTGCACTTATTGTAAGTAAATTCGTTGCTTGTCTATTGTTACATATTTGACATTACGTGATGGAAGTTGACCTCAACACATGTTTGCAAGTTTGATGTCAACTTTTAATAGGACGACACTGTATGAAATAAAACAGGGAGAAAAAAGCAGCCCTTGCTGAGTTTCTTGCCGGTTCTTCTCAGTACAAGGTCTCCCGCCGTAGATTTGCGAACCGATGGCGTAGCTTTTCGACATTCACAAGTGCTTGTAACAGCCTAGACTGAATAAACGATATTGAAATTTTTAATTTTTGAAATTTTTATTCAGTTTAGGCTGTTACAAGCACTCATGAATGTCTAGGAGCTACGCCATCGGTTCGTAAATCTACAGCGGGAGACCTTGTACTGAGAAGAACCGGCAAGAAATTCAGCAAGGGCTGTTTTTTTCTCCCTGTTTTATTATTTACAGAGTCATGAGATGATTCATGAAGTCACCTTTCATTAAATATACATTGTTAACCTGAATTTTGAATCATCATCATCAGCCTATTAATGTCCCCACTGCTGGAGAACAGGCCTTTCCTATGGATGGAATAGGGAGATTGGGCCATGACCCACCACGCGGGCCCAGTGCGGATTGGTGGGTGCTAAGGACTGCAGATGCAGCCGGGACCAACGGCTTAACGTGCCTTCCGAAGCACGGAGAAATGAAAGATAGTAATTTTTTGGTGACCCATCCAATGACCGACCAGTACCCACAAAGAATCTTATTTTTTTTAAATATTTATTGCCTTGCGAGCCTCACTTAAAGCGTACTTATAGTGTGAATGTGATTAGATTTGTATTTATTTTTTCTGTTACAGTTTGATATGTATGCGTTTAAAGCCGAAACTTTTGGAGAAATCTTATCAAGAATTGGAGCTGAATTTCAGGTGCGAAATTAAAGATTTTCGTTTAAGTAAGGGGCCGTTCATAAAATACATCACGCTAAAATCAACTTTTTCCGACCCCCTCCCCCCTATTGTCACACTTTCTGTGACCACTCTTGAAATATTCCGTCACAAAAACGGAGACCCCCCCTCCCCAAGTATTAATTTCAATTGATAGTACACAAATTTTAAGATTTTAAATATTTATTTAGTTTTTATAATAAAATTTAAATATATAAATATGCGCTAATGTCGAAAAATAAACATGAGTAAATATATCAAGTTACAATTTATTGTATAATAAAACTATATACGTTTGAATGTCTATATGTTTACTAAATACGAAATAAATGATTTTCTATCTTGATGAAAATTGAGAAAGAAAAATAGTTGAAAGAAATACTAATTTAAAAAAAATTAATGAACGACGAACGTCACGTTGCCGTACACCCCCCGTCCCCTCTTGTCACATCTTGTCACATCTTGTCACACTTAGCAAGCCCCCCCCCCCCCCCCCCTGTATGCGAACGTATTTTATGAACGGCCCCTAACTAATTCAGTATTAATTTTAGCGGTGGAGACGAACAAGTGAAAGGAGGTTGGAAAAAATTATTTAAAGAAAAGTTTACTAGAAAAAGTTCCACGCGGACCAGGCAGCGGACGGGACTCGAACCCGCATCCTTCGCAATCCGGGCGAATGCACTGACCATTATGCTACCACGGCCCTGATCGCCGCGTCGAATTTTTCCTAGCCTTAAGCTGCAAGGCAACGCCATCTCTTCGCATTGCAGGTAACCCACAATGTCAAATGAATACTTTTTCAAGTATTAAACATTTGAAAGAAGAAATAGCGCTGCCTTGCAGCTTAAGACTAAGAAAATTTCGACGCGGCTAATAGGGCCGTGGTAGCATAATGGTCAGTGCATTCGCCCGGATAGCGAAGGATGCGGGTTCGAGTCCCGTCCGCTGCCTGGTCCGCGTGGATTTTTTTCTAGTAAACTTTTCTTTAGATTTAAACATCATGCAGTTAAATGCTTAAAAAAAAAAACATAAAATCACAAGTGAAAGGAGGTTGGCAAAAAAAATTATTTATTTTAATCTTTAAAATAAATATATTTTTCCAACACTCACACCAATTCATTGACTGTGGTGTTTTACCTGATCTCATGAAATACAGCAAAATAACTCCATTTCCTAAATCCGGTAGCACATCTGACCCACAAACTTTAGATCTATATCTGTGCTATCCACTTTTAGTAAGATATTTTTTTAAAAAATGTTAGACCAAATGCACTCTAACATTATAAAGGCATATATCAACCCCCCCTTGAAGAGCAAATCGCACTATGACTGCTGTCCCATCTCTTTCGTCAAGCGACATGTACGCGCAGTGACGAAAGCAAAATGGGACAGCAGGTATAGGAGCGAAAACACGGCGGCCACAACGAAGGCATTCTTTCCTTGCGGAGAGAGTGCCTTCGGTGTTGTAAGACAGATTGAAATGGATGGAATAGCTGCGCAGATCTTTACCGGGCATGGAGGTTTCTCCGCCTACCTCCATAGATTTAAAAAGAAGGATACCCCGAGATGCGTATGTGACCCAAACACCGAAGAGGACATTTTTCATGTCCTCCTAGATTGCCCCCTTTACAGCAGAGAAAGACACGACGCACAGACAGCACTTAACACACCACTTAGAAGGGATAACCTAAAGGAAATAATGATAGAAATCAGGGACAGAGAAATTTTCATTAAGTACAGCAAAAATATAGTAAAAAAGGTCATCGAAAGAAACAAAGACGATTGATATAGGACAACCTATAAATATACATATTGAAAATACTAGTATATAGGAAGAAAGCCCAATGGGTAATAACAAAAATAAGAAATATTGTAAACATAGCAATGAATATATAAGTAAGTAGAACATATCGAACAAATGTAAGTGTGTGTATGAAAATAACAGGAAAATTGTAACTAATATAAAGAAATATTTGTAAAATGTAACTAAAAATAGAAAAGAAATGTATTAGAAACTAAGAATATACTGTAATAGAGAATAGAATGGAAGTAAAATATAATGTAATAGAAAATAAGAAAACAATGTAAAAATATTGAAAAAGAAATAAAAGGTGCAAAAGAAAAGGCACCTCATGCAAAAGAGCAAGCATGATAATAATATAAATACCATAAGAAAAACAAACAAAAAAAGACTAAAAAAGACCTGAAACAAATGGGGGATACCGTTAAAAAAAACATTATAAAGGCGAAGTTTGTAAATGTGTACTTGTTACTTGTTCACGTCTAAACGGCTGGAGCAATTTTAATAAAATTTGGAATGGAGTTAGCTGATATTTTATTATTATTTTTTTATGAAACATCATACAAGAGCAGCTCGATGGCGCAAGTTCTTAGCGCGTTCCGCTGCGATCGTTGAAGTTAAGCAACTTTCGCAGTGGTCGCTCATTGGATGGGTGACCAAAAATTTACTATCTCTCACTCCTCCGTGCTCCGGCACGTTAAGCCGTTGGTCCCGGCTGCATCTGCAGCCGTTAGCACCCACCAATCCGCACTGGGCCCGCGTGGTGGGTCATGGTCCTATCTCCCATGATGATGACGTCATACAAAAATACATACAACCCTAAATTTTCACCTTTCTACCACCAACCCCTACTTTTTATGGCGGTACGAAGTTCGCTAGGACAGCTTGTTTAAATATAATTATTTGTCTACAGATTATACACCCGAGCTTTGGTCGGTCTCGCTTGCAATCTGCACAGAGGCAGAGAGCTGAGGTCATTGTTCATTGACTTGCTGGAGAGGTAATGTCGATAGTCTGATGTGACTAATTAAGCGATTAAATACTGCAACTTCCTCTTCGTTTAGTTATCGTTTACCGCAAAGGTTGTCTGGAAGAGATCGCTTAAAGCGATAAGGCCGCCTTTGCCTACATTATGTTATTGTTTTCTTTTGTATGTGTGCAATAAATAATTTATCTATCTATCTAAATAAGCCAATTTTAACGATAATTAAAGCGCATTCATTGAATATTATACTGGAAAAAAATCCACGTGGACCAGCCAGCAAGCAGGAATCGTACCCGCACCCTCTGGCTTTCCAGGCGGATGCACTGACCATCATGCTACCGCGGCCCAAATTGATCGTGTTGAATTTTCTATTGTATATCTTAGGCTGCAGGCAGCGCCATCTCTTCGCATTGTGGATAACCAACCCACAATTTTCTCGTAAAAAATCTTTAGATTTAAAAAAGCTGTCAGCAGTGAAATGCTTTAAAAATGATGTGCTAATGACGACACGACTGCAGTGAAACTTCTTTAGCTCCAATGGTCTGAAATCCATTCCACCAATCCGCGTTGGGTCCTTTATCACCCACCAATCCGCGTTGAGTCCGTTATCACCCACCAATCCGCGCTGGGTCCGTTATCACCCACCAATCCGCGCTGGGTCCGTTATCACCCACCAATCCGCGCTGGGTCCGTTATCACCCACCAATCCGCGCTGGGTCCGTAATCACTAGGGCTTTCAATACCGGTATTCCGGGATCCCGTAATCACGGTTTTTTACCCGGCTGCGCAATGCAAGAGCGCGAAGCGCGACGCGCAGACAGGGTTATGTGTTTAACAGTCTATATATGTATGTTTGTTCCTTTGTGGCACACTAGAGACCAAACGCCTGGACCGATTTTGATGATTCATACATCAATCGATTCGTCTCAATCATGGGAGTGCTACTAAAGATATGATAGTAATCAAAATTCAATATGGGCAAAATTAGGCGCCATATTGTGACGAAGTAAAAAAAATAAGTTGACAAAATATGTCGAGTGGGGTATCACTGTCTAGATAATCAAAAATCATATTTAGGTTCCAAACACCATTTTTCATTTAATATGAACGTTCAGGATCTACAACGCCTTAAAGTTGTATATTAACCACTTACGCTTTTAATTTCAATCTTACGTTTGTATGGATCTTTGCTACTCTTTCACCTAAAAATACTGAATAGATTTTAATGAAACTTAACAGTAATATAGCTCATATATGATTATTACATATATATAATAATTTATGTAGTTATTGAGTGAATTGGCCAATATATAACAATAAGTGTCACATAAGACGGAAATCTCCCATCTGCGAGCCATTTTGGCCTGCACTGCAAAAACAATAAAAGTTACATGAATGTAATGTAGAGTGGAAATGTATCTCTTAAATAATTCTAAAAAAAGTCCGTGACACCATATATCTATTTTTAATGTGTAAGTCATTACCGCTAAAATAGTGAATCAAAACTAAAATATTATTTGATATCTATTTCCAAAATGCACATTTTGTATTAACAAATCATTTTTTATCAAAACAAATACTTTAATCGCTTTTGATATTTAAAGACGATAAACTTTGCTTTTTACACTATGTCATTTCGACAAATATTTAAAAAGTTACAACGATGACAAAGTGATAGCGCGTTGTACTATGTATAAGAAAAAAAATGGGGTATTCGCAGTATCTGATCCTATACGAAGTACTAACATTAAAACTGTGATACATATTTGTTTCTTAGGTTTTCACGCACATCACTCATTAAATAAAACTAGTTTTTACGGGTTAATGCACGAAACTTTATTTATTTATTGACGTTTCGTAGCCTTTACAGGCTTCGTCGTCAGAATAAAACTTTTATATTAAAGTTTAATTTATATATTCAAAAGTTTTATTCTGACGACGAAGCCTGTAAAGGCTACGAAACGTCAATAAATAAATAAAGTTTCGTGCATTAACCCGTAAAAACTAGTTTTATTTAACTGTGATACAGTTCCTTCTTATTAAATGATGAAAAATATATTATCATAATAATAAAATTATTATTATTATAACAAAATAAATAATAATATAAATAAATAAATAAATATTTCCGACACTCACACCAATTAGCCTAGCCCCAAAGTAAGCACTATAACACTTGTGTTATGGGATGCTAGGGTAACGGATAGAATACATATACTGTACATATTTATGTATATTTATATAAATACATATTAAACATCCATGACTGGAGTACAAGTGCTCGTATTCATCACACAAACATCTGCCCCCACCGGGATTCGAACCCGGGACCTCTCGAGTTGGCGACAGCCATGAAACCCGGCGTACAAACAACTCGGCCACGGAGGTCGTCATTTCATTCATAATCATAATAGGTATTTATGATTATTGAATTTTAATGAAAAACTCAGAATTTTACTGCTTTTCATTTTTTTTAACGATATTATTTAAGGTTACAAAAAAGGTTTCCTTAATATAATGACAAATAACCCATTTTTCGCTAGTAAGTACATACTTATTGGAATCGCTGTATTTATTAATCAGCTCGCGATAATATTGGTTTTGTAATAATTCTGCAAAATTCAAAGTAAATAATGTAGATTTTTATAGGTAAATCACCCCTTTCATCACCCTACGCCTATAAGTATTGCGATGTTGTAGCTAAGAACCAAGTTCCCATCTACTTCTATATGGGAATTCATTATATTCGATTTAGCTATTAGGGCACGGAAGCGCAACAAATAAACTCACTTTCGCATCTATAATATTATATTATACTTACTAGTATAGTAGTACCACCCGGGCATTGTACGGGCGAAATTTATTTATCGGTATAAAAAATAGCCTATGTCACTCGGACAAAATGTTAAATAAAGAAAAATGTTATAATAAATAATGTAGCTACCTTATGATGAATTAATATTTGAAACCGGTTCAGTAGTTTGACAGATTCTTTGTTACAAACATATTAATCTTGCCTCTTTATAATATTAGTATAGATAGTTAGGATAAGATAAGTATTTAATTGCTGAAAAAGATTTTAAAAGTAAGTAATATGTTTATTTGATTATATTTGTAAAAGTTACTTAGCATTTGTGCTTAACAGTGATACGTTATTCGGTATTTTTATAACAAAAAAAAAATTGGAAAATTATTGCCATGATTGCACTCCCGGGAGCACTCTTCATTCACTACCAATAAAAAAGGGTCGAACACAAAGTCTTTGACCTGTTAAATGTGAACGCTTTAAAAGAAGACTACAAAGAGAACTATAAATTGATAATAAATGAGATTGCTATGGTGCTCTACCTAACGTTATGAAAATTTTATTATGCGCCTTTAGTTTAATCAAATATTATAAACTTTGCTTTGGTGATTGCATAATTATTTAATTTAGTGATTTAAGGCAGTTGCCACCATTGTCCAAAACAACAGACGGGAATTACTTCTTTCTTCGACCTGCGACATAAACGTCATTGATTGGTATTGTATATAGGGTGATTAAAAACATTTGAAGTTAACTTCTGGCATCTACATATTGGGTTTCTGTGAATTATGTAGGCACATCAAATTATGAGACTAGGGACTGACACTGAATTTGTGTATATCACAATCTTAGACGTCCGGCATTGACATGACAATGCAGCCACTGCCATTTTTAAATAGTCGACGAATAAAAGTAATTGAATTTTATATTTACTGCTAAACTATTAAAAAAACATAAACAAAAGATGACTTTTTGAGTAAGTGCTAGTTTACTATAAAATTTACATACATTAGAGATATTTACGTAACGACTTGATTTAACTTCACACATTTTTGCGAAAATTGAGGCACATCTGTAGCCTTGACCCCGCTGGTAAAGTCTTTATATGTCTTAATAAATCAATCTTTTAGACCGACGCAAGGTACTTAATAATTCCCGCGATATTAATTCCCTTACTGAAGCAACAAGACTACGGTATATACCGTCTTAAAATACTAACTAAAAAGTGTGAAATAAAAAAGGTAAATTTAAAAAATCAAAAAACCCGACTGCTTAATTATTCTTCAAATAAAAACTGAAAAGAAAAAAACAAGTCCAGTAGTCTATAATTCTGTTAATAAGGAACAAAGCTACTTTAACAGTCGGGACCCACTGTTGAAAAATATTATGTTCTTGAATATCTAATGGGTCCCGACTGTTAAAGTAGCTTTGTTCCTTATTAACAGAATTATAGACTACTGGACTTGTATTTTTCTTTTCAGTTTTTATTTGAAGAATAATTAAGCAGTCGGGTTTTTTGATTTTTTAAAATTTTTATTGGTATTTTTCAATACCGATATTGATCAGTCAATACCGTGATTTTACGGTATTACAAATCAACAATTCTTTATTAGGGTTATATGAATAGAAAGACGAAATGTTAAGCATGAACGCGAGTGAGATAAACTGAGGAGCTGGCGCACAAAACGGTATAATTACACATATGGTTTTCACCATATAATACTTATTAAAAGCTGATATTGCTTTAAAATTTATGTTAAGAAAATTAGATGGACAGGCTAATGAGATGAGCCAAAACCTTGCAAAGGCACTTCGAAAACGTATAAAAGAGCGACGTTTCTCTATATCTGAAGTGTTACAATACTTGCATGACCCTGAAGCTTATTTAAGTGCTAATGATAGCGAAGGTGACATTTTCAAAAAACTAACATCTGATGAATTGCTTAAAATTATCGTTAATTTACTGACTCGTTTGAAATACAAAATAAACAACTGAATACAGCAGCATTTATTGAGATGGTTGCTAGTGTTGCTACAGAAGAACCTTCATAGTCATCGTTAAATACAAGTGTTGAAGATGGCGATGCGTCCATCCAGAAACAGTTGGAGAGGGAAATATCCAAATTACCTGAACGTACAACTGCAATAACAGGCACTGATTTTGAATCAATAATAAGAGTGTATGTCTTCGAAACCAGTGGGGGCGGTC